TATCGTTTACAATTGTACGATTTATTGCACTTTTTTAATTTGTTACCTATACGTACTGTATTTGTACTTATTTATTACAAATGTAATTATTTCACTGTACGTTTTTTCACATGGTCACAGCACGAACTCATACCAAGGTGGTTGCAGTAAAGTCTTGTTTAAAGTTAGTTTAGTGTGACGGTCAAGGCGTATTTCGGTCCTAGAAGTCGTCGAATTTGTCCATATATTCTGTTAGGTTGTTGTCTTTGAGGTCTTTTGTGGAGTCAATCTGCTGTCTACGTGTACTCCTAGGTATTTGACTTGAGTGGAAGTCGGTATCTCTTTGTTGTTGATGTGCACTGGAGGTCAAGACTTTTTTCCCCCAATTTGAACGTACACTGAGTAAATTTTTCTTATCCTCTTATTCGTCTTATCTTCCACTAAAGCACCAGTCTTCGATAAGCTCAAGGTGTTCTTCGATAATGACGAAAAACTCATTCAGTTGGTGCGACATAATCCTGTGTTGTTGGATCAGGCCAATTCCAAATACATGGACTCGGATTTCAAGAATACTCTCTGGAGGAAAAATAGGACCAGAAGTGAAACCAGAGTAAAGTACGTGTATATTTCAGTAATGTTTATATTATGAATAGCAACAGGGTATAATAAATTATGAACTACGATTAGAAGTTAAATAAGGTTGTTGGGTATTTGATAACTACAGGAGAGATTTAGCATCAGAATTGAAATAATCAGGGAATATTTAATCTGTTGTTGCGTTCCCTAACCTTTAAATGTAAATTTTGTACTGTTCGACTTTCACTCCTCGAATCCACTTGGGAAGTAACGTAATTATAAGTGCGCATATCGTATTTCTTAATGTATTAAGAAGTTTAAGTCTTAAGCCTTAAGTTATGGAGCAAGCAAAATATTCCTCCATCGTTCACTAATCCCTTATAAAGTGTAGCAATTTCTCTTCTGTCCCTTTCTTGTTCCATGCTTGACGGACCCACTTCCGTTTTCTCGCTTCGATAATCTCGATCCAAAATCAGTGATATAATCAAAAGTTCATCATCTGAAAACATTGCCATTTTGGTCCATCAAGTTCACTTCTAGGCACGGATAAAATACTGACCGGTGTGAATCTCAGTGGCCGGGAATGCGGGTCGTCACGATTCTGTCACATCACTGATGTGTGTGAACTGACACCTTTGCACCACCGTCGTGTCAGTCTTCGTCCCTGTTCATATACACCAAACATTAATGAGTCCCTTGTCACCAATATGCGGAAAGCACATTCGTTTTCTCTAGTCATTATCCCACTGTAGGACAAACCACAATTACTGAACTGAAAGCACCGATGGTTTGTGCGCCAGCGAACCGGCATACTCGATAGATAAACCTTATAGACAAACCTACCGCAGTATGTATTGCAGGCCTTGCTTAGTTGCAGCAAACGTACTAGTACCTATCGCAGTATACGATACTTACTAGTAGTAGCATGTTATGATTAAAATATTGTTTATATTTTGGCTAGTGCTTCTTGAACGTTTAAGACATTGATACTTCTCAAATATCCTGCATGGCTCAAGCTCAAAAGGGTGGCCTCTTAATGTCCATTGTTTCTACTGAGCAAATCAAATAGCTTAGAATGTACTTCCTGATGTAATTGTCAGTAGAATGTATGGATATAATGCCAATTTGATATAAGATAATCTAAAATTAGATTTGCTTGATTTATCAAGTTTATCCGTTTTTCCTTTGCTGTCAATTCCGTCGTGTACTGGCAGACATTGAATTATTGTGGATATTATGCTTTATGTATTATTGGACAATTATTGTTCCTGTTTTTAAAAAAGAAATTGATAAAAATATGACTTGATTTTTTTATTTTCATGACAAGGCAGAGGTTTTTATATGGAGAGGTTTTTCGTATAATCTAAACATATTTACTCATATTTTAAAACACAATCGGTAATCTCATATATATTATAAACTAGACTTTTACAGCAAAAAGCGTGCAATCATTTTTAATATGTTCGAGTCGATTTATCAACACTGGCGAGTTCGACCGTGACCAATTAATTTTGGTCCGCCTATTCTCGCTCTACTTGAAACACGTTTCTTCCTTTAATCTTCAGTGTTGTGCGGCCAATCGGGTTTTTCCATGAAATAACAATCAAAGTTATTTTGTTTGTTTTTCTGTTTTGTTATTATTTTCCAATACCATAACTGTTCAATCAAATTGTTTGATGAGTTTCTTAAAGTATTTAAAGTTTGCGATGTATCTGTTCACAAACAATTAAATAAAATTTGATAGGTAACTATCAAGAAATCGTGTTCTTATCCCAATGTCATAAATGTCCAATCCACCACATATAAGTTGACTGAACACTTATAGATATTGAAAATTTTAAAAACAAAAATCGATTTAGTTTAGTTTTATAACATGGAAAACGAGCCGTTCAGTAAGTCGAGTATGTCGTATGAGTATGTCTTATAAATCAATTCTATCATAATAGAAATTATTGTTAGGAGATGGATCGACCTTGTGTAGGTTTTCATGTGTGATAATCAGGTATTAGGTCACGGAAAACATAAAAACTCCCAACTTCATGTCAAACTTTCGTTTAATTTGTAAACATCTTCAGGGCTTAATGCGAAAAAACATAAAACCATAGCTATCAATTCGACCAGGTTTTATGTTTTTTTATTTACCTGATTAACCCAGAAACGTAATAGAAATTGAATATGAGGTATGGTATATTTATTTCCTCTGAATGCCTTTTTGTAGGAAAATCCAGTTTTATTCGATTTTTCTATATTTTCTTGATATTCCCGATTGAGATTCATAATGCAAATGACTGTGTAAATAGGTTCTGCTTATTATACAACCCCATAACAACGACTTCTTGTTCATTTTCGTTTATTCTTTATCTAGTACTAGAGTATGTTTATTAAATTATTTTTAAACATTGAAATCATTAATAAAACATCAATCTCTGTCCTTGAATAAGACTTATTAATCTGGCTGTAAGTGCACGAAGGAATCGATAATAATGGAAAAACGGATAAACTTATTCTAAAATAATAAAGATTGATGGGCTGACATTACCAAGAACTATTATCCAACATACCAACAATTGCCTATCACTATATTATAAGCGAGCCTTGCCGTATTTTACCTTACCAGAGGTGGTACTCCAAACTCACTTGACGGTAAAGCCCGGTGCACACATGTGGTTTCTTGCTGGTCCGGCTGCGGGCCCGTAGCAACATACGCATACATACGATTGCCAAACTGGATGGATGTTTAAGACAGAAAACGTGGCATTTTTGCTCACCTTGTTTACAAAGAGTACATTTACAAACGAAATAGACACAGTTTTCATTTTGTTACGGTGCCGCTGCGACATGGAAGGAAATGCTATGGAAAAACGACCGCAAATCCGGTGAAAAACCACGGAAGCTATGTGTGTACTAGCCAATCTGATGCTCTGTACTTCAGACGCAACTGCGAGACCTGACGGCAAAAACCGCTTGTGTTTATGGGGCCTACTAAATGACTGCTGAGTCATAGCTTGCAACCATCAATTCAACAGGCCCATACAATGGAATAGATCGTGTGATTTTCTAGCCATTGTCATTATACTTGGCTACTTTTACTTTTTCCGTTGACCCAAAAGCAGCTGCTAGTGTTCTAGGAACTGAGAAGGGTTTACCTAGGTAGTGTGTAAAAATCTTGCACCGGAGTTTCTCTTGTGTTTGTTCTTCTAAAGGTCATAGTATGCCTTAGTTTGCTCGCTTCGATGTTTTAATTTATTGTAGACGAGATTTAGGTTTTGGACGTATTGCGAGGCCTCAATAAAGAACCAAGTTCCTTAGTGCTTCGTTTTAGAATTTTGTAAAACAGATATGTTACTCATTTTGGAACAACCCCCCAATCGTTTGCCATATAACCAGATCGATTTAAGGATTATAAGTGAGACGAGGAGTAGTGAGGATTATATCGATGGAAAATGTTTCTTCCCAAAAGCCAACGTTGTGTTTACACAGTTATGTTCTGTTTTGTAATGTATTCTGTCCATTTCATTTTAGAATCTAGCGTCACACCTAGATTGTTGTGTGTTTTAGGTACTCAGGTGGGTGAGTGAGTGAGTGAGTGAGTGAGTGAGTGAGTGAGTGAGTGAGTGAGTGAGAGAGAGAGAGAGAGAGTGAGTGAGAGTGAGTGAGTGAGAGAGAGAATGAGAAGGAAAAGCTTCCCCGGTCAGGGCGGGATTCAGCCATATACCGAAAGTGTCAGTAAATCTGCATGCCTGTGTATGTATAAATATGTATTTCAATTCCCCTCAGTTTCGTCATCTTTGCCCCAAACAGCATTTTATGAACTTTTTCACTTTATCCAAATACATTACTCATTACTTATTACATTATTAATACGTAATACATTTATAACGTATAGGTATTTATGAGAGCGTATAGGTATAATAATAAAATTCCACAAGTGGCTCAAATCAGTTTCATAGGAATAAAAATGTTAGTGTGTAAAACCATGTTTTCATTAATAAAAATAGCAAACTAAAAAATGAGAGCTAGTCAAGCTCGATTCCCTTTTTTTATAACCAATTAATTTAGGTTTTGGGTGAAATAACAATAATTTGACAAATACTGTTTAAAATCATTTGACAACTAAAAGTGAAAAGCATTACATATTCTCTTTTAATTGAAGCTAGAGAGGAAGAATATACACTTCATCAACTGCTCGAGTCGTCAACTCGATGGAGAGACGGTTAACATTTGTCCATGATTTATGATCTTAAGAAACCAGTCTTTGCGGGGAAGCCTCATCCATCCATCTACCAACCGTACTGTCTCGTCTCACGATGTACCAGGACCGCGTCCCCCGACACGAACTTATCCTTGTAGGCCCGGCCACCGGGTGAAAAGCTTTAAGCTAAGTGCAGACTTGGCAGAAAAGGGGGCTGCCACTGGTGGGGGCCGGTATAAATTGTGAAAGTTGCGCTGCAACACCGCAGTGATAGCCGGTTCGGTCCCAATGATCTCTTCAGTGCAACTCGTTGTTTTTTTCCTGCTCGTCGCAACCTCTGCAGCCCAGAGGCCGGCCTTCGGCAGGTGTCCTACAGTAGAGCCCAAGGAAAATTTCGATGTCGAAAAGGTATCCGCTCACATTTCCGCTAATTAAAATTGTTTAAAACTTAATTTTAAAAAGATCAGACAAGCATTTTAGGCGGTTTATTAACATATTTACCGTTGTACATTTAGCTAATCGGGTTTCGAACGGTACCCAGGTGATTTCACACAAATCAAACAAGACCGAGCTAACGTAACAGACTTAAAGTGGCGTCCTACACATTTTCAAAAAATAGGTCACGCCTCTTCAGTCATACCCACATTTCTCAATTTCAAATAAATAATGATATTTTTTTGTTTGGGCACAATGACAGAGCGCTTAGCACCCAATAATCGCCTCATGATTAATGATCACCTTTTAGAAATCAGCTTCGTTGTTGTACGAGATGAAGACGTGAAGACGTTCTTAAAAACGAACAATTGTCATAAAGGCTCGCCATGTAAGTCAATATGCTTTCCAAACGTGATCAAATGTATTAATAAAAAATCAAATTATAAAGACTTCGATTGATAGGTTCGGACAAACAAATAGCGCTATTTATTTGTCCGAATCTATAAATCGAAGAAAAGCCAGTCTACTAAAAAAGGAAGAGGAGTAGCAATTTATAAAGACTTTCAGACGTTTCATTTTGTTTATAATCGGCTTGCCTATTCTCGTTCGAATTTCTAACCGGCTTGAAGCTCTTCATTTCTTACGCTGGTCTTTTACCATCATTTTTATTTGAATCAATGAATGATCGCACAAAAAGGTCCTTTTGTCGATTATTTCCTTTTTTTAAGTATCATTGAAAATTATAAGTAATTTAAATCGTTATGCAGACATCAAAAAGAGAGACAAAGGCAGACATATAGTGGTACCAGTTGTAAACAGTTTTCTGTAAAGGTGCGGAAATATTTACGAATCGTGCTTTGCAAATATTTATCACCAACTTCCGATGGTTCATGGGAAAACAGCAAACCGCCGATGTAAATTATACGATTTTGGTTAAGAGTGGAGCGGCTTTAGTGATCGCCAGTTTGTGCAAGAAGAGGAGGAAAATGCCTGGACAAAATGCCGTACCAATATGAACTACGAATCTATTTGTATTCATCAAAAAATGTGGTGGATCGCCACAGACGGTTACTTCGCAAATTACCACACCTTAAGATATCCTTTTTTTCCGAATATAGTAGGGTACAATCGGGCTGCTGGATTCGAACCTGGGACCTTTACCTTACAGTGATGAGTCGCCGTGTCAACGTCTAAACCGTTACTGACACCGACACCACAGGTTTACTTTTCAAATTATGTTGCAAGATTTGACTAAACTGATCATTTGAATATATTTGTTAATGAACTTAAACCGGATTGAATCGACAAATGACTAATAATGATAATAATTGAAAAATTAAATGTTACATATAAAAAAGTTTAGCGACGTATTTTAACTATGTTTTCAACAGAAATATAGAAAAAATCCTGCCAAAAAATCATTTCTCCTAGTGTGATGCTTTAAGTTATTTCGCATGATATAAAAGGCAACTTAATATGGTTTGGTTTTAATTTTAAACTTTACTTTGTAGATCGTGAGATGCGGTCTGGTGTGACGTAGGTTTTAGAAAAACATTTTCTTTATCGTGCGAACGTTTCGATCTTTATTGAGCCCTGAAGATGATCTCAATAAAGATCGAAACGTTGGCACGATAAAGAAAATGTTTTTCTAAAAACTACGTCCACACATCTCCAAATAATCGTTGACTAACGGTCACTAAACGCCACACATTTATACTTTACATTCAGATACATAAGTAAATAAACATATACATGATAACAGAATCAGGTACAAGAAGTTTACGCCAAATTAAACAAATTTTCAATAACTAAACGATACAAGTGTCCACAAATTATTGCTCTTAATTAACTTCAAAAGCGATAACCGTTGACAAAACCCCGTCATTACGGTCATTACGACCAATATCGCGTTTGAAGCATGTAATAGTCAATTGATTGGGTGGCAAGGCAAGGGTCAATTCAGGGATAGTTGTCTATGTTTGTGAAGTCAGTTAATTAAGAATAATTTGTGGACGCGAGTTTTTTTTTTTTTTTTTTTTTTTTTTTTATATTTAATACAAATTACATATAGTTGACATTGAAATTTGAAGAATAATGAAATTCCCAAAACATGGTTGAATTGTTCAAGATGTCACGCCAAAATTAGACAATTCGACTAAAATGAGTTTAGAATTTAAAATCTGCTTGTCATGAATAAATATTCTTCGCACACAGTAGATGAAATGTAAAGTTGAACAGAAAATTAGCCTAATTAAAATTCAACATAATTACGAAATGACTTTTTTACTATGTTGATAATGTGAACTGAACTGTTTTTGAATGCGGCACAATTTCAGATCCGTTGCGCAGGGAGGAAATCCTCGATACGTTCCATTCCGAGATCTGCATGTTGCAGAGGAGGATGTTTTGAAATGCCGTCGCTTTCTCTAAATTCGTACGATTTTGATCTATATAGTGTTTGATGATTTTGAACAACACTCCGGATCATTTTGATTTTTGACCATGATTTGTTATGTACCGTTAATTTGCGTTTATTCACAATCACATTCATCTAACGAACAAGCGAGAGGAGCAGAACCAAAATCTTCCAGGTTGAATACCACGCAAGAAATTGAAATTGTCCTAAGTATGGCAATATTGTTTTGACATGACCGTTTTCAACAAATAAACTAAATAAATTACTTTTGATTCAGTAAGTGACACCGCCTTTCTTCCGAGTTTCTTGAAACTTTCTTTTTCTATTTTTACTTTCATTATAAATTTTGGATTTAGATTTTTCATTAGACATACCTTGTCACATTATGCTATTTTTAACCAGTGTTTTGTAGAAAAATTACGGTACTAAGTTTTTTTTTAAACTTACCAATTAAGTATCAATTAAGCAAAGTTTTAATTATTTAATTATGCAATGAAGTTTTTTGAATGGTTTAGAAAACAATTTCATAATTCTTATGACTGTTTAGCGCCCTACAATTAATTCAAGATCCTTATTCAAAAAATCCAACCACCCAGAAAATCTGGGAATCTATTGCCAATTTAGCCAACCTGTGGATCTATTGGATCCCAAGCCATGTAGGTATTGTGTTGTCCGGAAAATAATGCATACTTTTTGTTATAAAATAAAAACAATTAAATAAATGATTTTAAACATTTTTTTATTAATTACAACACCCTCCATCACTCTCAATACATTTCTCCCAACGTGATGGCAACTTTTCTATACCTTCTGAATAGTATTTTGAGTCTTTATTATTAACAAATTCTGTAAACGCATTTTCTAACGACTTTTGATCAATAATTTTTTGATGTTGTAAAACGTTATCTAGGTGTTTGAAAAAAATGGTAATCGGTAGGCGAGAGCTTTGGAGGATAGGGAGGGTGAACAGAACCTCATAACCAAGATCTAACATTTTTCGTGTTATCACATGTAAGAAGTGTGTGCATATTTGTCCGAGAAGTAGAGAAAGGTTGCTCGATGTGTCCCACCTAATTGAAGGTCCTTGGCTCTATGTAGAGAGCGTGTAGGTATGCCACACGATATGAAAATTATCCGTGGGCACGGCAGCGAGTATCTGTGTCCCCCGTTCCATTCATGGAGGAAACAGGGTTGTTTTTGTATATAGTAATGGCAGTTTTGTGTCCCTAGCGTGTACTGAGAGTGAATGTGTTGATTAATGCGAACGTGAAGTTTGAGAGGGCCTGGTGGAATTGAGTGACTCGACCCTCAATTAGTTAAATAATAAGTGTAAAGGTGATGAAGGAATATCAAGTACTCCTCTACCCTAACTGAGTGTTTATTGCGTATAGTAATGATAGTTTTGGTCCTTTGCGTGTTTTGAGAATGAATGTATTTATTGGAGTGAATGTGCAGTGTGAGAGAGCTGATTGCGGAATACTGAGTACCCCATTGACCCTCAATTCGGTTAATTATATAATACATGTGAGGGATAATGGAATTTTTTTAAACTATTTATTTATTTATTAAGCATGCTCCACAAAACTATTACATGCATTAATAAATATTAAATAATATTACAATCATACAAAAAATACAAACAAAAAGAAGAGAAAAAAAGACTACATGATTATAAACGAACATTTTGACACTTTAATTTTCTTAAATAAATTAAATATTTTCGTGGTTCATACTTTTAACAAAACTTTAAAATCTGTAAGTATAGTAATGGAAACTAAGGTTTTATAAATCAATAACAATTAATTAAAAGGGTAAGATTTGTAAGTATAGTTTATCAAAGTCTATCGCCGATAAGAAGTTCTCAAATCCGAGCAATTTATCATTTGACACCAAATCACTCTTTTTATGAGGCTACACACCACCGGTCGTCACCAAGAATTTCATCAACTCGCTTTTTTCGCTTTCGAACATTGCACAAGAGTATCGAGTGTGCCACTACCCTGACCGATTGGATGGCATGTACGGATAAGAGTGTATGTAAGGTGAGTGAGAGTGTTAACGGATTTAGGAACTGCATGCGTTGTGTTCTGAATTGGCCTAGCTAGACAGCACCCAACCTCGGAAGGATAAAACCGGGGTCTGACCCCGCACTGCCCACAACCAAGGTGGGTGATTCTCGAGACCTGTCAGCAATTTATTGAAATTACAAAATCTGGAATTGCCGGTGGACTGCGAGAAGTGCTTGTGTCCCTTAAGCAAAAGTAAACAGTAACACCGCGCTTGAATATCATGGAGATCGTCTGTCCACCTTGACCAAACCGTGGTTCTGCAATCTACAAAAACCTACAAAGCTTCACGAGCTGCAGAAAAATCGTCGATGCCAACAGGCTCTGCGGCAAGTCCGTTTGCAGAAAACAACGTCGGCGACAAACGCCTGATGGGCATGAAAGTCTGAGATCTTACGTTGTTTATCCTCGGTGCCGACATATACATAACAGTGTCGGCCGAAGAAGTCAAGCTATTTATGTACATATGTCTTAATCAATCCTGCCATATTCAGCTAACTGGACAAAAGGATTAATAATCGTCGAATGTTATTCGGAATAAATATCATGTTCAATTCAGTGTCTGCTTTATGTTAAAGTAGAATTTGGTACACACTCAATGTCTCGTTTTCATTTCAATCCAAAACTCTAAAAACGACTCGCTAACAAAAATGTTTCACGTTAAAACCAACGGCGTGCGCCCCGACAAACCCCTACCCGATTTTTACCAAATATCCTAAGGATGACCAAGTTTAGCCTTGATAAAATAATGAAAAATTTAAAACTAAGAATTTTATGTACAAATCGAGAAAGTGTGAGTGTGAGTCACTTTTCTGCATTCTGTACACGTTTGGATGGTAACTGCCCGCTAAAAAAAATAAATGGAGATGGAGATGTGACCCGCGGCGAATTTAAATTTATTAATAAATCATTTCCTCGCTGGAGGGCCAAAAAAATGGCTACGGCTCGTATATAAAATACCGAACTAAATTTCAAAATCTTCAAAACAAAAATAGTCCTCTCCCGACATTACATTACATTACAAGACTTACACTGATAGCTTCTATTAAGAGCGATAATTTATTAATGACGAATTACTTATTTATTTTGTACCATATGAACTAATTTAATCCGCAGAACTGCCGTAATATGACAAAATAATGACCAGATATTTTCTTACAATCTCTTAAATAATATCATAGCTAAGAAAGCAATCTGGAGACTAAAAAGAAGCAGATTTTAGGCTATGATGTTTTAGCCTGTATTTATGAAAACAGTTAATTGACCACAAAGTGTGAGAAAGCAAGCTGACGACTCTCTAAAAAGACACTTAAATAATATGATCGGCTGTCCACAATTAATCAATTTGCTAAATTTTCCTATTCCATAATGTAACACCAGACAAAAAAATATTTTCACAATCTAATTATAATATAAATGTAATAAATTATTTAAAATTTAGTCCAATTTCTAGACTCATAGAAACGAGTAATAAACTTCCTTTACATTGTACCACATTTTACCTTTCCTTAAGTCAATTTAAACATTTTTTTAAAATATAGATCATGGCAATTGCATTTGATTTGCTTATATATTTCTGTTGCTTAATTAAATTGTTATCATTCCTTCCCACTTCCTTTATATTTGTTTATATATTTCTGTTAAATAATTATTAATTGTTAATAAATGATTACATTTTTATCATTCCTTATATTGGTTTATATATGTCAGTTAAATAATTATTAGTTGTTAATAAATAATTCAATTTTTATCATTCCTTATATATTTTTGTTGTTTAATCACATTATTATCATTCCTTCCAATTTCCTTTACATTTGTTTATATATTTTTGTGTTTAATTAAATTTTTATCATTCCTTTTCATTTCCTTTATATTTGTTTATTTATTCTGTTGTTTAATTAAATGCTTTATCATTCCTTCTCACTTTATTTATATTTTTACACACATGTGTATTGTGACACAATTGCAATATTTTATGTGCATTTGTTATGCTGAATATGTCCATATTTTCAATTATTCTTCTATGTATATTATTATTATTATTTTCACTAATTTCGTGGTCCGCTTGACCAATTAAATATTACAATTAACAATTTTCATCTCGACTAAAACCTTAATTAATTTATTATTATTATTATTTATGTTTCAATATAATATTTATTATTACTTATTTATAGTTTAAACTCTAATAGAACTTGTAACAGGGTATACTTACCCATACAAATAAATAAATAAATAAATAGTTTCTAATAGATACACGCGCAATTTACGCTGTTTTGATCAGACGAGTTTGAAACTGAGAATCTATTGGATAATATTTTTATTTTCTTGAAGTTCATATACATAACAAACAAATGCCAGTAAGTTTTTAATTATATTTATAATACGATATTGAAATTAGCATAATTACTGGAGTTAAAATATTTGCTTTGCTATTCATTTTTAAAAGTTTTAGAGCTGAAAAGATGTAGCACAACCTAAGAAATTAAATCGACATTGTGAAAATTACTGTTCCATTCCGATTAACAAGGGATTTCCTTCCACAGTCAAAAGAATTACACGTATTAAGTGAAGGGAGCAATTAAATAATTGCTGTATGATCAGAGTGTTCCAACTTGAGGTCTGGCCGATTGCATTTACCATTGTATCACAACCATGTGTAACATTTATTTTTGGGTGATGCTGAAGTTCAAGGTACCGTGAGTCGTTAGTTAGCAAAGAGTTTCCACTTTTCAAAAGGACAGGCTAATTGATATTATACATAACAATACATGCTTGCATACACATGAAGAAAAACATACTAATAGTATGTAAGATTTCCTCCTGTACTAATAGTATGTTCTTTCTTAATTTTTATTCTTTCTTACTTTGTTCTCTTCTTCACTATTTTTATTTATTTTTTCAGTTTGTAGGCAACTGGGTTGAGATTGAGCGATCATTCTACCTTTTCGAATCTTCACTATCGTGCACAAAGGTCAACTTCACACTGTATGAGAACAGCACCCTGAAGGCAGATGTCAATTATCGTGTGCCATGGTAGGACAAAGGCAGATTGAAATTGTTAAATTTTTTAATAATAAAATGTGTTTCTCAGGAGGGGGACGAGCAGTGTGTCCTCCTACTTTGTCAAAGATGCGACTAAGACACCAGGGGAGCTCAACATGGTCCTTGCCAGTACTCTCCCGTCCTTAATTGCCAGGATGGCACCAGGTAGTGGAAAGTACATCGTCTTAGACACGGACTACACAGACTTTGCACTCATTTACTCGTGTACTGACCTCAGATTTGTACATGCAGGTGAGCAATATTTGTCTACTAATTTGACATGATTTATTTTTTATTGAAACCTGTAATTTTTTATAGATTTTATCTGGGTACTCGGCAGAGGGTCTGATATTTCAGTGGAAGCCAGGACGGTCGTGTACTCGACGTTGGACAAAAACAAAATAAACAGGGACCGGCTGCTTCTAACCAATAACAAAGACTGTTAGGAAATAATTATTTTTATATACATGCATTGTTCTGAAAATCTGAAAGTTGGAAACTTTGCCAAAAATCACTTTTCTTGTGTTTAACATGAGCAAAATGGACATTCATGTTCAATAGATTTAGGCAATGAATGTTTAATCAATTTCAGGATATTTTCATCCAAAGAAAATTTATTAAATTACAAAATACCAATTTTAAATACTTCCCTTTGTACATAAGTAACTGATAAATATTTAGATCGTTAGTAATAATAATTATTTGTTTTAAAAAAAGTTTTAGTTTCATTATCCTTTTTTTTATTTTTCATTTTTATATGTAAAAGGTTGGAGTTACTACATTTGAATATCTAGAAAAGAGACGCAATTTTTAAGAATTTTTGTTGTATATTATTGCAATAGGTATAAGTATCTGTGGTTTGATTTATCAAACAAAAATTTACACAATTACCGACCAAACAAAACATTATAAAACAATTATATAACATTAAACTTATAACAAATCATATATTTGCGTTTTAAAACACACATACTCATATAAATAAAACAATTTGTACATTTACAGGCTATTGAAAAAACAAAACAAAACACAAAACATCAAAGGTTTTACATCCAATGAATATGTAATAAGAAAGAATTAACATTATAAAAGAATCAACATCAAAAAGTAAACTATTAACATTTTAGAAGTAGTTAAACAAAATAAAACTTTAGAAACAAACGCCTTTTACTGTAGAAAATAAATGTTAATTATGTTACGTTATTTAAGTCATAACATCTCATTTGTCGTCTCAACTGTTGTAATTGTTTTTCATTGTTTTATATACAAGGGAAGCTCTTTGACATTTTGCAGTTTCAAGAAGGAATATAAAAAGTTTGTATTTTGGTCGATACAATAGTCTTTTGAAGGGCGAGGTTTCTATAAATATTTAACAAAAACATATAGGCTAGTTGAAACTACTCAAGGCCTTTTTATTTTTGTAAAAAGTAAAAAAATGCGCAGGCCAATTTTTTTCACAATATTTTCAACTTATTCTTTTAATATTGAAAAGACATACAAATAACCCCCGTAACAAGCATGGATTCTGCATCTAATAACTATTCTCGCTATAACTCGTTTTTTGTGACAATCATGATCAATGTGACATTTCCATGTTAGTGTTGTATTATAACAATCTTTTTAAATAAAATAATAATATAAAAATAAAATAAATAATATATTTCTATATAATATTTAAATGTTGATTATCTTATATTCATATATATTGTGTTGTATTTATGAATTTTACGACGACTTTTCATTACAACAAATATATTTGTGAATTTTACATGTTGACAATATGTGACACCTGCATTTGGACTTAAAAATGATGAGGAAAATCAATCTCAAAAAATAAACCTATAAAATAAATTTTTCAGTATAATACATAAAATCTATTTTAGATTTCTTGTCAATATGAATGCGGTGATGAAACAAAAAACATTTTATCTACTATATTTGAATTTTTTTAATGAAAGATATTTACACTACTCTTAGTTACAAAATATAATAGTAAGTAATTAATCCATTCTGTTTATTTACAAAACAAAATCATAGTGACCATGTTATACAGAGGTTATTTGTAATCTGTCTTACTGAACTAGAATTCGCATTCACCTGACATACAAAAAGCGTTTTTGCTCACTTATAATCGATTATCCAACATTTATGAACACAGCTTTCAAACAGGAATATACAAAGGGTCAACGTTATATTATAGAATATACAATACTCAACATATTCAGGTCCCACTGTTCTTAACAACTAATTTAAATTAAATATTAATCTGTATTGCTTTGTTGACTATCTTTTAATGGCTGTTTTGGCAGCATCCTGCTCCCACTGGTGGCCTTTCTCCACCTCATGTGTAACGATGACGAAGAGTTCTTTCTCTTTGCAGTCCAGCTGATCCTGGAGGTAGTCCATGAGATCCTTTTCCTGTGATACATAGGTGGAAAAGAAAATTACACACTGTGGAAACAATTAAATAATTAAAAGCAGCATCAGGTAAATTATACACTGCGGCATGTGCTCAAGGATAGGGGAAAAAATGCTTTTCCCAGTAACGCAATCGATATAAACAAATTACCCATCATTATATAAATCTTTTAATTTAAAAGGAAGCAAGTGAAAATATGTCACATATAAACAGATTTATATATGAATTACAAACAAACATTTTCTATTTTACCTGTCCAATCATATGAGGAGCGTCAAGTTTGGAATCGAGGTTGTAATACACGCCTGAGATTCTTCTGATGGCAATCCAGTGGCGTTTTTTTAAAGGTAGTAAGACAAAGCCAAGCCTGTAGTCGCTTGGGACGTTTAAGATGAAGCCACAAATCTGTGAGAGTTGAAGGCTCTCGGGGGATCTGCACAAAAAAAGAAAAATTGACTAAAATTAACATACTTTGGTTGGATATATTGATATACACATTACAAATATTTTATCATATTCAATGAATGTTAAACAGCAACAAAATTCAACCCAACAAAACTTTGCAATGTTTATCAGTATGTATTTGAATAAGAAATAGTAGTAAAATATTCATAAATCAAAATTATGTACGAACACTATTAGATTAAATGATATTGATTTAACAATATGAAAAAAAGACTAACTTACTTTCTTTTGTCAAACCAAATGGCTTCGCAGCCCTTGCGCTGTAGAGCTGCCATAATTACATTGACATCATAATTTCCCAGGCCGAGTAGGGACTTGTGCGGATTTATCCAGACGTGCGGCGAGAGTGACTGGCATATTTCATCCAAGTCTGCCTTGCTGAATGCGTCTCTCGACTGGAACAAGTTGTTGAGTGCATGGAGGGCGCACAATTCTTTAACCTGGTGCCAACAAAACATCATAATCATTTACATTTACATTAAGAAAAATGATAAAGATGATGAAATTGTTAATGCGGCTTTGTGTATTCATTCTACTAAATGAATGAATTTATTAGTTTAATTTAATTCAAAAAAAGTGGAAGCACGTGCAAAATCATAGTAAAAATGCTTTCAAATGATGATGAATTGGCCTGCGAGACAGTGAGCTCATGTTTAACTGGCACACTGATGGGATACGAGTCTACCCAGGCAGGTAGACCTCGGGTCTTGGTCACCCACCCTGCGTAATACATAACTGGCACTGGGTCACTACAGGGTCGCCTCCACCCGCAAGTGACCAAAACCCATAAAGCGGAGAACACACATACCCCATGCTACCCAACGCCTTGTCTCGTTTTGGTAGGGAGTGCACATCTATCCGACGTTAAGCGCATGCCACGTACAGTCACAAGCGTGTATCTCAAATCAGTATCACAATCACAACGCCTCTTTTCTTAATGCATTATTATCAAAAAACCATGTAATACATGGATAGTTAAATTTTATGAGCAAAACCATGTAATAAACTGTTTTAAGAGCACAGTCATATAATAAATGGTTAGATAAATTCATTCTATTAATAAATGGTGTACTGGTGTTTTGATAAATTTTCTGCCAAACCATTAAAATTAAATAATTTTTATAAAAACCCATGAATTTTTGATCTCATTTGATTTGGTTTTTATTAAAAAAAGCATGTTATAATTAATATAATGACAAAAATACAAATAGTTTGAAATAAAAATATGAGTGTCTGGTTCTTTTGTCTTCAACTGTACTCAACGAAAATCTGGACAGTGGGGAACTTGGTTGCATCCCGTACTGTCGAGTAGAGGGTAGTGTTGTGTGGCAACAGGCAGATGTGCACAGGGGTAATACAATTTAAGAAAAATTGGACATTGGATTTGCGTCAGGAACCCCCGTGCATTGGGTGTTCCCCGCTTTATCAACTCAACAGCCAGTCAAGCTATGTTACTTAAAAGTATGTACATAAAAACAACCCACGAATGGAGAGGGTAAGTGACCCTGTACCGGTTCAACAAGTCTTGCAGACCAAAGACCAAAACCCATCATCAACTCTAAAACACCCAGGCAGGCTATGTTACTTAAAAGGTATGAACATAAAACAACCCGCGAGTAGAGACAGACACAGCAAATGATTCTTTGCCAGTTTAACATGAAAATCAGAGTCGTTAGAAGATAGTGATTGTTCGATTGTCATTTTTACTCAAGGAGCAGACCGAGGAAATTCCTTTGTCTACAAACCTGTTTCTCGTGGTAAATGCCATTTTGAGTCGCATTCATAGCAGCGAATTCGGCAGCATCACGGGACGGTGCAACGGCAAACGGAGTGCCTCTTCCAACTCATCGGCCAGCGATGCTCGCTTGCATGTTTCGACCTCGGGACGGGAAAACGGCAACGCCGACGTCGACACGGCAATTTAAATATAGAGAAAAAGCCGATTGGAAAAATAGAATCTCCGGAGGAGACGTGACACAAGTTTGGCAGAGTTTATAACGGACGTGAACTGGATAATCAAAACATAACCTAGTCTTTCAGAGGACTCTGCAACGATAACGGACAGTGTTGCCTATCGGACATCGGCTATCTCCCAACCAACCGTTTCAAACTTTCTATCGACAGTGAACAGCCAACCTAAGTTGTCGTCGGCTAACTAGAATAAAACACAAAGACGTACAATGTTCATCTGTATACACAACATTCTTATTATGTCATCAAGTATGCATATTTTTATTTTGCCCCTTCCCTCAGCCTAAGCTACATGTAATCAAGTATTGTAATTATAAGTAAGATTCTTTGTACGCTTCCTTGGGAGCAGATCGGCGATGTTTTAAAAATATATTAAATTATTAAGACGACGTATTTATGAAACGTCACTGCCATCAGAGTAGCCGCTTCTGAAAGCCGATAGAGGGCAAGTCAGAAGACCGACTATCACTACCAAAGTCCGAAACTGTAGCAGACTAGCGTCTAGCAGTACGAAGACGAACTATGAAGAGTATAAAGATGAATGAACCTCGGCGGCCGCAGTGGTTAAGGATTTGACGCGGCTCTTGTCATTGTAAGGTAAAGGTCCCGGGTTCGAATCCTGCGGCCCTATATTCAAACCCGACATATTTACTAACAAATGGGCTGTTTTGCAAAAACACCGGCACCCCTCCGGTTAATATATATTTTCAGTTGAAATACCCCCGAAAAAAATAAGACATTCGGAATGAGAGATGTAAAAGTACAGGTTCAGGAATGTTAGGAAGGTAGACAACACCTATGAATATACACGATCCTTCCGATTGGAATTACTATATGCTTTTACTTGACTTAGTACACTTAACGCCTGCGATTATGATGACAGAACACCTTGAGTGGCCTGTTTTTATTTTGCCAAGCCTAATAGTTTTAAATGGTTCAATGTAGGTAGAATTTGTTTTACCATATTATGGTCATGAATCATTCTTTCAGAGAGAGGATGAAGATGATTCATTTACATTATGTAATACAATGTTTTTGGTACGTTTGTTTCAATCAAACAATTCTGAAACTGCTTCTTCTAAAAGGTCAACTTTGTTTAGTAGTATATTTGTATACTATGTACAATACACTTCCTAATGAATGGAAATGAATCAAACAGATAGGATTTTAAGGAAGAGATAATGAGTAGAGAAGAATGTCCTTGACTGTCCAGAGCAAGCACGTGTACCAATTCGGTCAAAGGTTTGTCTCTCGTCTAGGAAAGAGGCGGAAGATGGATGCAATGGTGTCTACCACGTTGAATGGTATGAATTGAATATGCTGAATGGTAGTGATGTTACAGTTAATTCGCCTGAACCTTAATTGATTGTATGGAATGACATTTGAGCTTTCAAGGATGGGATATATGTGTTTCAGGATCAATTTTTTCAAGGATTTTGCGAAGTAAACTGATGTGCCGAAATGACTTAGGGAGATGAGGTTTTTTATTTGATGTGGAGGTTAATTAAAAATAATTAGGGGAGAAAAAGTGATTTTGTAAGGTGAGGATATTGGGTTCGTAGTGCGGCAAACTCATTTTCAGTGCTTAGATTTGCAGTCACCACCAGAGTTGAAAGAAGGGTAAAGGGAGAGAAGGGAAGTTTGATAAGAAACGGCCTGAACTGTAGGCGAGAAGTGGAGAGGGAGATAGAAGTGGCCTGCAAAATTAGAATAAGACTGAAGGAGATGGTGGAATATCGTTTGGTATTAGGATTAATGTATCGCAGTGGGCCATGTTGTCCCGGAGATTTGTATGTTATGTCGTGTGATTTTTGATATAGCAGGTGAACTGAAAGAAATCTTTAGGTATAGAAAAATGGAAGGGCATAATGCTAATTTTTGTGCAAATGGGATTAATCAGTACAAAAGTAAATAAAAGAAGTAACAAAGCATTATTTACTGTTCATTTGGAATATAACTAATATAACTCCTAATTACCTGTAACTAATGTAAAAGATAATGGATTTCATTTTAAATTAAATTGAGTGGTGCGTTTAAGTTTCCATGAGTTTATTTATTGTTACGGTACTATTGATACACCCCACAAACTTCTCCACCAAGCTACCAGCACCCATAACTTGGGTTGGAACCCTTGACAGTGTGTGATGAAAATATATGAAACTGGTATAGATAGGGTTGTGAGGTCAATTTAATAAAATTTAGTTTATGTGAAAAGTTTTTACTACAGAACATAGAAATGAAAAACACACTGAACTAATATAGAATAAATGAATCATTATTATTTGCAATTTTCACCACTAATCACAGAAATTGTAGTATCTCCCATGTATGAAGGTGACATTTGTTGCTATTTTTTTCCTTTCTATAATGTAGAGGGCAAATGTAGCTGTACATAAAAGAAGAAACATTAGTATTTGCCAATTCTTATTTTTTATTTATTATTCTCTAAAACTAGTAGGAAAATTCAAGTAAAACTAGATAAGCAGTACCTAACAAGTGCGTTTAAGAGAAGAAAAAACCATAGCCTTTTTCAATCGCTCGAAAGAAAAAGAACATTTATAAGGAAATGTAGACCAATAAATACTGTAAAAAAGGAAGTAAATTAATGAAGTACAAGCATGGGTAGTCCTCAACTTGTCACATTATGCTTTGAAAGGAAAAATGAAGAAAAGATATGAGCAAAATTACTTAAATCGTTAAAAAAAGTCACAGTGGGGTCATTCTAAGCCCCAGTAAAAAAAATAAACAAAAAATATCTCCTGAGTCATTGTGGAGTAAAATACATCCAAGAATGCACTTATAATGGTCCTTCAAACTGAAGCACAACTGTGGTGGATCGTTTGTCCACAGCCACAGCAGGACTACCGACTTAATTTACAGGGTACTCATTTCACCACCAATTATTATTATTACTTTTTTATTCTTCAAAAGTATGCAACAAAACAGATTGTGTGTGGTAAATTTTGACCTCACAACGACCTCCAAGGGCTAAATAAGTACTGCAAAGAGGAACCAAGTTTTATATTATTGAGTCGTGATATCAGTGGGTGATGATTGATGATATGCCAGTTGATAAGATTTTTTGGGCTTTTACACCCCCTGATCTATTTTCGTGTGTAGATGGTCAATTTTTTCTGTTTTAATGCCCAATTTGAATAAAAATGGCCTTCCCGGTCTGTTGATATTCGACTGGTGGGGGTGAAAAATAGTGGAGATTGCGCGAAAGCGTTCATCGGGAAAAAAAACCGTGAATATCGTCAAAAAAATAGCTAGGCGTTTTCGCGAATCCGCCAAGAGAGTCAACCGTCCTTCGTTGGACACCGGCGGAACTCGTTTGTGCAGAAAGCCAGCGGTCTGCACGAGGCGGAAAAAAGACGTCGCCTGACGCTTCGGCCGGGGTGGGGATGTGAAATCGATCGCGACGACATGTTTTCGATAAAGTGTCCGACGGACTTCTCGGCTCGGCGTTGAAACGAAGATTGAAAGAGAAAGAGAGACCGCATCATCGCCCGTGGTCATCATCACGACGACACCCATCGCCGGCCCGCCCGCCCAGTCGTAAGTACGAGATGGCGAGCCCTCCGGCTTCCGCCCGACCCTTTATCACTTATGTTTACTTCGCCCTTAGCCCTTCGCCCATCGACGACCTTTTCCAAACTACTAGCTCGATGAATCATAAATCAATTAAATCCAAACAATCACGGCATTTTCTTCGAACTATTTATTCTTCTGTAAACAACCACACCTTTCAAATCCGTTCATATTCTGTCATTCCTTATAAAAAATATTAACACCTTGCAAAATGAAAACGAAAAATCGTTTTTCCTTAAAATAAAAGTACAATAAATAAATATAGATTTTTTTCTCTGTACAATGAATACAGGATGAGCCAAATCCATCTTTGTTCTACTAAAGTGAAAAAAATAAATGAATAACCGGATGAATCATCATGATGTCACTTATATAACTTCTACCGATGTTGACAATATAAAATTAATTATAATCCGTTCAAATTAAAATAAAAAGAATAAATCTACCTGACGGTTTGACATACCTTGTTAAGTTTAAACTAGAAAAACATATTTCGTTTCCATCTTGATTCTCAGGTAGGATCTGATTATCCTATCACATAATAAGAAAGTTGCATTACTGCAATTATTTTATTACATCTTATTAATTAAATAGACATAAAATATATGACATTATTTTGACAGTTTGTTATGTCTTGTCAAGATTATTTATTGAAGTAAAGAGATCAGGGATGAAGGCATGTAGATGAAAAAACCAACTTGTTTTTCGGCTGTATTTGACGTCTTCCTCGGGACTTTGAAAAACTTTACAACCAGTTCGGACATGTGGTCCCTTGTCAAGGTTTTTTAGATATCGTGAGATGTGGGATTAGAAAAATATTGTCTTTGTCTTATTTGGAGATTGTGAGATGCAGTCTGGTGTGGCGTAGGTTTTAGAAAAACATTTTCTTTATCGTGCCAACGTTTCGATCTTTATTGAGCCCTGAAGATGATCTCAATAAAGCTAGAAACATACGTTGGCACGATAAAGAAAATGTTTTTCTAAAACCTACTTCACACCAGACCGCATCTCCACGATCTCCAAATAATCATTGACTGTCACTAAACACCACACATTGTCTTTAAAATGCCAATGTTTCCATATTGAGGATAAGTTGAATTTCTTACAATACAGCTTTTTTTTCCAAATATTTTATATAAAAAGTCAAAATACTTTTAGTTATTATATATTAATTAATATATGATATTTAGTTTACACGTAAACTCAGCCTCAGCTATGCTAATATCATAAATCAAATGCAATATCTTCAATCAACATACATAAAACACACAAAACAAATAATAAAATATAGAAAACAATCATTTCCCTCTACACTTCAAACAATTCTACATAGTCTAAATTTCCAACTATTTGTCTCTCCTTTCCCTAATAATCCCGCCTATATTTCAGTCCCTGTCCTCTCAAAGAAGTCGATTTCTCATAGAAAAACCAATTTCTATCACTACCTCCTTCCCCACTCCTTCAAAATCAAACACATATAAACAAAAAAAACATTAAAATCTCATTAACATTTTCAACACGACACACAACAGTGACACATCTACACAGAAAACACTTTGAGTGAGCACAAAAACTTTGATTAAACTTAAAATTTCTTTATTGTGTACATCATTGTATAAATTCATAGTCGAAATGTTTATAAATCCCAGGGCCTGTAGATGATCTCAATAAAGATCGAAACGTTGGCACAATAAAGAAAATGTTTTTCTAACCTACATCACACCTCACCGCATCTCACAATCTTTAAAATATATATATATATATTTTAAAAAAATCTTAAATCCAAATTGTATTACTGAGTCTGTGACAGACAGACCAGAATGATTGGTAACATCTTAATTTCAGGTTCAACACCCCATAGACCTCAAAGAGAAATCTCACACCTATTATTATATAAAACATATAAATTATAATTTTGACTTGGCAATATTCTGAATTACAATAATTATTACTTTGGTGGTTGGGGACCAGTGAGACGTACCAGGGCTACAGTGGAAATTGAACCAATTGAACGGAGTCTGACGCCGTACCCACACCCGGCCTAGTTGTCAAACATTCCAATGAGTTGATTTTTTATGTTGAGAGAGCCTTTAAATGTTTGGCTGAAATTTGAATTTAAGCTCTCTTCTTACATTACATATTAAACTTTCGTTGTCTGAAAACACCTTCCAAAAAGCCCTATCAAAAAGGAATTTTATCATCTATAAAAGAAAAAAGAATGGCAACAATTATTCTTTTTTATTTTATTAACAATTTTTATTTTATTCTAATAAATATGTTAAACTCTTGTTTTCCTGATTTTTTATGGCAGCAGAATGTTTAAAAAAATAAATTCCTCTTTTCATTTTACATCATTTGAAATAACAAAAACCTCAAATTGATTGATTTACTCAATCAAACTCAGATATGAAGTTTTACATCACTTGACATACAGAATAGTTTTTTGTACATTAAATCTCCTGGAAATTGATCATTTGTCTTCATTCCACTAGCAGCCAATTCAAGTATTTGCTGCAAACAGAATAGTATAAATTCACACATTCTCTGTTCATAAAAATCTTTGATTTTGAAAAAAAAAATATTTTGTCTTATTTTATACAGAGTATTTAATTTGACTTTTTTTTTGAAAAATTCATTTCAGAATAAGAACATTCGAAGTACAATTAAAATTCTGAAATGAGCTATCAAATGCAAGGACAGCAAAACAGAAACAGTAGTATGTATCTGTAAAACATTCCAATTATTGAAGAAGGAAGAAAACGTTCAATTAAATTAATTTGTTGTTATTGTGTTTTTTTTCCAGTGTCTCACTCCAATTACCAAGGGAGTGACCTACCAATGGGGTCTGTAAAGGATCAGACTTTACTATGGCAACAGAACTCTTACCTTGCCGATTCCGGAATCCATTCTGGGGCTACGACGCAAGCCCCCTCCCTTTCAGGAAAGGAAGAAGACATGGATGGCGAACAGCTGATGTTCGATCTGGATCAGGGTTTCACTCCCGGCTTCACTCAGGAACAAGTTGATGGTAACATCTTGTCGGTTGTTTCTCTGTTGAATTTTAGTTTCATCACTGTTTTTGCAGAGATGAACCAGCAGTTGGCCCAGACAAGATCGCAGAGGGTGAGAGCCGCCATGTTCCCAGAAACATTAGAGGAGGGTATTGAAATACCCTCAACACAGTTTGACACATCTCAAGCGACTGCTGTCCAACGTCTGTCCGAACCGAGTCAGATGCTTAAACATGCTGTAGTGAATCTCATCAATTATCAAGTAAATTCCTGCATGTTAAATTTTACAAACAGTGTCTATATCTTTGGTTAACTTTGCCATTTAGGATGATGCAGATTTAGCTACAAGGGCTATACCAGACTTGATCAAACTAATGAATGATGAAGACCAAGTAGTTGTGTCACAAGCTGCAATGATGGTTCACCAGCTGTCAAAGAAAGAAGCATCACGCCATGCCATTATGAATAATTCCCAGGTATTCAAAACTGAATATATTCTTCCTCAAGACTATTCACGGAAAATTTTTGTAGATGGTCGCTGCTTTAGTCAGGGCAATTTCTAACAGCAATGATCTAGAAACAACCAAAGGAGCGGTTGGTACACTGCACAATTTGTCACATCACAGACAAGGTCTGCTCGCAATTTTCAAGAGTGGTGGGATCCCAGCTTTGGTCAAGCTGCTCAGCTCTCCGATTGAGTCGGTTCTGTTCTATGCTATCACCACTCTTCATAATTTACTGCTCCACCAAGAAGGGAGCAAAATGGCGGTGAGATTAGCCGGTGGTTTGCAGAAGATGGTTGCATTGTTGCAAAGAAACAACGTCAAATTCCTTGCCATTGTAACTGACTGTCTCCAAATCCTGGCTTATGGAAATCAGGAAAGTAAACTTATCATCTTAGCTTCCCAAGGACCTATTGAACTCGTAAGAATTATGAGAAGCTATGATTATGAGAAACTTTTATGGACCACTTCTCGTGTTTTAAAAGGTTTGTATTCATTTTATTTTATAGTATATATTAAGATGGTTGTAATATTTTGTTTTATTTCCAGTTTTATCCGTATGCTCAAGTAATAAGCCTGCTATTGTTGAAGCTGGTGGAATGCAAGCTCTTGCAATGCACCTCGGTCACCCATCACAAAGGCTTGTACAAAATTGCCTGTGGACTTTGCGAAATTTATCTGATGCTGGAACTAAGGTCGATGGGCTCGAGGGTTTGTTGCAGTCATTGGTCCAACTGTTAGGTTCTGCTGATGTCAACATGGTGACTTGTGCTGCTGGAATACTATCAAACTTAACTTGTAACAATCAGAGAAATAAAGTCACCGTCTGCCAAGTCGGTGGTGTCGATGCTCTTGTCAGAACAATCGTGACAGCAGGGGACAGAGAAGAAATCACCGAACCAGCTGTTAGAACGTACATTTGTTTTGTCTTCTTCTAAATATTAAATATTAATTTATTTTTAGGTTTGTGCACTAAGGCATTTGACTTCAAGGCATGTTGAAAGTGAAATGGCTCAAAATGGTGTACGTCTAAATTATGGTTTACAAGTCATTGTCAAACTGTTGCATCCTCCGTCTCGTTGGCCTTTGGTTAAAGCAGTCATTGGATTAATAAGAAACTTAGCCCTATGCCAGGCAAATCATGCTCCTTTAAGAGATCATGGAGCCATACATCATCTTGTCAGACTTCTCATCCGGGCATTCCAAGATAGTCAACGAGTAAGTTGTTTATTTTAACATGTGTATTACTTTAATCGCATCTCCACACCAGAAAGGTAGACAAGGTTGTAGGTAAAATAGCTGGCCTCGGTGAGCCGTCAAGCATTCTCTTTCTATTTATGGTTAAATTATTGCACATGTCACTATCAGTCTGTTTTATTTATTTTTTAATCCATTTGTCTACATTTATCATAATTTGTTTTTACAGCAACAACAGAACACATTGACAAGAAATAATGCCGTCAACAGTGGAAACCAGACACCTTCAGTATATGCTGATGGCGTTAGAATGGAGGAGATCGTTGAAGGAACAGTCGGAGCACTTCACATCCTTGCTCGAGAAAGCCATAACAGGGTCATAATACGGGGTCAGCTTGTTATTCCAATCTTTGTACAGCTTTTGTTCAACGAGATTGAGAACATACAAAGGGTAGCTGCAGGTGTGCTCTGCGAACTGGCTTTGGACAAAGAAGGGGCTGAGTTGATTGAGCAAGAAGGCGCTACAGCTCCACTCACAGAACTCCTTCATTCCCGCAATGAGGGTGTCGGTAAGTACATCATTTTTTAATTGTTTTTATTATGTCTTATTGTATCTAAAATATTTTGGTATGACTTATTTTAATAATTTTTAGCTACATATGCCGCTGCAGTGTTGTTCCGAATGTCTGAAGACAAGCCTCAAGACTATAAGAAACGACTTTCAATGGAGCTCACTAACTCCCTCTGTACTGGGAATCTTTGGAACACTGGCGATTTAAGTATGCCACCCGATCTTCAGGTAAGGATCGTTTAAAGCCCTTCTCACTTACAAGTGTAGTACAATTTGCACTTGAACCAACTGAGTGATTCAAAAGCAGATAATTTGTTAAACATGCTTCTCTACAGCATTGTTGTTTCATTTCATTCTATTTATTTTAGTTTGGTTTGACAAATTGTTTTTTTCAATTTAGAATTTAGATTCACGGTTAGATTTTTCTTCTTTTTTTTTGCATGTTGAGTAATATTTTGTATTGATCAATCTGGAAAACAGGACATGTTAAGCGAAGACAGTTATGATGGTTTGTACACAAACACAGCACCTAGTGTTCAAAGCAGCCATGGAAGGACAACACCTTTACCAGGTAGTTAATGCTTACTTTTACAACAAACAAAATACCTCTTAAATTTGTTAATATTTAAATAATAACAATAACATACATAACAAAAGCAATGTTTCAGTTCATGATGCTAAAAAAATATTAATTTATGCCAAATAAATTTTGTATCCAAATATTGTCACTAATCTTGATAATTATTTATATCTGCAAGTAAAATAATAGTAATTCTTTGTAATGAAACTAAACTAAATTTTGGTTTTTATTTTTATTTTCAAAATCTTCTAAATCATCTTTTACTCTTATTTCATAATTTATGTTTAAGGCACTTGAACTCTTCCCTTCTCTACATAACAGGTAAACAATTGTTACTAACAGTAATTTCTTTTAGTTTCTTTTTTTCATAAAATTTTGCTAGCATGCCATACTGTATTTTATTTATTTATTATTATTATTTTTTATTTTTTTGTGCAAACGTACTTGGTTTTACATCACTTTGCTGTTTTAAATTCTAGATTTGGTTCTAAAAGTTGAAATTTTCTAAAACCAAATGGTAAGTACACAGCTTTGATAGTCATAAAAATATTTTTGTTTTTATTCTCATTATCGATCTAACAAAAATCACATAATTTGCATATAAAAACAAAAATGGTACCAATTGTCCAGGTTTCATGGAACTTCTAAATTTTATAAACAGCCCAGCATTGTGCCAGTGTTATGATCTCTGTTCCTGCCATAATTATTCACACCCCATATTGTTTGGCATAGAAATTGAATAAGCAAATGTGTAATTTTCAAACTGGGGTATTACCAAAATCATACCCAACTTTTTAATTTCAAATGGCACTCTATATTCTCTCTTAGGTTTATGAAACTAGATTTATTTCTAAAAAAAAAATTAAACAAAAAAATCAAAAAGTTAAAAATTAACAAAGTTGACCATGTTTAATGTTTTACACAGAATATCACGATTGTTCTCTTTCCAAATCTGTTCTATTCTTACTTATAGTGAGTTTTCTCCGTTTTTTCTACAGTTCCATATCAAACTTTCAAGTCTGGATGAGGTCGGGATATCGATTTTAATTAATGCCCGGTTCATTCAAACTTTTGAGCCAGCCTTATAAAAGGTCAAAAATGAAGTCTTCTCCACTGCGGGAATTTTTTAGCACACATTTGCAGGTTCACATCCTACCTGTAAACAGGACAAGGTTATTCACAGTCGCTTGAAACTAATTAGAAAAAAGTAAATAAAACATAGATGCCAAACAGCAATTATCAAATACCTCACGATCGTAACAAAAACATCACTATTGTAATGCTTACTTCATTAAATTGAAAATGTCCTCTCAGAATCATTGCAATCTCAAACTTATATTATGCAGGGTGGGCGACCAAGACCCGAGGGGTTAAATGCCTAGGTAGACTCGTACCCCATCCCTAAAAGGTCTTGGTCGGCTCACTTGTCCTGCATAAATCTCTTGGACTTGTTCACAAACCCCAAGATTTTGGACCATTTATCTCGGGGAGTGATTTGGTGATGTCTGCTCCTTCAAAGATTTCAAATCTAGACTTGCCGTTTCTTCTTTTATTTCACAAAAAAGGATCTGGTACCCTTGCGGAGAGGTGTCTTCTCAGTGGGCAGTGGCCTGTCAGAATACCTATTAGCCTCCTAATTCCCTTCCTTGAGTTAGAGAACAGCCATTTCGATTCTGCTGGTTTGATCACCTTAAGGAATTGTTTCATACCCCAGGTTTTAATACTCTTTTGCCGTGCTCATAGAGTTAGGTAATACCGGTTGTGGCCTGACAAACGCAGTATTAGAGCCTTCTTTGGCTAGGCTATCTGTCTCTTTATTGCCATGGTGTCTTGTATGTGCTGGTGTCCAAATAAGGGTTACTTTGTTCTCAAACCTGGAAGAAATCCTGTTGGTAATATCTACAGTTTCCTCCACCAGTCTAGACGTTGACAAATCTTTTTGTAATGACCTAAGACTAGCCTGACTGTCAGAAAAAATTCTAATATCTTTTCCCTTAATTTTATTTTCCATAAGTGTTCTACAACACACATTAATGGCCCAGATTTCCGTCTGAAAAACAGAGGTGTTATTGCCAAGAGGGGAGGAGATGCTGATTCCTAATTTAGGTAGATTCCTGCACCGCTCCCTTTACCTTTAATAAGTGAACCATCTGTATAGCTGTCTATGTTTGCGATGGTCATCATCCACACTATAATTATATTCACAAGGGGTGACTACCTGAAAGTACTTTTTCCCCAAAGGGGTTTTAATCTTTTTATCACTAACGCTTAATAATTGGCCGTTAATCTTACTTAGTAGTTGTAAGATTTTCGAGTGGCCTATGTTATTGCACTTATGATTCCAGCTGCCTTCGCTAATTAATCTGTAGCAGCTGATTTGTGCTCTGACCTTAGCCTCAATGTGTAGAGGTGTGGTATTGGTTATGACAATCTCAAACTTATATTGCAAACAATTGAATGAGTAGATTTAAAAAAAAAAAAAACTTAAATAACAAACAGGTTTGAGAAAGAGAAAAATAATCACGACAATCATGTGTAAAACTTGTTAATTTTCAACATAAACTTTAACAGGCATAACGTGTTAATTTTCAACTATTTTTTTATTTAATTTTCTTAGAAACAAATGTAGTTTCATAAATGCAAGAGAAAAATATGTAGTGCCATTTGAATTCGAAGAGTTAGTATGATTTCGGTACTACCTGTAGAAAATTAGAGATTTGATTACGCATGCAATTTCTATGCTTAAAATTAAGTAATATTAAGATTTTATTCTAGCTATTTTTGATTTTTAGAAAAAGGGGTATAACATTGTTTCAGACACCCTGTACATCGCTCTTGTAATACTGAAACATTACCAGATTATCATGAAGTAAATTAATTTCCATTAGAAGAAGATAATGCTTAAAAATGGAGACATTTTAAATATGATCCAATATAGTAAAATATTAACATAATAGCTATAACATTAGAAGATTTTTTTTACATTAAATAATTAGAAGTAGTTTCAAAGCTCAAATGAAGGGGATAATATATTCCTTGACAGTTTGGTGAAGGAACTGAGGGTTCCTTTTTTTTTTTTTTTTTTTCAAATTTGCCTTATCTCTGATCTCTTATATAACTCAAAGATGAAAAAACAACATTTGTTTATTTCTCTATTTTACATGATAAGTATAAAAATTTTAAAAGTTCAAGTATTGTTTTAAATTGAGAAGTAGAGCTTTGGCCGAATAGTAGTGTCTGTTACATAGCCCAAGTGCTGGGTGTGCCGACTCTACAATCCACCGTGGCTCCTGCGGTTTAGAGCAACCTTAAGTCTTGAACATGATGTACAGTGCTACGGACAATCATTACCTTGTGTAGTGAATGCTTTGCTTCATGTGCAATGAGTAACATCTTTTCAAAGACAGTCAGTTATGGTATGGGGGTGCAATCAACATCATTGCCCATACTGAACTGATACAGAATGGATCTTTGACTGCACTAAGGTACAGTAAGGACGTTCTGGATGCTGTGTCCCATTCACTCCCATTGAGAACAACTTTGTGATAATGCATGAAATGCTCAACTGTATTATTTCAAAAGGTCACCCATTACTTGGATGATGTAGGGATTACCACCACAATAAATTGGCCAGCATATTCTCACATAAATCCTTTAGAACATTTGGGACATGATAAAGTGACAGATCAGACAAGGTTTCTGTTTCACAACTTGATATCTGATCACTTATTTACTTGCCACCTAGGAGACTTAAGGCCCTCCATGAGACCAGAGGAGGTAACACAAATTTAGAGTGTAATAAATTGTAATTTGGTTTACATTAGAATAATATGTTGTAATTAATATAACAATAAAAACATATATTGTTAGAAATAATCAATAAAATATGTCTGGTTTTTTGTCTCTGAGTGTATAATTATTAAGGCTGATATCGATCTCATCAACATAGATACTCTTTCAAATGTCAAAATTTACCTAATTAATACAGAACATGTTGATTTCTTTTTTAAAGGATATGACCAGATACCAGTAAATCAAATGCTGACACTAGGAAGCCCCACGCCACAAGATAATTCTGTATTTTATCCTATGGATATCGATGAGGACCTAACATTAAATATTTTAGCAGGTCTGACATTACCAGAAAATTCTAGTCAAAACCTCGATTGGTATGATACAGACATATAGCATTAATGTTATTTTAAATTAATCATAGCACATACTTCACACCAAACTTTAAGGAGTATGGATAAAACCAAATTATTCCTGTTTCTATTGCCTAACAAGTATTGTATATAAAATACCTTTTTTTTTTTTTTTTTCTAATTGATATTAGTTAGTTACCAAGTAATCAACTTGAGAAGTTTTGCTTTTGTTTGTAGAATTTGCCAATTGAAATTGTATCCCTTTAATATTTAAGCGTGTTTTGATATAAATTATCAAACACTTTAATTAGATTTTCATATCAAAATTAAAATATTGATTATTAGAAAATGTTCTACTGTCTATTAGATATATCAGTAATATAAAGATAGATTGATTTTTGTTTTTCAAATGTAGGCACTTAAGTAAGCTTATACATAAATGTGATTTTATTACTTTTAGCTATTAATTTTATTGTCTACAAAATCGTATATAAGTTTTAGACTTAAAATTACTGTTTATAAAATATGTCGAAATTCATTTTAAATGTTTTATTTTATTTATTGTTAGATGTTCTTAAAAAAGAAAGAAATAAAAATAAAAATTGAGCACAATGTTCCTTGAGTGTTCATCGTCAATACATTTTGTATCGTGTTTTCCCCATGTGAGTGACATTTGTAATGTGTAAAAGAAATATTTCTTTTGGACATTTATTCATATAATGTATAAGAATTTTTATGTGTTAAGCACTAAAAATGTCATCTACTAATAAAACATATATGCACAACAATTATATCTGGAGTATTGTATCTTCTAAATAAATTTATATAACCCTTTATATACAAAATAAAGTCAATAAAGAAGTCCAATAAAACTGGTTCTAAATTATCTTCCTTCCAATCAAGAAAAAATCAAATTTCAGCTTTTTTTTTAAATCCTTTTTATATTCATTAAACATCAATGTACTACACAAAAATTACGATGAAAAATATAAACGAAATAAAAAACTTTAAAACATGTTATTTAAATATTCTAATTGTTATGTAACATCAATATTGTTTATTTTAAAACTCATCATGCTTTATATTGTATAAATCATTATCTTCGTTAAATTTTAAGGATGACCAAAATGATTGCCCAGCGAAGTCCGACCTCTCGACAAGATTGTCTTCATCGGGGTGTTGATTTTTAATATTTAAAAATGAAAATTTTGGCAATCCTTCTTTCACAGTTTTCCACCATTTGTCTAGTCTCCTTGAAACAAAACAAAATACATATGTCTTAAAAGTATACTTATGTATATCTAAATACTTTTTTCTTTTAAATTGTTACCCGTGAATGAAGTCCATCCATAGATCAATCATTCGTTTTGAAAGCTCCCTTGATATCTGATCATTTTCAACAGGGGCAAAAGGCATTTTGATTATATAAGGTAGATCATCTCCATGACTGGCTCCTGTAAATAATCTCATGTTTTAACAAATCGAAAACTCTAATGAAATATTTACCTCCAAATATTTCTGGGGCCATGAAAATGTTCGCCAGGCGATACTTCCCTTCATAAGAAAACTGATAGACGTGCACTGGTGATGAGTAATACTTTGCATGAAGTTTTGCCGTTACCGCAACAGGAAGAGTGAATAGCCTTTCACTAAGCATCTGTTATAGAAGTTATATTTGTAACATAAATAAATTATTCTGTTTAATTTCACATACCCGAATAAAGCCATCTTTATTTTTAAAAATGTCTTCATCTGGGACGAAATGGGTTTTCAGCTTCTGGCCTACAGAGTCTTTCCTTGCATCATCTACTGTGAAATTAAAATCCAACAGGTGCGGCAACAAGGAATCCCATTTGTCAGAAAGTTCATTTGCAACAGCCTTGTTGCCTAAAATTTCTTTAGAAACAAGAAATTATCATGTGAATTCTGTGTCGATATCTCCTAATTATACCTGCACCGGGGTAAAGACCCTCAGCCGAGGTGAAAGACAGCAAGAATGGAATGTCTGCTGCTGATTTGTTCTTGATGATATCTGATGGTAGTACCTCTATGAAAGAAGTAGGGTTTTTAGGCTCAACAACTGGACCAAACGGAGAAAATGGAGAATAAAGCCATGGCTAATAAGCAAAAATGAATAAATATAAAATAATTTATACATATTGAGGTCTGAAAAATGAAAAACCAGTCTGTCAATTCTTGCTGGTTTTATTATTCTTTATATCACACAAGATTAACTACCAAAATAGTGAAATGCTGCAATGCATTAAAAAATTTAAAAAAATGAATAGGCTGATTAAGTTCCAGAGCCATTGGTTAAATTAAAATAACAATTAATTTATCCAACAAAATGGTATTTTCGTTTTCAAAATAATTTCAGGAATTAATTCTAGGTCTTGAGTATAATTTATATGACAGACTTACGATAAATAATTTTGAAAGTTGAACTATCTGGTTAGCTGGTCTGTTCTTTAGGCATTCGACCATTTCCAGAGACGAAGCGACAGGACAGCCCAACTTTTCAGCAATGATTTCAGCTTTCTTCTTTGAGTTTTCAGCCTGAGCCCAAGGGCACAAAGCGGACCCGCTTAGTGCAATCGCTTTGTTGAAGAGACCTAAAAAACGAACAGATTACAGAAAATATATTTTAAAAGACAAAATACGACCTTTAGATTTAGGTGAAAGCATGTGGAAATGAACACTTGCAGCTCCTGCTGACATTCCGGCTAACACCACTTTTCCTGGGTCTCCTCCGAACCGTTTTATGTTGTTTTGAACCCATTTCATAGCCAGCTGTTGGTCTTTGAGTCCATTATTTCCAGGTACAATTGAATCTCCAGTGCTCATAAAACCTTTTTTTACAATATTTTGTAATTAAATTAATAAAACTTGTTAAACAAAAAATACCAAGAGGTCCAAGCCTGTAGTTCATTGTCACAAGTACAACATCCCTGTCAAGGAGTAAATCTGGTCCGAGAATGTTGGCTGAGTGAAACATAAAAGCACCGCCATGGATAAAAACAACCACATCCAAAAGGTCTTTTTCAAAGTCCCCTGAAACCTACATCAAAGGATTTTTACTAACAACTAATTTTCATAGTTTTGGTTATTTTATTTACCTTAGGTGTGTATACATTCAGATACAAGCAGTCTTCTGATCCAATCACAGCAAATTTAGTCTTGTAAAGAAAATGGTCATATTGAAGGCACACACTTGAAGCCAGCGAAGCATTAATTACTCCAGGCCATGGTGATGCAGGAACTGGAGCCTGATTAATGAACAATTATACATGAATATTTTTTTTATGAAATCTCCCAATTTATTAAGTTAAGTCTTTCCCAATGGTAATGGTTCAGCTATAATTTCAGCATTTATCCTTGAGTTTCCAGCGTAAAACTTTGCACAAAACACAAGAGAGCAATCAGTTTGTTGAGCAATGAGAATCTACTGGCAAGTTAAACCTACACGGCTTTCTTCCAAATCAAACTCATCCTAATAATTTAAATTATTACATTTTTGTTTCAAAGTTGGTGGTGGTTATCTAGTGCCTAAATGAAGATGGGGTTTGAGCGAACTTCAATGAGTAGAATGATCAAGTGGGTTTAACGATTCATTTCAATAATAGATAGTGGTATCTTCAAAGTGGGAGACATGGAACACTTCCTAAAAAAGTTAAATATAAAACCTCCATCCATTTCTAGAGGGTGTTGTTAGAGAACATGAATTCATGTATGATTTTAGCTTATAGACCAGTATAACAAAAGTTTTTTGCCCTTAATTGGTATTTGGTACATTTTTTTTTTTTTTAATTCGTCCCCACACACAAATGCCAACGGCCATTTTGTACAGAACGGACAAACGAAGTAATCGAGAATGTGGGCTGACCTCAAATCTCAAACCGCCGACAGGTGGCTTCGCGTACGGCACCCCGATGAAGCTGGAGATCCTCCTCCCAGAGACGGTTTTCTGGTAGAATCCTCGGACGGGGCCGAGGTCGGTTTCAACCAACGGTTCCGCACAAACCCAGTACCATAGAAGACAAAAGGCTGTCACGGCCAAAAACTTCAATTTCGCCATCTACAAAAATAAGCGAATAGCATGCAACTGTACACATAGGGATGTATAAATACATAAATTATAAATTTACTTTCAATTAGATTAGATTACCTTGGAAATCTTACTCAATCAGTATTTTCTTCCACCTCGAGAATCAACCTTGAAAATTGTCCTTGACCAGAAAATGTCCATGCGCTTATTTTTTGCTTTCAGTTTTTTTTTTTTTATTAAAAGATAATATGCATTCGATTTAAAGTCTCCAACTTTCGATATGGCCAGCAGGCTCTATTCCTACTGATAATCAAGTCAAGACATGCCAGGAATGTGAAAAACTTTAATTAATTTCCTTTAGCAAATTATATATAAAATTCACTGCTTTTATATTGAAATAAATAAACTAATTTTTTTCTGCTTGGTTTTTTAAGAATAGTCTTGTTTTTTAAGGGGTTGGATTAGATTAATTATATACTTATATTTATTTGAAAATTTGTTTTTGTCGTTGCTATAATCAAGTTGGAAACACTGTAGGATAACAGGTTAGAACCTCTTTCAGAGTAATCTTTCACGATAAAATGGCCTAACACTCTTGAAACGCAAACTTTTTAAAAATTCCCAGTGATATTAAACACAAATAAATCGAAACCGATCGAAAACATCAACAGACACCCCCTGGGCATGTTTTAGCGGCGCGGACCACCTCGGGAACATGCAGTCCTTCACTTGGACTGGGCGGATTTTATCTCGTGCGCTTTGGAACGGGCTCAACAACTATTCGACTTTGTGCAGCGAGCCGAATTTGATAGCGGGCAGACAACGCGAACCCCACATCCTCTCTGTCGTCTCCGGCTTTCCAAAGGAGCTTTCAAAGTCAAAATTGAAAAAGGGCCAGTTCGGCGACGACGCCTGGTTCTCGGCCAAAGTCAAATCGGCTGATGTATTAGGTAACCATTTTTTTCCCCTTTTTCTTCATATTATCAATTATGCATTAATTGAAGGAGAAAAAACTGCTTTCAGCCTATCAGACATTAATGTTTCCCTTTACTTTTAAAAACTTTGATTTGCATTCATTAAGCGGTTATAAACGAAACTTACGAAGTCCGCACAATAGATTATTATTACTACAGTTATAATTTGTGGGTTCTCATAATTATTAAGTTGCAATGCAAACGATTATAACACCATTTAAAAAAAAATTGTATTAGAAAAATTACTGCAGTCCATTCATTGACAATGGTCTGCGTTAATATTTGGCATGCTGTATTTGAAAATTTTCTTCATTAGCTCTTCAAGAATATGAACTATTGTCAGAACATAGAAATTGCACTATACAGGGTATAGGTAAATGTACTTATCCTTTCATACGTACAATTGGCCAGCCTAAGGCCGGTGCCAGACTAGATGGAATATGCGACGGAAATTTTATGATGGAAATTCTGCCCACCTGAATAAGCCACAAATACAGCGGAAATGAACGGAATGACTGGATATTCAGTTGATAACTTGACTCAGTTAATCATGCACGGTACAACGAAACCACTTTTTGTTTTGTGTATTTTCCAGGCAATAGAGAAGCAGAAGAGAAAGAGAGAACATTGGTTCATCCATTGAATATGGGAAAGCGTAGCACTTTGTCAATTCTACAGTCTGTATGGGGAACTTCGATGCTCAGTCAAGTTCTTCCAGTACTATGGGATTATTATAGCTTTATTTGACAAGCGTCTTTAAAATTTCAAAGAAAGACCCTGTTCTGAACTCCTCAATAAATTGGTCTACAACCATCCTAGATCAGCTTCACTTGCAGTTTGCCTATCCAACTGCCTGCCTCCTCTGTTCTACGCTTGTCCGTCGTTAGTGTGGTACACCCCATCTACTTTGCACTGTTTTGATCTGTTTATATGGAACCCAATGGAACACTCCATTGGCGAATGATGGTGTACCAAGAGACATTATGACTGAAATTTCGATTATGGAAGTCTGTCGCTGGATGTGTGTTTTGAATGTAAGCTTGTGCAGTGGAAATTTCCATCGCAGAAACTTCCGTCGCATTCCAACTGGTGTGGTGCCAGCCTAAAGATTCAGAACGACTTTAATAACATTAATGAATGGGCCCATAAAAATTCCCTCAACATCAATCTGTCTTAAGTCCTCGGTCATAATGGGATCCAGACTTCTCCTCAAATCCCTCCCAAATAACCTTTCTTTATAAATAATAAGCCTGTCCCCTTTCGTATCTGACGAAAACCTTGGGATTATCCTTGACCTAAACCTCTCATAGAACCCAAATTTCCCGCTGCTGTATTTTAACCCTCCCTCAACTTATTCCATCGGTCTTGGCCTCTCTTATCCTTCTCCACCTGTAAACTCCTACTGTCTTTTCTTATTTTTTTCTCCTTCAATTACAGTGTGTGGCATACGGAGGGGCTCTTGGAGGGTCAGAGCAGATGTCTGAAGCGCATCATGAACTGCTTTGTCAGATTAGTGTTCGGCACTTCCTGTGGGTCCCAGGTGCCTTGTCTGTATTCAGATCTTTCCTGGCTCTCCCCTTCCTTCAGATCTCAGTACTTCCTAGGATCCTTCCTTTTTCATTGTTTTCACACCTGTCATCCTCATTACATCATCCAAATCATCTCACCACTCCTGCAAAACCTAGTCCACACCCCCAAACGCTGGAACTCCCTCCCTCATTCCTTCAAATCCCTTCTATACAATCACCTCCTCTCTCTCCAAACTGAGTTGTTTTCATAAAAATTGTAATTTTTTTTATTTTATTATTATTATTTAGTCTTTTTATTTAGAAATCGTGACATGCGGTCTGGTGTGATGTAGGTTTCAGAAAAACATTTCCTTTATCGTGTCAATCTTTATTGAGATCATCTTCAGGGCCTGGGATTTACAAACATTGTTTACATATAGCAATTACTTTTCCACATCCAAAATGTAATTGTTATATGTAAACAATGTTTGTAAATCCCAGGCCCTGAAGATGATCTCAATAAAGATCGACACGATAAAGGAAATGTTTTTCTGAAACCTACATCATACCAGACCGCATCTCACTTTTTCTAAATAAATATCGATTAACGGTCACTAATCACCATACATTATTTAGTCTGTTTGTCATTTTATTTGATTTGTATTCATTTATTTTCATTTCATTTTTCCTGCCGAGAAGTTATGTGTTTTTATGCTGTTTTCACTCTCTTCTATTTTGCACTTTATGATTAACGGAACTTCCATCTAGTTGAACCATCTAAGGGGGCACCGTCCCAGAATAAAGATATATTCCTTCTTCTTTTTCTTCTTCTTCTTCTGTATCAACTTGTTTAGACCATCCATTTTATCGGAAACAATTAACTTAAACAAAAATTCTTATACAAACTCCAAGTTAATTTGAGTGAGGAATTGTGTGGTGGTAACAGATTTAACATAACTTTCTCATCTAGCTAAGAAATAACATTAACTTAGTTATTTTAAATAAGAATCCCATATTTTTATTGTACAATTTTATTCTAGATCTTATTTTATGCCACTTTCATTTGGTTCATTTAAATATAAAAAATTTTATTACCTAATTCTAAAAAAAAAACATTATTGAGTAAAGAACAACCAAAAAATTCAACAACAAATAAAATTGTAAATAAAAATACTTTTTACTCCCTTTAATACAAAGTATTTTATTTGGTATTAAAGGCACAAATCATGTCCATTAACATCTTTGCATTCGTTGCAAAAGATTTCTGGTAAAATCTTGAAGAACGCTTTCTCATTAATCAAGAATAGCCATTTCCAACTCTTCTACGGTGTTAGGACCTGCCTGGGTTTTGCCGTTGTACGCGTTGCTTGAGTTGGTGTGCAGTTGGGTTCAAGTCTGGACTTTACTAACTAACCATCCCCATATTTATAAAACCATAATTTTGTTTTAATAAAACATTTACAGTAATACGCAGGTCATTGTCCATTTAAATAAACACAAAATGGTTTAGTTCTGTTTAAAGAATGATTTTTTGACAAAATTTCTCATTAAAATGTTATTATTTGTTATAATTTCTATGCTATATAATAGGTGTAGCAGATGGAGTTGGAGGTTGGAGAGATTACGGTATTGACCCAGGAGAATTTTCTTCGTTTTTGATGAAGACGTGTGAACGACTAGTCACAAGTGGAAGATTCATTTGTTCAGAGCCAGCTCGCCTCTTGGCACACAGTTACTATGAACTATTGGAAAACAAAAAGCCAATTTTAGGTAAGGGCTGAAATACAATCTACTCTTGATAAGTCGAAATTCTAGAGACTGGACAAAATTGTTCAACTAACAATTTGATTTTCTAAAGTTCTACTGATTTACTCATTGTTCCTGGTATTTGAATCAAATTTGACTTATAGAGGTAATATTTACTGTATAATGATATGGGACCAGAGAATTTGTTCTACTTATCAAGGCTCAAAATTGGCAGTGGATTTTTAGTCTGCTAGTCAATGAACACAGGCTCTGGGTCTATCCTTTCCTCACTGAAGATGGCACAATGCCGAAATGTGTTTGAGCAATATCAAAACTCACAAGTGTAGACTGGCCCAGAGCCGATTCAACATATCACGAATTGGCTGTATTTAAATCAATAAAATATTGTTTTTGTTCAGGAAGTAGTACAGCTTGTTTAGTTGTACTCAATAGAGACACAAGTACTGTGTACACAGCTAATATAGGAGACAGTGGATTTTTAATTGTGAGACATGGTCAAGTAGTGCATAGATCTGAAGAACAGCAGCACTATTTTAATGCCCCGTATCAACTTTCTCTACCGCCTCCTTATCATACACCAATAGCACTCAGTGATCGGTGAGTTATTAGAATTATCATGTAGAGAATATTAAGTTCAACTTATATTTTGTACAGGCCAGAGTCTGCAAACACGACAAACTTCCGAGTTGAAGATGGTGATGTGATATTGTTAGCTACAGATGGCGTCTTTGATAACCTACCCGATCAAATTTTATTGAACGAGCTTTCTCGTGTCCAGGGCGAAAAGGATCCTGTTAAGCTTCAATTAGTCGCCAACTCTATAGCTTTTATGGCAAGGAAATTGGCTTTCGATGAAAAATTCCTTTCCCCCTTTTCTAAGGCGGCAAGAAGCCAAGGGTGGGACGTCACAGGTAATTTGTCATTGTATTTTGATTTGGTTGACTACATTTTTAAAACAAAAACACATCATCTTATTTCAGGTGGGAAACCAGATGATATTACTGTCCTTCTGGCAACGGTCGCACTCTACTCATGAAAGCTACTTGTAATAATGAAATCAGTTAGTTACCTGTTACATTGTCAGACCAGCATACATTAAATTAAATAAAGGAAACACTGATTGCTACTGAGTTCTTATTTTATTTCAGCTATTGTATTAGGTTATAAACAATATACGCTCATGTGAATTAGAGGCAAATGCGCTTTCCTGGTTGTAATTTAATTTTTTTTTTTATTGTTTTCAACCTTTGAGGAAAAGCATTTTATACACATGTAAATTAAGTAGTAAATTTGCAATTGTAAATTAATTAGCAGTGTTACACTTATCTGTGTTTTTATATGTATAATCGAAAACATAATTGTAAATATTTTGCTAGGAAGAATTCAAAAATTAAACTATTCAAAATTATATTGTTTTTATTTTCACAATAACAACCAATTATATTTTAATGATGTACATTTAATAGTATTCTTCCACGTTAAATACAATCATCAAAGAATACATGTTCTAAATGGTAAGAAATTCCTCAAATCGCCAATTATAATCTTATTTTCAAAACTAGCAAGATGTTGATAAAAAAAAAATCAACAGTTATTTGTTATCACCAATTTTGTTTTGATGAGAATTGATTACTTCACAAACTATACATCTCCGTAGAATAATAAAAGCTCATTTTTTCCCATTTAAGTGATGTTTTATGCAACTATAAAAATTATTTTTTGTTTTTATATTTTAAGAGAAATAACTGTCCTGATGAAAAGTAGTGTAGATATGCTACATCCATCTTCAGTAAGTTTTTCTTCAAATTTGTTGCTCCATACACGTTTTGGTTAAATCTATTATTTCATTCATTGTTTTAATTTTCATCTCTTTGTTAGATATGTCAAATGAGTTGTTTATATGTTGGACCAAACCGTTTGTGATATGTAAGTTTGCAAGATTGGGTCGTTAGAGTTTGGATCGCTGGACCATTGTGGCAACGGATTTGCAGCTTCTTCAGCTTTTAATACAAATAAACAATAGTATTCATTAAACAGTATTATGTATATTTTTGTATTGTCAGGACTGCTTCAAAAATAATTTTTTATTTACAAAAAATTTGTTTAATTATTAAATGTCCAAGTACTTTATGTGTACAGGTGCTGAGTTTCTGACCATGCTGGTGCTCTGACTTCCTCTTCTTCTTTCACAGACTAACCATTACTAAAGAAACAGATAAATAGAAAGAAAGATAAATGATCAAATTATTTTCTCCACACAAAAACATAATTACAAGCACAACTGCTTGTGATTTGCTCATGTTTTTCCAAGTATCATCGTTTGCAAATGAATATGTTATGCACCTAAGTAGATTGTATAACAAGCTGATTTTGGCATAAACATCTTTACTTTTCCTTTATGTGAATTGCCATACTCACCCTATCACAATTTCTATAAATATCTTTGTGTTATTATTGTGTATGTTTTCCTTAATAAGACTTTATTTTTTTATTTTTTAGTTTAGTTTCTATAAACAATAATGACTATATCTTTTGGGTTGTATAATCTATAAAGATCATTTGTTGTTTTTTTTAAATTGTATATAACATAGAACTAAAAATTAAAATTAAAAACCAGTATGCCACGTAGAAGGCCTGTAAGTACAAACTTGCATATGACACAGAATGCTGAACATCGCAGGATATATTAATCTAATTTACTGATTTACCCATGTTGAAAATAAATGGTCTAATAACAATAATTATACACATTTGATCCAAAACGAAGTAAGGACTACAAAATTGAAAATAATTTAAATAACAGAATAAACATGTTTTTTAGTTTTTCAGGGAAACAACTGCATGACTATGGTGCAAATGTTGCATAAAAAGATGTACCTTCTAATTGTGGCTTAAATTAAAAACAACCTACACAATAATGGTGAAAAGGAGGGATAAGAAAAAATATTTATGTTTTGCTTAAATTTCTTTCTTTTCTTTTTTTTTTTTTTGTAAGTATTCTACATTTTATGTACAAAGTTTACACAATAACAAAATACATATGTTTAGGTGATATATAACCTTATTCTTCTTTCTATTAAAACTTAAAACCTTGAAACCAGATTTAAAAACAAGCATGGAAATCAGAAATTGTATCATCTAAAGGAAACAATGTGCCATAAATAAGAATAAAAATTGATACAGATAATGGAAGTAAATGCACTACTGCTAAAATAAAACAATGAGTAAAAAATTTGATGTGTTGATAATATCAACTGTGATTGTAGCGTACATTTTAAAACATATAAAACATCCATTTAAAAAGCACTCGTTTAAAATAAAGTGATGAAATTTTGTACATAACAATTGAGCCAAGTCAATTTATTTGTTGTCTTATAAATGGGATTGGAAAAAATCTCGCTGGAACATTAGTGGACAGGGCCCGGATTATTCGCCTGCCAATTGAATCCTCCAGGTCTTTCTTCTGGTAACGCTGTATAGTCTGGGTCTTCAACGGGCGGGTCAAATAACTGCTTCCTAGTAATCGAAGTCAAATTAGGAAGATTACAATTTTCACATGAGAATATGTACACTTACAGGAATCTCGGTGTTTTAAGTAGTCTAAAACCTCTTCTTTGGTTTGGTAAAACATCTTCCAAAAAGTAGTACGTATGCCCAACAGCCACCCCTATCAGATCTACCCAAACGGCATTGCCAAGAAGTATGGAGAAACCCAACAATACCCAAGGCAAAAATGGAGCCTAAAAATAATTATTCTCAGAAAAATTAAAACTTAAAAGGCACAGGAAAATTAATTATCTAAACTGCATCAATCAAATTAAAATTGTTATAAATCAATAATGGCCATGGTGTTTTATATAAAGTTTCTCTGGTTTGACATACTTGAAAATTCATTAGTCCAAAAAAATTCATTCTAATGAGAGGATTTCGTCGCGCCCAAATATAAACCAACATAATTGTAAACGCTTGACCTAAAAATAGAAGATTTACAAAAAATGCACAAAACTGTATTTTATCGTTAAGGAAATACATATTCAAAACCATTTATTTTGAAAGTAGAAAAACAAATATCTATTAAATTAAAGGATACAGTCATGAGTACACCTCCAAATATAAACATCATAACAAAGTCGGCAGTGCGCCCCCTGAAGCTCCCTTCTTCCAGCATCCTGCAGTAACGATATGTAAATACCATATTGAAGAAGAAATTGAACCCAAACGTTCCAAAAAACAGAAACGTTGTCACAAGTCTCCATAGCTTAAAAAATATATATATTTAAAACAAATAAATGAAATAAATAAATAATCTTATATTATCTAAAGCAACCATGAACAAGAGATAATGCTGGAACAATTATTTGCTAGAACAATGTAGGAAAGTAAAATAAATTCAAGTTATACATTATACACTCAGTTTTATGTCTTTCAATTTAATATGTCCATCAAATATTTTACCAGCAATAATTATATTTGTTTCCATTTCAATTCCCCTTACTATTCCATGATATGCAAACCCCAGCATAAAATAGATGTATTCTGTTTAAGTTTAATAATCCTGTAAATGGATATAAAAGGTTTGAAGCCAAACAACTCAATATGGCTCTTGAACCTACAGCAAGCTTTTGATAATGTTTGGCATGAGGAACTGGTATACAAACTGCAAAAAAAAAAATTCCAAATATTTTAAAAATTTCCCCTAACCCACGAAACTACTTAAATATAATATAGATAAATAAAATCACTTACAATTAGGTTCAATAAAATAACTATAAGAGGAGTCAAGGATAAGGATTTATACATGAGCCAATTGTATTTAACATATATGTACTTTACCTAAATTTAAGATGAGACCAGTGGCTATGTTATACAGTAAGCAGCAGTAGACATTTAACACATGAGTAGATTGAAGTACAAACTTGACACAAATATGTGAAGCCATGATATTTAATTTAAGAAGACATCACATAACTGCACTAATTATTATAAATAATGATGCCCTGCCATGGAAGGATATAAATGAGACTGTGAGATACCTAGGCTTACAACAAGATCATCTTACCTGGCATCACCATGTTAACATGAGATTTTATGAGAATTTAGATTATAGTTGCTTCTTTGCTCTACCCAATTTTTAACAGAAAACCCAGAGTAAAAAATGACTGTGTTAAACTTTTGTATCGGCATTGATTTACCCTCTGATTATATGCCAGTAAAGATGTAGTTATTGGCCAGCAGTTCTCAATTATGGATATAGATCAGGTATGTGGACCATTTGGGGACATCCAAAATCTGTCCTGTTTGGGAAGGAGCAGCCAAAAGTAAACTTCACAGTTCCAGGTGCTCCAAAATAAAATTTTGAGAATTCTAACGAATATTCTCTGGTTCATAAGAAAAAGCTGCATAAACACCTAAATATTACAACAATTCAATTACTAAGCTCCTGGAAAGAGCTTAGTAAAATTAACTAAATAAAATTTTCCGCTCACTCTTTAGTTTATTTCCTTAGCTCCTATATACTTAAAAGAAGATTAAGTCTCACACTAGTGCAGGAAAATGTATTTATAGTTTTGGTGAAATGACAAAATGCACCAAAAGCTGAAAACCAGGTAGAACGGGCAAATCAGAGCAATCAGATCAAAGCAGACCAAGGTGTAGGTTCATCCCCTAACAGACCTGTTTAAATGTAAATGTTTAAAAAAATTATATTACAGTTTAAAACAAATTCTGTTCATATTCCTTAATTGGATTGTTAATTTTTACGGCTTTTTTGTCAATATTAACCAGAACTCATTATTGAATTAATTTGTTCAGTTCGGTGTATTTTTAGGGAAGAGTAGTGAGAGAAAAAAAACAGGTGCAATGGAGGGAATTGAAACCATGACTGGTGTCTACGAGCTATTTATCACACTGGCCACTTGGCTACTGTGGTTCCCGATGTTAACACAGCGTGTTACAATATAAAATCACCAATAATAATACGGCATTTTCTAATTTATAACATTAAGCTTGGCATTTAATAAAAACTCATACATGACTGAAAAGTAACCAATTTTTTGAAAGCTCACTATTATCAGAGCATATAGTAATGAACATATTTGTTTTGTAATATATATGTAGTTGGGGGGAGGGTAGCTTGAAGAAAACGGCCTGTGGCGACGGTGGGAATTGAACCCACAACCGCAGGGTCTACAAAAAAAATTTTTGTTTAAATCAAAAGTTTGCTTTGATCTGTTTGAACAAGTAAATACAAGCATAAAAAGGCTTCCTTAAAAACATCATTATATTTTATTTTTTCCAAGATGTTATAAAACATTGGTAGTTTTTGTTTCTTTCTCAGAGAGATTTTGAAAAGCAGAGATCACATCAACCCCTGGGGTTTCAGTTTTTTTTATGTTAAAAAAGCCCATTTAAAAGTTTCAACTACAATGCTACTGGGGCACCTTCCAGTGGTATGTTGCCTCGTCAATACTTAAACCGATGCAGTCACCGTCATTCCTTTCCTTATTTAATTTTTTTAATGGGAGGGGGGTCGCTACAACAGAAGACATATCAATCCCCAGGGTGCGTTTTTGAAAAAAAAAAATCAGATTTGTAAGTATGTCGGGTTCGAATTCAGGGCTGCTGGGCTTGAACCTGAGACCTTTACCTTGCAGTGATTAGCGCTGTGTCAACACCTAAACCATTGCGGCCACCGACACCCCATTTCTCCACTCCTATGCATATCAAATATGAAGTATACAGCCATGATTGTAAAAAGTATTATCACTTAAAATATCAAGTGATTGGTCAGTTCTTCTCTCAATCTATTGTTTTCAATTATTTATAATTTACAAACGGCATTGAAAATGTACATTCTGTTTGTGGTAAGACGTGTGAGTGTGAAATATGAAGTAGTCAGTCATGAAAATATATGTAGAGTAGAGGCATTAAAAGTATAGAATGTAAATGCATCTATGTTATTATTACCATATAATATACTGAATGGAAAATTATTTTTCTCGCTTTGAGTTCGTTAAATTGAATTAAATAGTGTTTAGAAGCAACAATAGAGGGCATTTTTTCTTGTCCATGATAAAATCGAGAGGCTGTCTTTCTGACTTACCTGATACTGTTTCACTATTAGTATTGGGTTGAAATAGAGTTGGAAGGGCGATACTAGTTCCAATTGCTGAAAAATGTAAACATGTAGATGCCAGATCTAAACGTAATTGATCCAATAATTGACTTACAACGGCTAGAGTCGTGAGCACGCAAGCCGTCGTGTAAGCCCTCGTCACGACGGGCATCTGCATGTACTCCTGCGTCAAGCTCGGGAAAGCCATCTCAGATGAAAAGAGAGTCGTGGAAAGGAAAATGCGAACTGTGAGTCTACTCAACGTTTCTCGTCATACCGTGGATCACATCCTCCTCGAACGGTTATTTCGCCTTCGAGAACGAGCAGCCCGCGTCCGCATCGGGGTGACGGGCGATACACGACATGACGGAGTTACCGGGCGATTTCCTTTCTATTCCGTATCTCAGCGAAGAAAACAATTTCACAGACGGAATGAAAATCACCTCTGAATTGAAACTAACCCGGCAGGTCTTTTCTTGAAGAGCTGATAAGAGTGGAAGCGTCAGGGTCAGAGACGGGACCAGAGATCGAAATTCGAAATGACACGTACGAATATCGGTATAGGCAACGACCCTTTGGCTAATCACTATCTCTTGGTTTTAGTGAAATTTCGTAATCGTACGATACATCGACCAGTTAAACTGTACGAATCGATGTTTTCGATTTCATTTTTCTCTGACGAAGATCTTTCCCGCAAATTACAAAACATTACGTTTCTTTTAATTTAAATAGAAATATATTTATCAAAAACATTTTCAAAATAGGACTTGGCTCCTTTACAGTGACTAAAGGATAAAAGTATATTAAAGTAGAAAAAATATAAAATAATTAAATAGCAAAATGGCTACAAATTATAACAAAATTTCGATGACATTAACATATCCATTATGTTTAATGGTATAATTAACCAAATTACTTCTTTCAATTAATTATTCTTTTTATGTAAGGTATTGGTTGATGAAAAAGTTAGTGTCACGAGCGGGATTCAAACCCACGACCTTCGGCTGAATAAGCCGCTGCTCTAACCACTTGAGCGCTATCGTGAGCCAAAGGTTGTGGGTTTGCTTTTTTTTGGGGGGGTGGGGGGCGAGGACTTGCAAAGCTACATCAGTTTGTAGTTATTAACCAATCTTCTTCAAAAAATTCCAAATTTCAACATTTTTGGTTTTTCTGAAATTTTTGTGCAGAATTTTTTCATCAATTTGCCAATCAGAATAAGTTTTCTTACAGCAAATTTTCAAGTGGCATAAACCAGATTTTTCTATACTCAGTAATTAGTTATAAGCAATTAAAAAATTAAATTGTCTTCAAATAAAAATGTAATCAAGTCCTACAATACAATTATATAATGAAGATCCCTATCCATCCTTAACCATTAGATAATGAGTAAACAGGTATAAATTATTCAAGAAAAAACCTTAAGAAAAAATTATTTTATTAAAACAAAGTTATTTTTTCTGTTCACTCTTGTGGAGTTTCCTCATCTCAGCACGCTTCTTCTGCTGCGCTGGCTTCAGGTTGTGCTTCTTGGCGAACCTCAGGTTCCTCAAGAACTTAGGGTCAACCTAGAATGAGAAATGGCCAAGTTAGTAATTATTTTTACACATGTCCAATTGACCTGCAAAGCTCATGATTTATATAGAAATGTAAACAAACATAACACATCATTGAAACCACCGCCTGTATTTTGAGAGTAGCAAATGTCTCTTTCACCGATAGGCATAATTTTTCTTACTGGTGTAGGGTCTGTTAAGTTTTCAGTAAAATATGTGGATTACAATACAGTGGCTTCTCAGTAAGCCAATTCCAAGTAAATCTGAATCATCTTTCAATTATTTAAAAAAATACATATCTGCGATAGATAAATTATTGTTTATAATGAAATACATAGGCTTGAAAAAAATCCTTCTGTCTTTTCTTCAAATCCTTCCGCCATACAAATAATAATACGCACATTATAAGTTTTTCTTATAATCTAAATATATATTTTTTTAAATTATTTTAGACTGAAACGATGCTGGATAACGCATGCATGTTTTACATATATTTACACAAATCTGAATTTTACAAAGTAAATTATAAGTACAGTGTAGTCTTGGTAGTTTGAAAAGTCGATTGCAAGAGCCAGTTCAGATTACCGAGACTGCAATGTACTTACAACTTATTCATAGCTGATTGAGCAAGTAGTAAACTAACAGTAGCAACTCAGCATCAGTAAAAGTCAAGTTAAAACATGAACTCGGGCTGAAGACGGAACAGTGTTTAAAATTATCTTAACAGTCATGCATATTAATTTAATAGTTAGAAGGATGGGATGTCAACACATACACTACTGCAGTCAACCTGTTAATAATGCAGACAGAGTCAAGGGCTGTTGGGCCAATTACTTTTAAGCTGAGAGGTCAACTTAGGTAAGTCTAACCAAGGGAGCCACACCAAGAACTCATGAGCTAATGACCTTACAGTGGATTTGAAATTAAGTAATATAGTCAAAAGTTAATAATCTTGATTCAACCCCTCTATTATCAGAATTGCTTCAACCCTTAGGCCTATTCTACATGTGCACTTAAAACGCAGCATTTGGTTTCTATACGGTGCATTTGAAATGCATACTAGGAAGTATAAACCATTCTTCACATGCATAAGAACAGCGCATTTCAGTGTAGTTAATTTCAAAATGAGACCTCTTAAGGTAGGATATGTTACAAGGATTTTATTAAAAGTAGTAACTTTTTTTATGGATTTCTGTCCAAGATTTTGTCACTTCTTTATTTGAATATTCCTTCGAACTGATTTGTAAATAGGTGGATGCAATTCTAGCTCACTAATGAATTTTTCAGTGTCAAACACCACATATATAACATAATGCCGACTTTTTAAGCGTTATAAATGTTCTTCTAGAGTGAATCTTCTATACAAATGCATTGGAAAGTGCTGTTTGCGTTAACATGCATTCTAAGGCGTTTTGAGCACTGTGTAGAATAGGACTTACTCCCTCCAAGCCAATTTTACGACAATGGACCTTGGGTTCAATAAACAGATCAATATCCCAAGAATACAGTACGTATCTAAAATATCGGGTTGTCCGGAAAATAATGCAGGATTTTAAGTTTTCATTAAAAAAAATCTATATAAAATATTCTGTTTACGTTTACAGGATTACTCATTTGTATGAATGTCAACACTTATTAATCCTCTTCCAAATGATATTGTTTGTTTACCTCTGTAGCATTCCGCTACTTGGAAATAATTCAGTCATCCTTATAATGTCAAAGCGAGAATTTCGTACGATTTTCTTTTACGAGTTTAAACTCGGCCGAAGCGGAGCCCAAACGGCTAGAAACATTAACCAAGTCTGGGGCGAGGGTTGTGTTAATGAGTGCACTGTGCAAAGGTGGTTTAAAAAATTTCGGGAGGGAGATTTCAGCCTTGAAGATGAAGAAGGTCGTGGAAGGCCTTCCTCTCTTAATGATGATGTTCTGCGATCAGTGGTGGAAGAAAACCCCAAAACAACTGTTCGAGAACTTGCAGAGCAACTCAAAGTCAGTAAAACGACCGTCGCTGACCACCTCAAGGCGATTGGAAAAGTGAAAAAACTCGAAAATTGGGTTCCACACTCATTAAACGATCGCCAAAAAAATCAGCGCTTTGATGTTTGTGCATCACTTCTTTGTCGAAACAAAAATGACCCATTTCTGGCCAGAATTGTTACATGTGACGAAAAGTGGATTCTCTACGATAACACTAGACGTTCTGGACAGTGGCTCGACAAAGGAGAAGCTCCAATACATTTTCCAAAGCCCCCAACTCATCAAAAAAAGGTAATGGTTACGGTATGGTGGGCTTCATTTGGTTTAATACACTACAGCTTCTTAAATCCTGGCGAAACCATCAATGCTGAATCATACTGTAACCAAATTAATACCATGCATCAGAAATTGGCAGTAATGAAGCCCTCTTTGGTCAATCGGAAAGGGCCCATTTTGTTGCATGACAACGCTCGACCACATGTGTCACGTGTAACGTCACAAAAATTATTGGAGCTTGGCTATGAAACTTTGCCTCACCCACCCTACTCTCCGGACCTCTCGCCTACTGACTACCATTTTTTTAGACACCTGGACCACTACTTACAACACATAATATTCAAAAATCAAACGGAACTGGAAAATGCATTTATTGACTTTATCAATTCTAAAAATTCTGAATTCTACTCAGACGGAATTAATAAGTTACCAACACGTTGGGAGAAATGTATTGAGAGTATGGAATTATTTTGATTAAAGAACATTGCTTTAAAGTAACTAGTTTCTTTTTTTTTGTTTAATACCAAAATCCTGCATTATTTTCCGGACAACCCAATACAAGATAGTGTGAAATGCACCCTAATGTGATGTCCATTTTGTCAATAACCTTGAAATAATTCAAATTCCACCCAGATTTCCTATTGTACAACAATTATAAGACCCATATGGCCTGGAACCAGATGCCCCCGACCTGACACCAGTGCAATAATGCATGACTGGAGAGTCTGAGTTGAGTGTGCAGTCAGCATAAACCAGTAGGTTAACAAGCCACCTCCTTACATTTAAAATGGTCAAATGAGTACACCCAAGATGTGTAGTGAGCTATCAACAAGGACCTTGGAATAATAGTACATACAAATCACCATTGTGAAATAGTTCTAAGCGTATTATACAACGTAGATCTGTATTTGATGAAACTTACATTATCTGTAAACGTTTTAAAAAATAATATATGGTGGTCAAACAAAACTTACACCAAGTGAAGACTCATGCCTATGCCTCCTCGGCTTCTTAATCCCATTACGGTGGGCCTTCCTGTCTGCGATTTAAAACCAGAAAATAATTATTTATTATCATAACAAAATAAATTAACCTAAAATCTTAAATCGGCCAACTTACTTTGGTTGTGATTAGTATGATTCTTTGACTTGGCCATCGCTCAGAGAATCACTTAACGGCTTGTAAAATCTACAAAAACAATTATTATTTATAAATGAACACGAAATACTTACAAATGTAATGTTTTTCCGGTGAACTTTTTGACCACTTACACTTCCGAAAACGTGCTCGACTCAGAAAACCAGAATGGACGTCGGGCCTGGCAAGGAGGTTATTTCAAGGCTCAATTTTACGAAACACACGTAGACGGCTTGATATATAATTCAACGATTTAAAATTATTTAATTTAAATAATTTATTTGTATATAATACTAAAAAATGAATAGTTCTTGAAAAGTCGTAATTAAATAAAAAATAGAACAGTTTGATTAATAGAACAATTTTTTGACTAATCTATATCCACCACTTCCTGTTTTTGTTTCCACTTTTCAAATTCCAACTGTATAACTATAAAGTTCAATAATCAAACGACAGGGATTATTTTCATAAATTATATGAAAAGTTCAATATTGTGTCATTAATAATAAATTTTAAACATGTATAACAAATAAAGTCCAATTTGATTTTAAATTTCAACTGCTTTATAATTAAGCATGCTAAAATTAATATGTACTTGTGATTCAGTTAAAACACTAAAAATTTTTTCCAGTTCTTTCTCAATTGTTTCGAATCTCTATATTAATTCTCGTATTCTGGAGTATAGCAGTCGTTTTCTGAGTCCCCTGATCTGTTTTTTAGAGGACATGGGGTTTTTCCACTGAATATACTTATATTCTGTGTTTTGTTTGAATGTTTGTGTATTTATTGTGTGAGTGCTAAGAGCGATGGTGAATACAGCATCACCTTCACCCCTCCAGCACTGTTTAGAATTGAAGACAAAATATTTATAAAAGTACCCCATCAACCCTAAATTAGGTTAGATTATTAATACTGTGTCAATGGAGGAATATCCAGTACTCCACAGGCTAGTCGGAATGAGTGCAATGCGTTTATTTGTGTGACTTATGTAATGTAATTAGTAATGGTTAGATGCATAAATATTTTTCTTTCAGTAGATTGGTGATGAGGCCAGGAAGACAGAAACGTTTATTTTCTTGTAGAACCCACCTTCCTACCAGCTATCTGTTATCCACACATGTACCTGTTCATATAGTAAAACAATTTGTTCGAAGTCCTGATGAAGGCGATATATTCTGCCGAAAGCTCGACAAGAAAATAAATGTTGTTTCTGTCTTCCTAGCCTCATCCCCAATGTACTGAAAGAAAAATATTTAAACTGAGAAGGCTGATCAATCACCAAAGTTAGATGCATAGTTTGCATGGACTTGGGCCTGAAATGACCTAGTTGTCAACAGCCCCGTCAGAGCCTAACCCCACCCAAGTCGAGTACTAAATCCGAGTATCCCTAATACCAGGACCATCCACAGTACTGCATACTTTTGTCCAATCTCCTATTTACTTTATGTTATTCATGAATCTTATCCTTTATGTTTTCAATTAATTTATCACTCTGGCATTCAGGGATGTTGAGGCACAGACTTAAATGATCAGTTTAACAAAACTGCATTTCTACACTTATCACTGATTTTTAATACCATATATTATTATTATGAGATAGAAAGACAGCAAGTGTATTGCAATATTTTTGGAAACATTTTAAACATAAATACAGGCCCATATACTCCAGTGCCTCGATCCAACCATATGAACATATAACAAGTGCCATACGTCCATAGTACATTTATTTAAGATCAGATACCCTAATAGATTATAATTTAATTTCTTCTTTAACCTTTGGATTCATAGTTTATTCTTGAGAAAAACGGAAAAAGCATTTTTACCAAGAATATTTTATTTTTCCTTAAATATACATTATTTCTAGCTTTGTAGAATAATACCTAAGGCTAAACACAGATTGTTTTATTAGTTATTGCAATAAAATAAGTGCGTACTTTTTTAGTTTAAAAGGAGATAAGTATATTAAAAAACAATCTGTTTGCATATGTTTATATTTGTTTTTTAACTAAGGCCCACACATTCTTCCAACACAAGTCAGCGCTCTAATGAATAGTAATAGGAACTGTTGTCAGAAGCAGATCATCATTGGCTTTGACGTTGTTCAGATGAAAAACAGCGACATGACATTGGTAACAAATCGCAACTGACAACAGCAAAACTCATGGATCAAGCGAAGATTATAATACTCATTAATAGGAATGTTTATAACATTGTAAATAACTACTGAGTGAATTTAAATATCCCACTAATTATTACGATTTAATCCAATGAGAAGGTTACACATTACATTAAATGAAAGTAAAGAATAAAATTGTAAAAATATTAAACAGAATCGTCAATTAATATAATTCAGGGAATAAACTCCGTAAATGCTCGTTTGGGGGTGAGTCGAGGGACTCGTAGCCTGGGTCAGAGCTTGAATCCAAGGAGCTTATGGAACAGCAATATGCATCGTGATCATTTGGGGGCTCAGATTGTGAATTATCAGAATGTAAGGTGATGCTTGACACATCACAAGATTCAACTTCTTCTACGACATCCTCAATATAAATCTCCTCTTGGTCGTATGGTAATGTTATAAATATAACTTCATCGTTAATCAAAACATGCTCTTCTTCAGTAGAAGTTTCATTTGTACTGCTGCAATCGGATTCCATGCTTTCTGGTTCGGGCCCCACCACTGCCGGAGACGCAGGCATCTCGTCCTGCAAACACAAAATGAAAATATATAAAAAATATACCAAACAAAAACACATCATGAATGTATCGTCAGATACCTCCAATTCTTCAGCTTGTTTGCTGAGAGAGTCTGCAATCTTTTCAAGCTCTTTGAGGTCGGGTGGATTGGGGAGGTCATCAAGCCAAGAAAAGTCATCCAGATCCAACATGCTGTCATCGTCGTGGAGTGGAGGCCGGTTTTCTGGACAAGGAGGGGTGAGGTTTTTTCCTTCTGCAGAGGAATCGCGGGTACGGCAGACCCAGAATTGTCTCGCCCCTCTTTTGCCATTTTCAGCTCCTTCTCCAAACGTTCTGCCTTCTTGATCAGTTCTTCTTTTTCACTCAATAGCAATAATACTTGGGACATCAGAGAATCATTCTGGAACAAAAAAAGTTATTCATAATTATTATCCTACCAACACATGTTGATGTTCAAGGGTCATATTTCCTTGGACGCCCACAGTGAACTGGTTGTTGTGCAAGGAAGATCTCTAACTTCACAGAGGTCTTACAAGACAATCATAAAACATGTAGTACCATTTGACCCACACGTCGGTGAGATTCTTGCTAATGCAGGTTAATACTAAGCCCCTTGGAGTGGGCCTATTGAGTGCTTGATGTGGCCAGTTCAAAAGTTCAGATATCAACCCAATCAAACACATTTGGGACCAACTTAAGCGACGAATACATTGGCGACACCCAGGTCCTAACACCCTAGAAGAGTTGGAAACTGCTTTTCTTGATAAATGGGAAAGAATTCCTCAGGATTTTATCAGAAATATTTTCCCAGGAATGCAACGGTTTTAACAAACGTGATTTGTGCTAGAGATGGAAACGCTCAGTATTAAAGGGAACAAAAAAGTTTTTTTTTCATTTTTTTAACTCAATAATTATTTTTTAGAATTAGGTAATAAACATTGTCTTTTTAAATGTCTTATTTTTGCAACCAAACCTATTTTTTGGTAAAATATGAATAAACTTAAACACTTAAAATTTAAGAGTAGGGCATTGTCCATCAGTGTATTTAGTTATTAAATATAAATGTATGTAATAAAATAAGAGATAAGAAGAGAAACAGAGAAAGGAAAAGGGGGAGTGAGAGGAGGGGGAGATATGGGTACAGAAAGATAAAGATAGACAAAAAGAATGAGACAGAGCTTGAGATAATGATAAATTGATAGAAGAAAGTGGAAATGGGAAAAAGTGGGATTACGTTGATGGTAGAATGTGAAAAGGTATATACTTGATGATGACTATGAGCTATTCATTAGTCAGGGTTTGATGAGGGTCAGACAATACTCCAGGAATATAGGCAGGTGTAGAAAACAACTGAACAAATTGACTTTGTTAGATAATGCTGAACAATCTGAAAAACACCCTAGTGATTACAAGGCCATTTTTGGAGGATTTAACAAATCGATAATATAATTCAAATGCAAGCGCAGTATTAATTTGTTAATCGTTCATTGTTTGTTAAAGGTCGATCAAATTGCAATACCTGAATTCTCAAGGTCTTGACTGTCGTTTCCAGATCGTTAACATACGCTTTCTTTTTATCCCTTGATGTCTGTGCAGCTTCTCTGTTTTTCAATTTCCTGAAAATACACATTTTTGTAGATTTTTATTTTCTTTTGGTATGAGAATGCGGAAGTTTAAAAATAATCGGGGGATCAATGGTTGTCTGCTGTTGCGACAGACTTACTTTCTTTTGAGTTTTTCGTCCGGCGTCAAATCGTCGAGCCTCCTGCGTACCCTGACTTGTTTGGAAGGGATCGCCACCTCAACGGCAGATCCGTTGACAGCGGACAAGCAGTTGGCGTATTTAGCTGATGCAATCATCATCTCTCGTATTTCGTCTTTATCCTCGATTTGATCGTAGCACAATTTTAGCTTTTTGGTGATCATTTTACAACAGAAAGAACGGTACCGTAAATTGTGTACTCGGTGATGAGGAAAGTTGATATGTACTACTTTTAAAACATCTCTTAATATCGACAAACGGAGAACTGGTGTGTTAGAAATCGGTCACTGACTCACTAGTCACTGGCAACTAAAAGTACGTCTGACGTCAATCCCTCACCACTTCGTTGATGATGTGGCACTGGGCTTTGCCATTTCCCCTTCATCTCTGGATTCTTCCCGTCTTGTGGAATGAGAGCAAAAGTGATGAAAAATAACACAACTGTTAGCAAGATTACTGAAAAGTATAAATGTTAGTTAATTTCATTAAAGTCTGTCTATATCATGTCAAATAATCTAAATAAGCATTAAATTAAAAAAAAGCAATTTTAAAAGAAGTAGAAGAATACTAAATTTTATCAGCTTCAATTAATTATATAAATATTCAATTAATTATACACAATTTTTTCGAAATGAAAAATTGTCTAATTAATTGAGTATTTATAGAAGTAGAACAGTTAGACCATTCCAAGAATAAAAAAATTTATGTTCAAATATTTTAATACTGTAAATATTAATAAATACTGTAATTATTTTATCCCACGATCAATCCTTTAAATGAAAAAGAATGATGCCTATAATTTTTCTATCTATTTGTCTATCAATTAAATCTCTTGAGTTCGATGTAATTAGGCCATTTTCATACTTATTTATTGTATAATCTCTATAATAAGTACTGTAAGTCAGAAATTACGTGTAATCGTCAGCAATGGATTCTCACCATAACTTCTAGTTATTTATTGAAACACTTACTGGAATGAGATAGCCCACTTATGGAACACGGTAACCCAGCGTATTCCATTGGCAATTTTGTGCGTATCCAGAATGACCAGCTGAAAATTATTTATAGAGTATATTAAATTAACCGATTCTTCAAATTACTTTCATTGGATTTTACACTATCCAATTTGTTAAAGGCCTTTAGATCAGAACTATTTGAGAATCCAGATCAAGATTAATTTTAATAAGTCCAATTTCCACATAAAGATTAATTAATTGAAAGATGTTATTTGGTCCATCAGACAAAATCCAATGAAATTAATTTTAATAAAATGTAAAATATGAATTTCACTGTTATATATAAAAAATAAATAAATGCTGATGGGTGTAAATTTCCAAAACGTATATGTATAAAAGTATGTATACCATTTTATTACATTAATTGTTAATTGTATTTTTTTGAATTTGTAATTAAATAAGCGCTGATGATGGCCGAAAGCTCTTTGAACCCAGCATTTAGTATTTTTTTTTTTACCTGTCTAATGACCTCTACGAAGATTGGAACCCTATATAGGTTATCTGCAGGTCGATCAAAGAACATCATATTCCGAAACATGCAAATAAATTAAAATAAGTAATGTATTTATTTTTGTATTAAAAAAATAATAATAAAATACAATAAAACCAATTGGAAATGTTTTTTAACATAAACCAAAGAAAAAATTAAATATGACAAATTAGACTTAAAAATTCCATGTTTAAAATAAAAAACAATTAATTAAATGTAAAATTTGTTCGCAGTCAATACATTTTATATAAATATAAATAATTTTATATAAATCAATATGTCCGTCCTATATGAAAGGGAAGTTAAATTGAATAGTGTTAGAAAATATTTATAATTGATTTCAACAAATTTAACCCTCGATCTATGTACAATGAGTCTTAAGAACTTACTTTGAACATTCTCAATACTATCAGAGTAGGATTCACAATAAGGAGACCAAATAATGGAAGTGTATTTAAGTTGTGACCTAGAGAGAGCAACAAAGTTTTTTAATTAGCTGAATATTGCTGAAGTGTTTGGTATTTTTTTATTGATACAACCTAATATTTTAAATATTTTTTTTATAAATGACAGCAATATAATTAACAGATGGAAGAGATGTGTCAAACAGAACAAAAAGATCTCTTACTCTATTGACTCTATGTAAAAGTTGTACCATAAATTTTGTACAAAAAAATAACTTTTTTATTGTCCTTTAAATAACTCATTATATGGCAATTAGCTACGTTCAGTTTAAGAGAATTATCATTATACCATGAAACTATTTTATCATTGTTTAACTATAACAGATGTAGCAGATTGGCATCATCAAAATTTTTAACCATTCTAAAACTTTTTAGATCATTTGCATAAAGTAGACATTTAACATAACCAGGAAAGAAGTGGTCTAATTCAAGATCTACAGTAATCTGTAGATCAAGATTTATTTAACTCATCTAAATTCATAATGGACAATTTGGATAATAAGAAACCTCTAGTTGGCTTGTACTTTGACATACAAGACTTTCATTCTATAGACTTTAGCCTTATAATTAACAAATAGATGGTTATTGGATTAAATTTATTGAATTCTATTTATACAATTGCACACTCAATAAGCTTTGAACTTGTAAATACAATTCTTGTGGGAATAGTTCTTGGGCCGATCTTGGTTTTTGTTTATGTATGTGTATCTTACAACATAATACAAGCATATAAATAATAAACTACCTATATTGATATCTATATAATTAATTATAACTACTCTTAATATGCCCTCAATTACAAGTAGTAACATAGTAATAGGTGGGTTGAGGATAATAGGAAACAACTATTCTTCTAGAGGGGGAGAGAGAGTGCAACTATGCACATTTATCTATTACACACTATTTATTATATCTACGATAATTGTTATATAACATATATGTATTTGATNTAAATAATACAAAGTACTGGTTATATTGGTTTAATTAATAATATGACCTATTGCAAAATTTGGGTTGTAATATACCTATTACTGCCCAGACAATTTTTATGGACAAGCAATTTTCAGAATTCAGCATTACTGATTTCACTACTTACTTTATTAACTTTATTAATAACTTAATCTAATTAATAACTTAATCTAATTAATAACTTAATCTAATTAATAACTTAATCTAATTAATAACTTAATAGATTTGTTGGGTGTTAAAGTAGATGAGGATTTAATTTTAGGCTTTAGAGTTGTATTGAGAGGGCTAAATTTCTACTAATGGCAAAGGGGTGGCAGTTTTGAACACTGCAATTATTTAACTTTTACAAAATCGCCTTGACTGTTGTAATTAAAAGAAATAAATTAAAAAATAGTTTCCTATTATTTTTCTTAAAAGTTAAGCGTTCTTCTATAAATCGAATTTCAACAGACGACTTATTGGCAGCATTGTCTCGTAACAAGATTTATCAGCTTATCGAAATAATGTGTTTACAACTGACAGCCGGCTAACACGGGCCGGATTTTGCGTAGTCGATATTTTCTATTGACCTGAGGGATCAGGGATCAATTGAAAAAAGGAGAACAGAAGAGAGAGAAAAGAAAAAAGGGGAAAAATGGTCACGAACACGGAAGAAGACGACGATAGCCAAGAGGATACAATCAACTACAAACAACAATACCGAATTTTCAAGAGGAAACTCAAATTCTTGATTTATGTGGGTCGACTCGCCCTTTTTCGAACTTTTTCTTCTTTTTTTGCAATGTACCTTGGTTTTGACTGTCTCTCTCTTTCAGGAAAATGAGTGTTTCCAGGAAGCGCTTAGAAACAATCAACGGCGTATGCTAAAAGTCTCTAGAGATAAAAATTTCCTTCTCGACCGACTTCTCAACTACGAGAAAGTCGAGGTGACTTCCAGCGAGGGTGAAGAGACTGAGTCCTCCGACGACGAAATGGGACGTGCTGAAGTTAAAAGGTACTTTAAAAAACTTTTTAAAAAAATTAAAAACTATACTATCAATGAAATGTTTATAATGTTTTCAGACGAAAAATTGACGTCGGCAGCTTGGGAAGTGTGAATTTAAATATTCATTCTACGAGCTCTTCTAAAGCTGCGACTCCAGCAAAGAAAAAGAAAGCCCAGGCATCAAAAGGGAAGTCTTCAAGTCACCCTCAGGTAAAGACATATAACAAGCTGTCAATAATTTTAACACTTTGAATATTCCGGAAAAAACATTGCCTCGCTGCCTATAATTAACCAGAAAATGAACAAAATAACTGATTGACTAATGGATAAATGCTCTCTGCTTGTCTCGGTTTTATTCACTGTTCCTTCATTCCACCCTTCTTTGATATTTACTCCAGTTGACAACAGATCTATCAGAAACATTCGCAATACAAATAGGCAACGATCACAGTTGAGGTTGACAATATCCCCCACTGTTCCAGCCTTCACACTTAATCTCTTTTAACACCACCACCTTTGCTGTCTTTTTTATCTGTAGTTGCAGGCATTGCAGGGTCCTCCTATCATCGATGGACACATAACATCTGAGGAAGTTGAAAAGCACTTAGAGGGCCGACAGAGGTACATGGAAATCGATAAAACCCCTGTAACCATTCCGACTGAAATGTTCAGCAATGACCCAAGTTTGGATAGGTAAATTATTGACCATCCAACAACTCTCTGATGTAATTAAATAATTTTTTTTTCCAGTGAATCAAATGAAATTTGTGAAATGGAAACATCACCATGCAACTTGGGTGAAGAATGTCTTAATACTGAACTCATCATGCCTGACTAATTAATTGTGCTTTTTAGTATTTACTCATCAATTATCAAGTTTGTATACTAAAAAAAAGAAAACCAATTTTATATTTAAACCATAAATTGTTTAGAAAAGTTACTTTGTAATAAACCCTAATAGATTGTCTAAACATCATTACAGTATTTATGCAATTACATATTCATTATAATATATAAAAATAAATCCTAAACAGTGAATTTTTGCTTTTTTTATACTATAAATTATTTGAGTGTGTGGGCAAATAAATAAAAAAAAGTACATTTGCTATTATTTTCTATCCTTTATAACCAATAGATCTTTGATAAAAATGCTGAATAATCACAATCGTATAAAATGGTAAATTCATAAAATTTGGTTATCTTGTATTTCAGAAAAACATTTATAAATGTAGAAAAGCCGCAGCTCATCAAAGTCAATAGACCGCGTAGTTGTGAGTATTTGATTCTTAGTTTACGATGGGTTTTGGTCTGCAAGTTGGTGAAGTCTCTAGAATCCCTTTAGCCCCTAGAGTCTAAAGTCTTTGTCGCAGATTCTCGGATACATGTTGCAGACTCTTCACCCCGCAACATTGTCGCTCCGGAAATTGTGTCCACACTGACTCAATGTTTATTTAAACTGGGATTCAAAAAATACTAAAATGCAACACGCCAGATTCAAGATTCATTGTCGCAGAGTGTCTCGGATGCAAGAAAATGAATCCCAGACGCAGCTCCGCGACAAAGAGTCCGAAGAAAGCATCCCAGTGCGAACTAAGGCTAAGATCCCTCTCTCACCACCAATAACACATATTTTATTATATTAAAGATAATAATAATTCAAAATATGCACTAAGAGGACAATATTAGTTTGTGTGTAACAAAAACTACTTTTATAATGAGTTGGGTGAGTAATGAACTAAAATATACAATAAATTATTTTAGTTTTATAGTTTATTGATGTGTAAATTAGCAAAACATTTAGATTATTCAGCTGGGCATAATAATAGAATTATATGATTGCAATGCTGGGATGCAGTTGTTCTTCCTAGTATTGCTGTCAGCACTCCCTCCTCCCTGGGAGATTATTTGTATTTTTCATTATAGTAAGTGTCACAAGCGGGATTTGAACCCACTACGGCTGGGGAGTTGGTACCTGGATGGATAGAAATCACAATAGTTCAAGTGGCTAGTGCAGTAGTGCATTCAGCCTAAGGTTGTGCGTTCAAATCCCGCTCGTGACACTTGCTTTTTCATCTCAACCAAGACCTTAGATTAAAAGTATAATTAATTAAAATAGTCACTACAGTCAATTATGATTGCTAAATGCACATATGGTTTAATTATAAGAATTAATTTCCTAACTATTATTGAAAGCACATCATTGCAGTAGGCTAAACTTGAATTTTTAAAATCAAACGGTTTTAAGAAGTAATCTAGAAGTGAAGTTAATTATATATATAATTTCTATTCTTTTCCGTATTCATAATTATTAAGCATATTTTTTTTGTTGATTATTATTTTTATTAGTAGTAGTAGCAAACAATAATTTATTTCAGTTTGATTTCTAATTACTCACTGGTCGTATAACCGGAATGTTACCTACAGTGCTTTGCAGGAGTGTGCCTGGATTTTTATTTTTTTTAAATTTATATTTATTAATATTTAAATAATAAAAAAAATGGTTCATCAGTACAATAAAATCTGAATGTATGATTTTATTATCAGTCAGTGTGGAAAATCAATCTTTCAAACATGCTTATAGGGAGAGTTTTTAAAAGAATTGGTAAAATTATTTGTTTAAGTCTATCATTAGGTCAAAATAATAATTAATCGTTAAAATTTCAGCTGGAAGGTCTGCTGGAGGGCAGGCTCTGACGAAAAATTGGTTTTCAACTTCGCAAATTTCATGCATGAGGATTGATGAGACCAACCCTGTAAATCTCTTGGTGTAATTATTTATATTTTTCGTTTGTATATATTAAATGGTGAATGTCCAGGTGAAACACACTAATGAGCACTTGGGTTTATTCTACACGGTCCCTGTCGCTGACAGGGCGAAGCTCTTCCCGGCTGGAGGACTTCCCAAGTCATTTCTTTCCAGTGTGGACACTTTCAATGAAATGTGCTTGATGATCAGGAAGCCCGCTCTAGATGTTATCAACTATTTGGAGAAAACAGATTTTGACAAGCCAGTCATTAGATATGTATTGTGTATCCTTTGCCATTAATTGATATAACCAATGGGTCTCAGGCATGCTAAATAACTATAAACTGATTTTATTGTATTTGCACTATTTCTCTAAACCATAAAAAAATATCAGATTTGAGTTCTATTTGCATTGGAATTTGTTTGCTGTTTAATTATGAAATTTTTAATTATAAATATTGTGGTGAAGGTCTGTAAACCGTATTTTAAATCATTAAATCCATTCAGCACAGGGTATTGATGCAGGCCAAATGTGTTAACTACAAATTGTCAGTAAAGATGGGCAAGATGCTTGAACTATTTCAGTTTTCGTTTTGAGCCATAGTGAGGCAAACTGGAATGCTTAATGCTTAATCATAATTTTTTTCATTGACGAGGGGTCGGTCCAGTACTTGTATTATGGCTAGTACAACAATCAGATAACTTGATCACTGCTATTTCATACTTCAGACAACAAACAACATTGTAGTGTTCAGTACATTTTTTGTTGTTGCAGAATTCAATTCTTAACTCCACTCCAACTTAAAAATGTCTATTGTAGCTTTTATCTATACTTTGGAAAGTGCGCTATCTGTTATATAACTGAGCACATTCCTTGGGTGCCTCTTCATAGATCTTTGGTATGAGTAATGTTCTACCGAAGTGGCCGAACCTAACACTACATTTGCAAAGGATATGTGCTGATGTCTCTGGTTCCTCCTGATAGAGCTGGCATGTCTTAGCCTTAAGCAATTTTATTACAGTTGTTACCTTTTTCCAAACTTTGTTGGTATTATTCATTACAGTAAGCAGTGTGTGTGGTTTATCTTGAGACCCTTGTGGTCTACATGACTCAGTCCATCCTTATAAGGATACCTCTACAGTTAGTTAATACTATATATAGTAATATTACTACTGTCGTACTATATAGTAATATATTAATAAAATCTATACTAGTTATGTTATTGTGACTAATATTTCAATGCTAAAATACAAATTACAAGTGGATTTGTCAACCATGAAGACGGGGAAGAAATTACACTGAGGGGATTTGTTGTGTTTGGGTTGGGATTGGTTTTGTATTTAACGAGATTTTTTCCAAGGGACCAGAACTGTCTTATGATTTATCAGGATACGAATTACCAATTTTTATTTGTAATATTTTTCTTTAACATATACATGCATATAACATGTAGTTGGAAAGCCTGGCTGTGGGAAGACACTGACATTAGCGCATATTGTACATTATGCCTACTTAAATCAATTTGTCCTCGTACACGTACCATGGAGTGAGTTTTCTGTTTGTTACAAATACACTTTCATAATTTAAATTAAACAAAACAATTCTTGTTCAAGCTTGGACTTGGTTTCGTGATAAAAAGGTCGACGCGGCCTATTCAACCAGTCATGCCGGCATGGTAGATCTGCCTGTGGTTTCAGCCAATTGGCTCAAACATTTCCAGACACAAAATGAAAATTTGCTGAAAAATCTAGACGTAAGGAGATAAAATTATTTGTTCTAAAATTGTTACTATTTATTGTAATTTTGCAGTTAAAAATAGGAAAAGATTATGTATGGAATCAAAGAGAAGTTACAACAGAAGGGAGCTCTATACATGAACTTATATTACACGGGATAAACCGTATCAAATATGCTGCTGACTGTGTTGATGCTTTGATATCAGAATTAAAAGCAGCCAGCAACGCAAAAAAGTAAAAAAAAAATAAAATAAAATAAAATAAAAAAAAACTAACATTTACAAATGTAGTGATTTTTAATTGATTATTTTTTTAGATGTAAAACTTTAGTAGTCATTGATGGTTTCAATGCCCTCTTAGGCGGAAGTCCAACTGTTGTGAAGACAGAAGATAAACTTATGGTCAATCCTGCTAATGTCACACTGTCACAAACCATGATTAATGCTTGTAAGCAAGATTGGGTAAGATACTTTATTAAATATACATATGAAGAAATATATTAACTTTTTTTAAAATCATAAGTATGTATGTTCGATTGATTATACACAATTTTTGGATATAAAAAATTTCTCATAGGCAGGATTCACACCCTCAATCTTCGGATAGAACTCTGATACTCTACCACTTGAGCAACTGTGACTTTGATTGCCCATGCCACAAACTTCTCATTTCGATTCTCAAATTATTCTAAATGCATATAAACCGCTGCTTTATCTTGAGGCACTTTTAACGAATGATTCTTACTTGCATTAATGGGACTGTATACGATTCACATTTTTGAATGATTCGTGGGTACAAATCCAGCCTGTGCCATAAATTTTCCATTTGGCAACATTGTGTATAATAATAAATTGAATAATATATAATAAAAATTATTTTAAAAACAAATAAACGCTAATGGAGTACAATTGTTAATTAAATGTGCATCTATTTGAAGGAGTGGTTTTCTGCAATGTGTTTGTCAAATACATATCCACAATAAAAGGCCAAATGCACAAGAAAGCATTAAAAATATTTACAATTCAATAAATGTGAAATATTTAAATACTGCAGAGCTACAGAATAGGACATTATAGCCTGTATATCCTTAAAAAGTTACTGGTGTTCCTCAAGGCTCTATCCTTGGACAATATTCCTTGTATATTTCAACCTTGTCCTAAGAATGTAAAACTTTACACTGACAATATCTCTCTCTACTATTCCTCGTTGAGAATAGTTACAATATGAAACAGGTTAGACAACATAATGCATTGCGTAGGAAGTTGCTTCAGCCATTGGGAAAATTAAAATCATACTCATGATAAAACAGAGGAAATAGTTTTTTCTTGAAAATTGAAAGTGAAACTCGTGGTTGGTCACCGAGTTGGTCAAATATCTGGGGGTGATACTGGACAGTAAACTCACTTTTACTCCCAATGTTAATGATAAAGTGAACAATGGCAAAGAGGCTATCTGCGTCCTTTTCTCCCTCTATCTGCTCTACTAACTCATGTACAAGGAATGTTCAGGCCAATGTTCCTGTAAGCATGCCAATCCTGAGTCTGACATTCAAGACTAGCAAGTTGCAGGTTGGGAGGAACAAGAACTGCACAATATGACAATCATGTTAGTGCTAGAATACATCAGATATGTAAGCATTATTTTTTTTTTTTTTTAAGCAGTGTAACCTAGTACCAGTTCAATCTGCTGCCAAATGGGCAATTATTGTATGAATGACAGGTACATATGCAGAAGAATAAAGAATGTTATCCCACAGCTTGGCCTAGCTAGCTGGGGTTTTTAATCTTTTTCCTCATTATTTATTACCTAACTAGGTGAAGACGAGTTGCTACCCAGAAACTCCTCCGTAAGAAATACCACTGTATTTTATGTATATATTTAAAAATGATGTAGGATCCTGTGAAATCTTCACCTATAAAAATAGTTTCAGTATCTTAGTTTATGTATGTATAATGTTTTATGTATGTATAATTTTGCAATTATACATGCATATGTATTTATTTAATAATTCAAGAGATTAATTTTTTTCCAGACTAATGGTGCAGTGGTTTTAACGATAGATCAAAGGGCTGCAAAAAACAATTTTTTAAACAACCACTTCCCTCTTTATTTGCTTGGAAGAAAAGTAATTAAAATGAAACTATTTTATTTTTTTATTTTTCTATTCTTTGGACTTCATTTTCATTGTTAATTTGCAGGGCTTTGAAACATTAGACCCATTCGTTCCAGTGCCAGTAACAGAATTAACAGAGTCTGAGTTTCATAATATGGTAGATTATTATGAAGATCGAAAATGGATATTCAGGAAAGATGGAAGAGTTGATTTAGAGTTTTTAACCAATAAGAATCCTTACAAACTTAGGGAAATGTGTGGAGGATTGTAAATGAGCATTTAAATATGTAACAATAAAGGTTTTCTACTTGTTTTTATCTGTTAAAATAAGCCAGAATTGTTACCAAAATATGTACAAAATTTATTAAATTTAAATTACTGTACAATATTTACATTTAAAAAAAATAATGTTTTTTTAAAATATGTTAAAAGAGAAAATGTATATTTTCTTTTTTGTATAATGTTATCACATTGGCTTTAAGGAACGACTAGATAGGCAATTCTTCTTGGGTATTGATTTGAGACCCACTTCTCAATGTCATTTCAGTCTTTTTTATCTTCCAGGTGTCAGATCTGTTGGGATCTCTGGCCAAAAGAAACATCTGTTCAAAAACACCCACAACTTCCCCTGATTCTTTGTGTAGAGTGCCACATGTTAATATGGCAAGAAGTCCATGTGGATCTATTTTGGCCTTTATGCCGGACTGGTCTAAATTGGGTAAAAAGAGCAGCTTATGGCTGTTTTGGAGTTCCCATATCATGTTTATTATCCCTTCGGTACCTTGGGCTTCATCTGTCGTAATTTCAGATGCTATAATTTTTACTGAGGCTGTCGATTCTTTCCAGAAATCAGTTTTATCCAAGGTTTCCCCTCCTTTTTTAATGACTAGTTCATTTATTTTACTGTAAAACCATTTTGCAAACTCTAATGAAAAAGTGTTAAGCATAGCTGGGTCATCAAGAGAGGTCCTGATTTCCACAGTATTGGTTACAGTCATTTTCTTTTCAGGTTCCTGTGATAAAAAATATAAAAAATTATTAAAATAAAATAAATATTAACCATAAACACATAAAATACCAAAGATTGTGGAGTAACTGCCCAGAAATCAATAATCCTTTGCATTATTGATGACTTGTCAATGCCTGTAGGTAATCTTACACCCTTGTCACTAAGATATTGGAAAAGAATGCCTTTGGTTATTCGCTTCTTTGTAAGAAAATGCCACAATGATTCTTGATGCTGAAGAATGATTTCAAGTGCTTCTAAAATAAAATAATAATATCAGTGGTGATTTTATAACAAGTTTGGTAAAATTGTCACAAATTTGTTTTTTTATAAGATCTATTATTAATGTATGTAGGGTGGTAATTTGATAATTTCCAATCATTCTGGTTCGACAAATGTGTTTCGGCATTTTGTCATATTTAGTGTTGGGTCTTTACGCTTTCTTATGTTATGTCATTTTTGTATGTAGACAAGCAGTAGAGACAAATAATCTGTAATTTCTTGTTTGTGAAGTAATTTTAAAGATTAAGAATCCACCTAAAGATCTCTTGCAAAACGTTTGATTTAAAATTATTAAAAACATTTTTTTCTAAATGACATATTTTCAAGATAAAAAAAGTTTCACTGCAACTTTATATATTGGAATCAATTTTTTTAAAAAGAATTTTTTAATATTTCTTTAGATAATTCATAACAATTTGTTGGAAATACTTAATTATATAAACTGACAGACAAATTAAACTCACCACTTAATTTATATATTTTAAAATTAAAACCACATCTTTCTAGATTAGTTGCAGGTAATTAGGAGCTATTGTAGTTAAAATAAACAGTAAATAATATTTTGTTTACTTTAGTACTGATAAATCCCATTTGCACAAAAAGGAGCATAAGTCTTTCCATTCTGCCTGCTACATCTAAAGATCCTTTCAATTAATTTTTTTTCCTTCATTGGTTTCATTTGATATATTTTTTATTCCTAAACCTTTTTTTCAGGTATTAGTAATCTTATAGTTTCTTATATGCAATCTTATAGTTAATTTTAAACATATTTATTTATTTATTATACAGGCAAAGCCTATTAAAAATATACAATAGTTACAAATATACTTAGGAGAGATGATATAAAGATTCATTATAATACATAAGCTCATTAAAGAAATCACTGAACTAGAATTAAAACGCAAGAACAAATAATTGGAAGTGTTAATTATTTTTAAAAACATAAAAAGGTGCAGTAAACATGATTGAAAGAATACAAACAAAATTGAACTCAATAAAGATAATTAATCGAAATAACCAAGGTAACTAGCACAGTAATATGTAGATTTCATAAGGAATTGTAAATATTAAACAGAGCTAGCTATGTGTTTACAGAACAATAATGAGACACATAAAATGGATATGAAAATAGTACATAAACTAATCTAAACTTTTATATCTTATGCAAAACTGCAGAAATGAATTGATTTAAAAATATGCTAAATCTTGGTATGAGAGGTGCGGATAAGCTTTAGCTATCCATTAACCTATTAATGGGACTTTTTTAAAATGTAATTAGTCTTATGGGCAAAAATTATTATTTTATGTGCCCAGAATGAGAGCTGGGGAACATTAAAGTCTAATTTGAAAAGTAAATAAGGAGACTAAATCTGATTATTCTCAAGTTTATAAAGAAAGATGAAGTCAAAGTAAACTCTTCTCTTACAAAGTTTAAAGTCATGTATATTTGATAAACGTTCAAATTTGAATAAACCAATTATGTCATTGAAATGTTGAATATGAAGAGTCGGAGTGATGAACCTACCGGGTTGTCTAGAAAATAATACAGGTTTGTGATTATAAAATAATAAATAAATGATTTTAAACATTTTTATTAACGATGAACTAGATTATCGACCTGCTGGATACAAGAAGTCTTTTCATTGGATCTTCGGAAGAGGTCAAAACAGAGAAAACTTCCTTACGATTTTCGCCGAGCTTTCGACAGTTTTATACTGTCATCTTCAGGGCCTGTTTTATTATCATATAAACAAACAATTAAAACATGAAAAAACAATANTTTTGACCTCTTCCGAAGATCCTCTGAAAAGAATTTTTATTAATTAAAATACCCTCCATCACTCTAAATACACTTCTCCCAAAATGAATGCAACTTTTCTATTCCCTCTGATTAGAATTTTGAGACTTTATTATTAACTAATAAATGCATCTGTAAATGTATTTTCTACGATTTTTGATCATTAAATGTTTTCTAAAAATTATAAAACGTCCAGCTGTATGAAAAAATGGTAGTCAGTAGGTGAGCGGTCTGGAGAATAAGGAGGGTGAGGCGGAATCAAGATCCAACAGTTTTCATGATGTCACGTGTAAGACAAGGGGCCGAGCGTTGTCGTGTAACGAAACTGACCAAAGATAGCTTCAATAAAACAAATTTATGGTGTATTGTTTCAATTTAAGAGCAATACATTTCGGCATTGATTGTTTCGCCAGGATTCAAAAAGCTGTAGGAAATCAACCCAAATGAGGCCCACAAGTTGCCATCGCCCTCTTTTGATGTTTGGGTTTTTTTGAAAAATGTGGTGCTGCATCTTCTTTGTGAAGCCATTGTCTAGAATGTCTGCTGTTATCACAGAGAATCAACTTTTCATCACAAGTAACAATTCTATCAAGAAAAGGTTCGTTTATGTTTCAGCAAAGAATTGTTGCAGAAATTTCATAACGATTTTTTGGAGGGTGATTTAATGCATGAGGAACCCAACTTTTGAGCTTGTTCACCTCTCTAATTGCCTTAAGGTTAGTCAACGACGGTTGATTTGCTAATGGAAAGATTCTCTGCAAATTCTCGAACAGTAGCTCTGGAATTTTCTTCGACCAAAACTCGCAAAACATCATCAGAAATCCTTCCAATTCCTTGTTTAAGCCTACAGTCTCCCTCTCAAATTTTTTTAAACCATCTCTGAACAGTGTTCCCACTCATACTGTCATCGCCCCAAACTTCATTAATGTTTCTGGTCATTTGGACACCGTTCCGACCGAGTTAAAACTTGTAAAACAAAATTAGACAAAAATCACACGTTGACATCTTAGTCATCTTAGTAAAGTCCCAAGTAATGAAATGCTACTGAGGTAAACAAACATTTTTGTTTAGAAGAGGATTAACAAGTGTTGACATTTGTACAAAAGAATAATCCATCAAACCTAAACTGTTTATTATATAGAGGGGCAATTGAAAGAAAACCTGCATTATTTTCCGGACAAACCAATAAAATTCGATCATTACTGTCATGGTCTGCAAATGACAGATCCATCCAACGCTGATAAGCAGCATACCGAGATGATCACTAAGGTTCAAAACTTTTAAAGTTGTTAAAAACTTGTAACCTTGATTGATTGTGTTTTATAATGAGTGGTAACAAAAAACAAGCCTTGGACTAATAAATCACATTTCACAATTAATAATTTACCGGTTTTTGTTTCCACGTTAAGCAATCCATTTGAAGACGTCTTTGCCAAGTCTAGGAGATCGGACAAGGGCAGACGGACCAGCAGGTCCCTCAAATTGGCTTTGTCCTGTTCGGATAGCATGCCGGATTGCTTTGCATCGAATCAGTTAAAATTTCAATTTAAACCAAACGATAAAAACTTGCTACCCAATTTATTACAAAAAGAACGTGAGTTTGGGTAGAACCTCATTCTGGGTTTTCATCACAGCTGGCCCAAGGCCCAACCCCCAAATAAACCCAACCAACTCTCACTCTTGGCACAGAAACTGACATCATATTTTATAACATATCCATAATTAATGCGATTTTTATTCATTATTATCCGGATTAAATTGTTATTTAAACCTTTTTTTGTAATTTCAACAACGTACTGACTTTTTATCGATCGACTATCGCAAAAATTTTAAAAAGAAAAGAAAAAAAATTTTCAATTGCAGCAAAACTAAAGTTTATGTTTCTACAATTTCAGTTTGTGCCTGCAATAACGTAGAGACACTTACAGATGAAAAGTATCATTAATTAAAATATTAATTTTGTTTTTAAGTCTGTGCAATCTATTGTTGGGGGAATGGTACAGGTAATTGATGGTAGTTGAAGGAGTGAAGAAGAGTGAGTAGGTTTGGGTTTGGTTAGTGGGAATGAGGAAATTATTAGTTGAAGTAAATCAGTGGAGTGTATCATGTTGTTCAGAAGTTTATACTAGAAGTATTCAGAGTGATAAAAGAGAATCTGATATATAGTTCATGTATATTTTTAAAAAAATCCTAAGTTCATAAGGTCCTAACTTTGATGTTGCCTCTATAATGTTAAATGAACACATACAATTGTATAATTTTTTTAAAAATCTGTTGCAGTCTCAAACATACAGATGGGGCTGGCCTTTATTACATACAATAATATAAAATAGTACATTTATATAGAAAATAAAACAAATTTATCCTGATATTGCATACAATAAAATGCAGTATTAAAATTAATAATGTTAAACATTTATAGATATAGTAAAGAAAATAAAACAAACTTTTCATGGCATCACGTACAATACAATAGTAATTAATGAACAATTACTCTAATCATAAAGAAAATGAAAGAAATTTATCCTGACATTGCACATGATAATACACTCAAGAAATAATAATGTACATTTATAGATATTGTAAATTAAATAAAACAAACTTATCATGGCATCACATACAATACAATAGTAATTAATAAACAATTATAGATATTATAAAAAATAAATAAATAAAACAATTTAATCCTGGCTAACAAAAATTGCTCTTATATTTTACAACATCTATCTAAAAAAAAACATATATAATTTTGTTTGTTTAGTTCACTTGTGTCAGAAATAGTAAGTTGGTTTACAAATTTATCCTCATTGTTACAATTAGTTAGGAGAATGTCATTTTGTATATATAATGTTCTGAGAAAAGCAAAGAACGGAGAGGTCACAATGTGATGATGTGCTATGTGATTATGTTCTTTTAATGGGCACAATTTAAAAGGTTGTTCAGAATTAAATAAGTGTAATCTCCTGTTTAAGTATATACCACATGATTATTTATTTGCAAGTCTCAATGGAGCAAATTCTTACAATTTATTGATATGAACATTAGCATATAAGTCCATTATGTTTAGTGGTCTATTAATTTAAATTACTTCTTTCAATTAATTATTTTTTATGTAAGGTCTTGGTTCAGATGAAACAGTTAGTGATACGAGCAGAATTCAAACCCACGACCTTCAGAGTTCAGCTATTAGTATATAAGGTTCAGTCCATGTTAGACTGCTAATTTTCCGTAAGTCTTAATAATTTTACATAATAAATTATTTTAATATGACTAGATAATTGTTATAATTTTATGTAAGTTGAATAATTCATTGTTTTATACTGACCACCTGTGAATTGCAATTTTAATTTCATCAACCAATTAAAAGGAATTGTATAATTTTTGGCACTTCGCTTTCCCAATCTATAAAACAACATTTGAATAGAAGGGAATCAAACACCTTCAGCAAAACCGTCAATCAATTTAACACTTAAAAAAAAATTGTTAGAAACTGTGTGTATTCTTCCAGTTTCCAACGTAACATAAGTGTTGGGTTGATGGTATACATATTGTGAAAGTAAATGTGGCCTTGAATAATCCCAGTATAACAATTGTTGAAATTTATGGAAGTGGTGAGGATAATGAACTTCGATAGTCTGTATTTTATTTTTCAGCTATGCTTTTCAGGGAAAGAAAAGTAAATAAAGATTGTCGAAGTTCCTTATCCTCACAACTTCCAGAAAATAAAAAGGAAAAACAACTAAATAAAAAGGAAAGAAGAAAACATGATAATTGTTAAATTGCCATGAGAATGTAATTGTTTCACCATTAAAATATCTGAGAACAAAAGTAGCTGCTGAATCTACTTCTACATGTAACAACTTAAAATTGCCTATTAATAAATATTATAAACATTAAGACAATTTTTATGTTTCAAAGAGAGATGATGGAATAAATGTTAACTATGCAAACGATACGGTGAGCTGTAAGACAGTTTCCTGTGTTTTGGCGTTGAGGAAACGCCCGCTCGGGGCTTTCAGCTTTGCCTGGGCGCATGCCTGTTGATCAGGATCAGCACGTGGAATAAATGTGAGCCGGCCCACGCTTTAGAGCCAGTCGAAATCGGTGTTTCAAAAGGGTGACGTCCTTATAAAACTAACAGCGTTTAGTTAATGAGGAAAATGTCAATTTACGAGCCCAAACCGGCGTACCTTATCCTTGAGGATGGCACCGTCTACAAAGGCCACCGTTTTGGAGCTGAAATACCGGTTAACGGTGAAGTCGGTCAGTTCTTTTTATCCAAATTGCTCGTTGGTTTTTTAAAAATTTTATTACGCTTTTAAAAAATTGTCGCGAAATGTTTTAAAAGAGATTTTATAATCAATCAATACTCATTTTTGTTATGTCAGTTTTAAATTTGTAAATTGCAATGACGAAACTGTGGACGAGACGCAATTTAATTATTTTGTTGGTTGTATTTTTATTTTATTGTCTAAAGTAGATCGAATTTAAGCTATGTTTATTCAGAAATCGTGAGATGTAGGTTTCAGAAAACCATTTTCTTTATCCTGCCAACGTTTCGATCTTTATTGAGATCATCTTCAGGGCTCAAAGTGTTAAGCTATGTTTGGTACTTGAAAACCGGCTGTCTTGTCCTCCACACCTAAAAGTTTAATAATTATAATTAAACAAAAGAAGAATATTGCATAACACAAAAAATAATATTTTGTGCATGTTTTGATCATAAACTAATTTTAAAAAGTTACGCACACAGGCTTGTCTACATGTAAATTTTATTTTTAAGCTGGAAGGATATTTTTCTCAAAATATCAGAAACCTTTAATTGCAATTTATTGTTGATATATAACATTTTAATTGTATATTGCATATTATATAGTTAATTGTATGTTATATATATTTTTTAAATTGTATCACAGCATGCAATTTCAATATCGTGTGTCAATAAGCACAATTGTCATAAATATAATATTTAAATATTATAGATTCAGATGATGGGTGTCAATTCCCGAATGTCCAAATGAATGAAAATAAGTAATGTATTTACTTTTTATTATAAAAAAAATAAAAATAAATAAATAAACAACATGGAAATGTTTTCTGACGTTAGCAAACAAATTTAAAATATTTAAACATTTATTTGGACGTATCTATATCTTAACGTAGTCAGCATGTCTATTGTCGTCCAGATGTTTGGACAGGTAAAGGGGCTTCTACGGTTCTCCATCAGGAGGCTGTTCAGGTTGCCCCAGTTCACCCCACAGCCTTCCTTTATGGTGAGACAGGTCCCCTTCACTTCGATTACATAATCAGAATAGATTCCTGAAGATTCTTGCCAGCCAGATTGTAGATAAAGAAATGTATTGGTTTAAGGAAATAAAAAGGCATATCATGCAGTTTAACTTGGACTGTTCTTAGACCGGAACAACATCGGCTGAGTTGAACTGGTTTGAGGCTAGTTAGATGGTCCATTTGACAATATAAAGAGGCAACATTGCCCAGTTATGGCTAATTCAGACAGCTTCCCACTCCATAGAGAGCTTCTATTCAAATCACCAAATTATTTAATAGATATTTCATTACCCTTTGATAGAAAGCGGTGGGTAATTAAGCGTTAAGGGTATCTGTGTAACCTACAGCTACATTAACTGTGAATTTTGTAGTGGTATAGAGCAGGAGGATTTGTTCCCATTTCTTTGCAACTTGCCTGGCACTGGCTGCTGCAAGGAAAAAATATTTTGGTAGAGAAGCTCAGTCTAGTAAGGTTCTGTTAGAATGTTTTAATGGCAAGGATTGGACTGTCAGTCAATTTCTGCAAAGAGGCTTATTCTCTTAAAGCCAGAATCAGAGGTACTGGTGAATGGTGGCTTAAGTGGCTCCTCTTAACGGATTCCCCTGAGTAGAGAAAAGTTAATCCAATACACAACCGTGACATATCTACTCAGAAAACACACTTTGAGCCCTGAAGATTTCAATAAAGATCGAAAAGTTGGCACAATAAAGAAAATGTTTTTCTAAACTACATCACACCAGACTGCATCTCACAATCTCCATATAATCATTATGAAGAACCATTGGCAGGGATGGTCTGAGCATATAATGTATTTTATTATTATTTACTTTTATTGTTTCCATTTACTTTATTTTGGTTTATTTTATTGATTACGTTGTGTAATCATAAATGATGTATTTTATATTTGCAAATAATAATGATTTATTATTACATTACATTACTTACTGAAATTTCTCATGTATTTTTTAAGGAAGTAAATATTCATTTTGTAAATACTAATCATAAATAGTCAGAAGAAAGGTTTTAGTTATTTAAGTCTATGTGTTAGACTCCCTCAGATGGTTTTTACCATGAGGAACATTTTTTTTTAATCTTTAAAAATGTAGATGGGTACAAATTCTGATGATTTATGTGTAAATTTCTGAAACATCCAAATAAAGTAATGAATTTACTTAAAAGAAAAGGAATTGTTTTTTAACAAAACAAAAAATTATAAGACAGTCTTAAAAATTTCCAAGTTATCGGGTTGTCCGGAAAATAATGCAGGATTTTAAGTTTTCATTAAAAAAAATCTATATAAAATATTCTGTTTACGTTTACAGGATTACTCATTTGTATGAATNGTTTCTTTTTTTTTGTTTAATACCAAAATCCTGCATTATTTTCCGGACAACCCAATATAAAAGATACCTATAAAATAAACTTTATTTAAAAAAAGTTCATTTGTAAATAAAATATTGTTATTTTCCAGCCTTATTAATATAATTAATAATATTTTAATAATTACATATCATTTGTAAATTCATTGTATGTTTGATTACCATCACAATATTTTTTGTAATTAAAATTCTATGAAATGACAAATAGAAAGTTAATAAGTACTTTAGTACAACATATTTAATCATATATTTTTGCACCGGTCTTTTGTTGTAATCATTTTGATTGTATTCTGCATAAACTCACTCAAACGAGATTTTTTTTATGTTGACATTGGTTGGTTTGTCAAGTACCTGCAAAAAGAAAAAAATATACACATGTGAAAATGTACAGACCATCAGAATAGAATGATCAGAGACGATCAAGCTATAGGTTCACTTTGAAGATCTAAAGAAATTATTTCACAATGAAGAGTCAGTACTTTAGTACTACATGCCATCATGTATTTTAATAATTCAATTTTTTTATTAACTCATGTTTTGATGATATATGATTTATTTATTTCTTCTTGTCATCTTGTTTTGTAATGATTGAATTTGTCATGTCAAGGATACATGAGGCTTAATTGATGGCCAGTCAAGGATACATGAGGCTTAATTGATGGCCAATCACAAGGAGGATGATAATATACATTTATACTGCCTAAAAAATAAATTTAAAAATTCATCAAATCATAAAAAAAAAAAAAAATGAAATTGCCATTGACAGTTGAAATAAAATGTATGCCTGTTAGTGTAAAACTAAAATTATGTTATTATTTAGTTTTCCAAACTGGAATGGTCGGCTATCCTGAATCACTGACAGATCCATCGTACCATGCACAAATATTGGTTTTGACATACCCACTTGTGGGCAACTATGGTGTTCCAACATGCGAAGTCGATAAATATGGAATACCAAAGTATGCTGGAATAATATAATTATTAATTTATAGATGTATTTCAATAAAACCAGCAAATTTGTAGGTGGTTTGAATCATATAAAATTTGGGCGGCAGGGCTCGTTGTTGGGGAGATTTGTGACACACCCAGCCACTGGCTGAAATCTGAAACTCTTTCAGACTGGATGTTGTCAAATAAAGTACCTGGGATTGCTGGCATCGACACAAGAGAGTTGACTAAGAAGATAAGAGAGAGAGGTTCCTTGCTTGGAAAAATTGTCCTGACACTACCTGAATCGAGTGAGGAACCTTTTCTCGATCCTAATAAACGGAATTTAGTAGCAGAAGTTTCTATAAAGGTGAAAAATGCTGTTATATCAATACATTACTAATTATTATAAAATTAAAATAAAAATATTATTCATAAAATTATACTTTCAGGAGCCTAAATTGTACAAAAATTTGAATTCTTCAGTGAAAATTTGCATAGTGGATTGTGGTATGAAGTACAACCAGTTGCGTTCTTTCTTGTACAGAGGGGTAGATGTTGAAGTTGTACCATGGGACCATCCTTTGAACCCTAACAATTTTGATGGACTTTTTCTCAGCAATGGCCCAGGAAATCCTGAAAGTTGTACAGTAACCATTGAGAATATTAAAAAAGTAATGTCTAGTGGTAAGCCGATTTTTGGTATTTGCCTGGGCCACCAACTTCTTGCAGTGGCTGCAGGGTTCAAAACGTACAAAATGAAGTATGTATATGATTTATTTTTCTTAAATCTGTGCCCCTTGTGAGCTATTTGTATTCCAGATCACTGTATTGTATACACACTGTAATTTTTTCTTTTATTTCTTGTTTAGATATGGTAATAGAGGTCACAATCAGCCCTGTGTCCACCACGGAACAAATCGTTGTTTTTTGACTTCACAAAATCACGGATTTGCTGTTGATGCAAACTCAGTACCCGAGGGATGGAAATTACTGTTCACAAATGCTAACGATAAAACTAATGAAGGCATTGTCCATGGTTCACTTCCATTCTTTAGGTATGCATTGACAAAGTAATGTGCTTACACTCAAATTTGATTCTTTGTTAAAGGCTAATAAAACAAAATGGGGAAAATTTTTTTTTAGAGTAAAGAAGTAAAATGGTATTGATTTGTTATATATTTAAAAACATATTATGTACAAATAATGGAATTTAATTGTGTTCATTCATTAGAAGTGTATATTTTATTTTATTTTATTTTTTTAATTTTAAAACAATTGTTTTGTAATTGTGGTTCAAAGTGTCCAGTTCCACCCAGAACATCACGCAGGCCCACATGATTTAGAGGGGCTTTTTGATATATTCATCACGTTTATCGAACTCCATAAAACAACTGGCCAATGTTCTGGAATTGATTTGAAAATTACTGACTTCTTATCCTACAAACCAGGAACTGCTTTCATTCCTCCAAAGCCAAGCAAAGTAATAATAATAGTATTATCATCAAGCTTGTAAGCCGAAATTATTTGGTTGTCTCTTTTGTTGTTTAGGTGTTGATACTTGGTTCAGGAGGACTCTCAATAGGGCAGGCTGGTGAATTTGATTATTCAGGGTCTCAGGCGATTAAAGCTCTCCAAGAATGTGACATTCAAACTGTTCTCATCAATCCCAATATTGCTACTGTACAGACCTCGAAAGGTCTTTCTGACAAGGTCTACTTCTTACCACTACTTCCAGATTATGTGGAACAGGTACGTAAATTAATTATACTTACGCTATGTATTAAACATCAATGTCGTACATACTACTTTCTTGAAAACATTACGTTGGTCGGTCACATCAAATTATATTGTATTTTTTAGCATTTAAAATTAGACTAACTACAATTTTTGTTCTTATTCTTTACTTAAATAAAATATTGTTGGAAGGTTGATCTCCCACTCAACATACCATCTAGTTTTAAATTCAAATATATTTAAAATTATTATTAAACAAAAAGACCTACACACTTTCTCTCATTCTCACTCCTTGAGAAAACTACAATTTAAAAAAAAAACTTCTAAAAGAAGTTTTTCATTATTTAAATGAAATAAATATCGTGTACAAATCATATTTTAGAATATTTTAGGTTATATGCTCAGAACGACCAGATGGCATTCTTCTGACTTTTGGTGGACAGACTGCCTTGAATTGTGGTGTAGAATTGCAGAAAAATGGAATATTTGACAAGTACAATGTCAAAATCCTTGGCACACCCATTCAGTCCATTATTGAAACTGAAGATCGTAAAATATTTGCTGATCGGGTTAACGAAATCGGGGAGAAAGTGGCCCCAAGTGCTGCTGTATATAGTATCACAGAGGTTATTTAAAGTAAGACATGAGTTAGGTTCTTTTTTCATTAAATATATCAACTTGCAGGCATTGGAAGCTGCAAACAGATTGGGCTACCCTGTTTTAGCAAGATCAGCCTTCTCATTGGGCGGACTTGGGTCTGGCTTTGCAAATAACGATGAGGAATTGAGAAAACTGTCACAACACGCCTTTGCTCACTCCAATCAACTCATTATTGACAAGTCATTGAAAGGGTGGAAAGAAGTTGAATATGAAGTTGTGAGAGATTCTTTTGACAATTGCATAACGGTAGGGTTTAACACTTGTACAGTTATTGCTAATTTAATTCTGAATTGTGCTTCCTTACATCTTCCAGGTTTGCAACATGGAAAATGTTGATCCTCTTGGAATCCACACAGGAGAGTCTATTGTTGTAGCTCCGAGTCAGACACTTAGTGATTATGAGTATAATAAACTAAGAACAACTGCTCTTAGAGTTATACGTCATTTTGGAGTTGTGGGTGAGTGTAATATACAGTATGCACTGAGTCCCACTTCTGATGAATTCTATATTATTGAGGTAATGTTTATTTATTTATTTTTTTCCAACTGATTTCCACTGCCTTAATGAATATTTTTAGGTAAATGCTAGGCTTTCTAGAAGCTCCGCGTTGGCTAGCAAAGCCACTGGCTTCCCTTTAGCGTATGTGGCTGCTAAGCTTGCCTTGGGCCACTCCCTTCTGGATATTAGAAATTCTGTTACAATGAAAACGACCGCATGTTTCGAGCCAAGTTTAGATTATTGTGTTGTCAAAATTCCAAGATGGGATCTGAGCAAATTTTCAAGAGTTAGCACAAAGGTAATAAAACACATGTGACGGCTTCAAATTAATTTTATATGCAGCTTAATAGAAAATTGGTTAATATATTTTATTTTTTAAGATTGGAAGCTCCATGAAGAGTGTTGGAGAAGTGATGTCTATCGGGAGGAAGTTTGAAGAAGCTTTTCAGAAGGCCATGCGAATGGTGGATGAGAATGTCATTGGCTTTGATCCCTATGTAAAACCGCTTTCAGATGAGGAACTTGAACAGCCGACAGACAAAAGGATGTTTGTCCTCGCAGCCGCTCTCAAGTCAAATTACACTGTGGATAGACTTTACCAGCTGACCAAAATAGACAGGTGGTTCCTCTACAAGATGAAGAACATAATTGAGATGCAGACATTTCTTGAGTCCGTGCCTCATCAAAACCTTACCAATGCTCATCTGCTCAAAGCTAAGCAACTAGGGTTTTCAGACAAGCAGATCGCATCATTTGTCAAGAGTACAGAGCTGGCAATAAGAAATAAGAGGGCTGAAAATGGTAATTTTAAATTGTTTGTAATTATGACTAAAATAGTTTTATAGCTTGATCATGGTCTTCTTATTCTCATGGGCACATAATGCTGAATGAAACCCACAGAAAAAAAAGCCAGTGTGAACAGGAAGACCTGGATGGTCAGGGACTATTGAGCTACTGGTTCATTACCTAACTACAAAGTTCACAATAAAATAATTTTTAATTATTTAAGGAATTACACCATTTGTGAAGCAAATTGATACTGTAGCTGCAGAATGGCCTGCATCAACGAATTACCTTTACCTTACTTATAATGGTGCTTCTCACGATTTATCATTTCCGGGTGGATTTTCCATGGTTATTGGTATGTTTTACATTAATAGTTTATATTTAAAAAAGAGAAGTTTATATTTTACAATACTACTTCTGTTTAAAAAAAAAAAATAGTTGCATTTTATATGTATGCTGAACGTATCGTCCTTTTTTCTTCTATAAAAACTAATCCATTTTAATTATCTTTATTTACAGGATCTGGTGTTTATAGAATTGGAAGTTCAGTAGAATTTGACTGGTGTGCTGTAGGCTGCCTGAGGGAGCTAAACAAACTTGGTAGAAAAACAATAATGGTCAATTACAATCCTGAAACTGTAAGTACGGATTACGATATGTGCGACCGACTCTACTTTGAGGAAATATCATTTGAGGTAAATCTTCTTCAGGTCGGTATGACAAATGACAAAATTGAATCGACATGAATTTTTAGATCGTCATGGACATATACAATTTGGAGAATCCTGAAGGCATAATATTAAGCATGGGTGGCCAGCTTCCCAACAACATAGCCATGGACCTCCACAAACAGAAGGCACGGATTTTAGGCACTTCACCTGAGAGCGTCGATGGCGCTGAGAACCGATTTAAATTTTCAAGAATGTTAGACAGAATTGGCATTTCTCAACCGAGGTAAGTTCAAATTACTCTATGTACTTAGTATTAACATGTGCAGTCTACTCTCGGTAGGTCGAAATTAAAGTGACTGGGCATAATTGTTTGACTCATCTGCAGTTCGATTTTTTAAAGGTCGACTTATAAAATTAAAAAATAAAGTAAATAAAAATAAGGAAGATTAGTAATGGTGCATTGTGAGATTTCTCCATATGGTTAGTAAGGTGATGAATCTCACCTGACAGAAAAACCACTGTGAAGCCTTAACGATACAGGCAAGCATGAAACTACTCAAAGATGTATAAAAAGAATAAAAAATTAGCACACTTGAAAACTTACTTATACACAAACATAACGCACTCAACACTAAAAACTCATAAATACACAAATTAATAATAGCTCACAAACATCATTCATACCATTCAAAACTATACACATTAACATGTTGGCTGTGTAAGATAGCAATAAAAATTATAATTTAATAAAAAAAAGTTAATATTGGACAATTTTAACTCATTTTTAACACACCCAAATTGAATGTAAGTTCTGCGGGTTCGTAATCCATTTACTACGAGTGGCACAACTCTTGTGTCATTACATTTTTATTACTTTGATAAACGATAAAAAACATTGACATCCATTTTAAGTACCAGGGAACTATTTTACTTAATAAATTGGTTCTTCCATGGGCATCCAAAACGAATTCACATAGGTCGCATAAAAACTGAGTCGTAGTGGATTTACAAGTTAAAAAAAAATCTTTGGTGATGGCATTCAAGTGTTTGACACATAATGTGAAAGTCCCTTCACTGGCCCTTTTTCTCAGGTTGACTAGTTACAGTGTTCCTAGTATTTGGCACAAATTCGACTTATAGAAGTAAAATTTAGCAAATGATATTGGACCAGAGAATTTGTTTGTCTTAACTATGAATTTGACTATCTGTCAAAATTTGACATATCGAGAGTTTTATGTATAATCTTTGCCTTTGTACAATTTTGTTTTGGTGGTTAAAGAAAAAAAAAATGTTTATAAACTTAAAATATCTTTGTTAGGTTGACGATATCTTAATGCCGGTGATTCTACTTTAATTTCAGGTATTTTTTAATAAACCTAATGCTGTCCTCTTAATGAAAAAAATTAAGGCTGAAATAATTTAGCATGCTTTGATTAATTGTAGGTTTTGGTAGTGCTAATATGTTTAGAGCACAAGTTATTTTATTTTGCTTTTTTAAGTAAGTTATTGTTACTCTCTTTATGTACATTATGCAGTTATAAGTTTTGGTTTGAGTATCAAAATACAAAATAAAATTTATTATAGGTTTATTAATGTACTATGTTTTTTTGCTCATTACTTAACGGTCACTAAATGTTACATATTACTGTTTTATTTTATTGCATTAGATAATTTCTATGTAATGTTTAGCATTGTACAGAAAATGGTAATTGTTTCTCTCTTTTTTACATATTACAAATGTATTTTTGAAAGTTTGCATTGTGTGCTTCGTTTCTGAATGCTTGATTCTGTTTAATGCTTTTATTAATTTTATTTCCTTCTTCATTACTCTTATTTCAACACTCAATTTTCAAAATTTGATGTACTAATTTATTGCATTTATTGTTTTCAATTTTTTATTGATCTAATATTAAACATTGATTTTCATAATGCTAAATTTTTTCTAAGGTTTGCTTTTTAATAATTTTAATTTAATATTTTATTATAGTTTTATAATTATTTATTTTTTATAGAACTTTATAATCCTTTTTCTAATCATGAGTTCTCTAATTCAAACAGCATTGAATTGTGTTTGTTTAAATAAAAATATTCAACAATGGATTCAATAATGTGTGCGTGCGTGTGTGTTTTCAGCATGCATAACTTTTTATTTACTACTGTTCTTGCCAGTGGTTATTTTCTTCTGGTGTAAAGCAATCTTTTGTTATAGTTTCAACCATTATACTCGTTTAAAAAACAAATATTCAACCGAAACCTAGCTTATTGTAAAGGATGTTCTTGATGATGATAATTGTACTCCATATGATGTTATTTAGATGGAAGGAATTAACAAACCTTCAGTCTGCCATTGATTTCTGTGATGAAGTCGGCTATCCTTGTTTGGTGAGGCCATCGTACGTTTTGAGTGGTGCTGCTATGAGTGTGGTTCATTCGGAGCATGACCTCGAAGAATATTTAGCTGTAGCGAGTGAAGTTAGTAAAGAGCATCCAGTGGTTATTTCCAAGTTTTTGCTCGAGGCAAAGGTAATTACTTTTTTCATTAAATATATTCGTATTATTTCATTACATTTTTTAAATTTTTTTAAAAGGAAATAGATGTTGATGCTGTAGCTTGCGACGGGGTAATTTTATGTATGGCTGTTTCTGAGCATATTGAAAATGCTGGGGTTCATTCCGGTGATGCTACTTTAGTCACTCCTCCACAAGACATCAATTCTGAAACATTGGCCAAAATTTTGGCCATATCTAAGGCAATTGCAAGTTCGCTTGAAGTCACAGGACCGTTTAATATGCAGCTGATTGCGAAGGTGCATTTAGTAGAAATAAACATAGAAACGTGTGTAAAACTTATGTTTCCATTTTTCAGGATAATGTTCTCAAAGTTATTGAATGTAATGTGAGAGTTTCACGCTCATTCCCATTTGTTTCAAAAACTCTAGATCATGATTTTGTCGCCACTGCAACAAAAGTGATAGTCGGCGAACAAGTTGAACCCGTAGATGTTCTTATGGGATGTGGCAAAGTCGGGGTTAAAGTGGCAGTCTTCTCTTTTTCAAGATTGGCAGGTAATCAATCTTATATAAGTAGCCAATATAAATTAAGAGTTTATTTTTTTTGGTTGTTGATTTTTTATATTTCTTGGGCTTCTTTTCAGGAACTATTCAGCCATCAAACTCATTTTCTTTTTATTGATAAGAAATTGTATAATATCAATAAAAAGAAAATGAGTTCGATGTCTAGTTCCTGAAAAGAAACCCAAGAAATATAGATTGAGTATTTTTTTTTATTAATTAGTAATTTTTAAGGGGCTGATGTCATGCTTGGAGTTGAGATGGCATCTACAGGTGAAGTGGCTTGTTTCGGTGATAATCGCTATGAAGCTTACCTAAAGGCGATGATGAGCACAGGCTTCCACATTCCACAAAAAGCTATTCTCCTTTCAATTGGAAGTTTTAAGGTTAATAAATGTAATTAGCCTTCCTGAAAACAATGTCTAACCAAATCATTTGTTTCCCCACAGCACAAAATGGAATTGCTTCCTAGCATGAAATCATTGCAGAAGTTAGGCTACAAATTGTACGCCAGTATGGGCACAGCTGACTTCTACAACGAACATGGAGTTCATGTGAGTGCTTGCCCTTTGAGCTTTTTTCAACATATAAACTGTATAAGAAATTCAAACAAATGTATTTTGCAGGTGGAACCAGTTCAGTGGATATACGAGAATATAGGAGAAGCAACAACATCAGGGGAATTGAATAGTTTGGCTGATTATCTTGCGAGGAAAGACTTTGATTTAGTTATTAATTTGCCAATGAGGACAAGGGGTGCGAGGAGGGTGTCTTCGTTTATGACGTACGGTTACAAAACGAGAAGACTTGCTGTCGAATATTCAGTACCGCTTGTTACAGATGTCAAGTGTGCTAAACTACTTGTTGAGGTAAAACGTTAATAAATTTTAACTTAAACCTTGATTGATAAAAATTGTTATTTACAGGCATTGTTAAGGATTAAGCAAGCTCCTCTGATGAAGACACATACAGACTGCCTTACTTCCCGTAAAATTATCCGTCTTCCAGGTCTTATCGATGTCCATGTCCATACCAGAGAGCCAGGAGCAGAGCACAAAGAGGATTTCAGTACGTGCACAGCTGCAGCACTCGCTGGCGGCATAACGATGATTTGTGCAATGCCAAATACAAACCCTGCATGCGTTGATGACACAACATTTGCACTTGTGAAAGAGGTTGGTATTTTTGTTATAATAATTCATAATATTGATAAGAAAACAATATGTAGGCTGTGGATTGCAAATAAAAAATTAAAAAAATACTATGAAACTTCCCTTGAATGGACAAATTCACTCTTCACATTAAAATCTTATATAAAGTAGACACTCCCAATAACGGACACAGACAGCTTTTTCATTTATACTGCTACAACTCTCCCAAAAGCTTAGCAGCCTCCAAACGTAAATGTTTTCTTAAAACACCATTTCCCCTATGTGTTTTGTTTGCCTTTCTTTTCCTAATATTCCTACATTTTGATTATGCCACATTGCAAACACGTTTAAGTATTTCTTCATTGCATTTGAAACTTAAAGAAAAAATAATATAATTAAGATGAGTGAAAGTGAAAAATTAAGTGTGCGAGACTTGGCAGCTAAGTTTTCCATCGGAAAGACCCAGGCTAGTGAAATTCTAAAGGATAAAAAGGAACTTTTAGATAAATTTTACAAACACAGAAATGACCAATCCCGCAGATTTTTTCCTAAAATGTCCAGTCTGATCAAAGACAGGGTGTATTTGTATGCTTTTGCTTGGGCTTCCAAAATACCAATGTGGGGCTCGATTATCCAAGAAATGGTCACAGAGGTTGCAAAACATTTAGGTCTAATAGATTTTAAAGCATCTTCAGGTTGACTCGACAAATTTAGAATTTGGCATAAGATTTATTTTGAGACCAATAGTGGAGCGAAGGATCGAGGTTGTATAAAACCTTAAACTTAAAGCTTAAACAAATATTGCACCATTTTGAACTCTAAAACATTTTTAATTGTGATGAGAGCATTATTTTACATAGAAAAAGTTTCAAAGTAGCGTTTATCTTTGCTCTTATTCAAAATTATGTTTGGTGAATTGTAGAAATAGAGCCATAGAAAAGATTAAAAATCCTCAGTGTCTGAAAGGTTTCGATATCTTTAATCCCCATTGTGGCCCATTTTGTAATACTAACCTTTTTTTCCACTTTTATCCCAAAAACAGACATTTCGGTAAAGCAGGCAATAATTTATTCTCCAAGGGTGTTCATTATATGGAAATTCCAACTTATTCAGTTAGTTCAAATTTTTAAGATTCATCATTCATATACAAAAACAATTTTACCACTGTTTAAAGTGTGTAATGTACAACTTTATAATAAAATTAAATTGAAAGTGTTATATTACAAACACCAATTTCACTTGAAACATTTTTTTGTTATTACATTAGCCCAGGATGTAAATATTATTTTATATAACATCTAATATATAAATCCTTATATGCATTTAGCAATCATAATGAACCTTATTAATTATTTTAAATAATTATATTTTTAATCTAAAGTCTTACTTTTCATCTCAACCAAGACCTTAGAGTAAAAGCATAATTAATTAATCTAACATATATTTCAAACAATTACAATTCTAAACAAGCGAGGGGATGAAATCGACCTGGCATCCAAACGGTCACCCACCTACCACTCAGCGGGTAGGAGAAGCAAGCTTGTCATTTAATGTTTAAATATAAACCCTTTCCTGTATTTGTATGAGGGTCTTACCAGAGTTGTCAATGTTAAATTGTGTTTATTTTATTTTAGTTGGCTGCAGAAAAAGCACGGTGTGATTATGCTATCTATCTTGGTGCTACAGAGGATAATTTCAACCTGATACCAGACCTTGCCCCAAAGGCTGCAGGTTTAAAGATGTACTTAAATGAGACATTCAACACTCTGCGACTGCGTGATCTGACATTCTGGAGAAAAGTAATTCCTTTATATACATTAAGGGAGTATCTAAATTTTAGTTCGTTCTGTTTCCCTTAGCATTTTGATTTCTGGCCGAAGAAATATCCGCTCTGTGTTCATGCAGAAGGGCAGACCACAGCGGCCATCTTGTTATTGGCCACACTGCACAACCGTCCCATCCACGTTTGCCATGTAGCACGAAAAGAAGAAATACAAATTATAAGAGCAGCTAAGGAGAAGGTACTTTAAAAAAATTCTGCTCTATTTCTTCATGTTATATATTGATAATGCCCAGGGACTCCCTGTGACGTGTGAAGTCTGCCCACATCACCTTTTCCTAACAAATCTTGCTAAGGAATATTTAGGAGAAAATAAATCCCAAGTCAGGCCGGTTTTGTGCAGCGAAGAGGACAGACAAGCCCTTTGGGAAAATCTGGACATCATTGACTGCTTCGCCACAGACCATGGTGTGTTTCGGACCCTTTGATTCAGTGTAGTTGTATAACTAAAAATCTGGGTTTTTAGCCCCTCATACTTTGGAAGAAAAACTTAGCGAAAAAGCTCCTCCCGGCTTCCCAGGATTGGAAACTATTTTACCCTTATTGCTCACTGCTGTTAATGAGGGAAAATTGACTATTGAGGTATTTCCTTTTGTCTGTAAAAATATTGAATTACAAATGACATATTTTTTAAACAATAGGACATTGTCGATAAAATGCATAAAAATCCAAGGCGTATTTTCAACCTACCAGAGCAGCCTAATACTTACATAGAAGTTGACATGGATGCGGAATGGATGATACCAGATGCGCCTACTTTCAGTAAAGCAAAGTGGACGCCTTTTGCCGGTATGGCTGTAAAAGGTGCAGTTCACAGAGTTGTTCTCAGGGGTGAAGTCGCTTATGTTGAAGGACAGGTAATTTTATATCTTTGCAGCTATAATTATAAACAAATTATCTTAATATATTCTTTGCAGGTTCTTACCAACCCTGGGTTTGGCCGAGACATGAGGGAGAAGAGCAACAAGTTAAACTTAATCGTTTCAACTGTAGATCATATACCAAGCAGGCCTGAATCTGGTCTTGACATGATATCTCCACGCGACCGCCATAATTCATTATCTGAGCATGACCATGGTTTGTTTGGTTTTTATTTAAATTTTTTAAAAATATTTATTCAAGTAACCATAATTTTCTCACCCTCCCTTTCCAAAAAAACAAAAAGAATTGCATTTGAAAGTCAGTGAGACGCTTCGACCGATTTCACCTATTCCTTCACTGCCTGCGCTACACAGAGCGAAAGGTGAGAATTTGATAATGCCCATTACTCACCAGCCACATGTCTACTCGCAAAGTTTGCACCATCAGCATATTCTGTCTGTGCACATGTTCACAAAGGAGCAGCTCAACGATCTATTCAATTTGGCACAGACTCTTAAGATATATGTGCAGAAAGAGCGACCGATTGAACATATTCTCAAGGTGAATGTTTTACATTTTAATTAATTCTGATTATGCAATATTAATTATTATTTTTAAGCTTATATTCAAAATATACATTTATACAATATAAAATTGCTTGATTGAATTACTTTTAAACAATTTATTCAGACATTCTGGATTTTTATACATTTAATAAGCAGGGAGGAATATGTAACAGGCAAAGATTTGAAATATTATTATATATAAAATTTCACAAAGAGAATCAAAATATTTTGAACTATTATATTTTAACATACGTATACTTTCAATATATTGTACAATAAAAATAAAGAACAAGAAAAATGTACATTCTCAAATACTTAAAAATATATAAACATAACACATTCAACTTATTAAAAAAACTCATACCCAAATTAATCTCACAAACATCATTTACACCATTTAAAATTAATTATACAAATTAAAAAGACAAAGGACCGAAGGCCAAAAAAACCAACAAGAACAAGAAAAAATCTCTAAACCAAAAACTCAAGATCGAAGGTCAAAAAGACTGACTAGAGCAATCAAAAAGACACAGACTTGATTCATCAAACACACTGACAAACAACACTCGTACCTACCCAGCACCCCACAGCCTAAAAATTCATTCCACAAAAATCACCCAAATACTGAAGACGGTGAAATGTTTTTGATCTGAAAATGAAGTTTTTCAAAAAGGGAAAAAATGCCGTAATATTCTTCATGTTATCAATAGTTTAAACTAGTTAAAGTTTTTCAAATTTAAATCTGGTAAGTGGCTATAAAACTTGTTGAACTGCATCATCAAAACTATGGTGCTCCTTTATGAATTGGTTATAGCTCACTATCCAGTTTTAGGCCTTGTTTTTTTAACTTTAGTTTATGTTTGTGCTAGTTTTTGTTTTTCTTTCCAGCTTGGGAAATGACAACAGTAACTTTTACTTACAAGAATTAGCCCTGGTGTTTTGTGGTCTTTTTGGGTTTGGTGACCAACTTTGTTCATTTGAAATTTGATCATAACCAAACCATAATTTTAATGCTAAATTAAAAAGTGAAACAAGAACAGTAATTACTCTCAATCATACAGGAGGATTTAACACCCTACTTCCTAATGTGTGGTGATTAGTGACCGTTAATCGATATTTATTTAGAAATCGTGAGATGCGGTCTGGTGTGATGTAGGTTTCAGAAAAACACTTTCTTTATCGTGCCAACGTTCCGATCTTTATTGAGATCGTCTTCAGGGCCTTGTGTTGTCTGCATTTCAGCAAAAAAGTTCTCTGATTGATGGCCGATGCGAGTTTCTTCTCATTGTTGGCGATGTCCTTCAGTATACTTTTAGCTTCGTGTCCATATGTAGTTGCAATTTGTTCATCGAATCCCATGTTCTTCGTTCTTGAAGAGACGAGTTCTACAATGAGAAGAAACTCGCATTGGCCATCAATCAGAGAACTTTTTTGCTGAAATGCAGACAACACAAGGCCCTGAAGATGATCTCAATAAAGATCGAAACGTTGGCATGATAAAGAAAATGTTTTTCTGAAACCTACATCACACCAGACCGCATATCACGATTTCTAAATAAACTACTTCCTAATATTGGATAATACAATAACAATAACAACAAGACAAAGCTAGAAACTAAATTCCAGTTCCAGTTTTACTTTATTTTATTTTCAAAAGTCACAACACTTTCTAAGTAATTGTAGAAAAATGAACCTAAATTTGAATCGAGGGTCTGCAACAGCGGAGGTCATATCAACCCTTGGGGCGTTGGTGTTTTCTTAAAAAAAAAATAAAAGCCCTCTGGTAAGTACGTCGGGTTCAAATTCAGGGCAGCTGGATTTATACCTAGGATCGTTACCAGTGATGAATCTCTGTGTCAGTGCTTTAACTATTGCAGCCACCAATGCCCTCCCCTATTATCAAATTATTTGTGCATTTTATGAATATTAGATTTAATAGTGCAAATGTGTAATTTTTAGGGAAAAGTTATGGCTTCAATATTTTATGAAGTTAGCACCAGGACAAGCTGCAGTTTTTCTGCAGCAATGCAACGTCTTGGAGGAAGGGTAATCCATATGGAAGAGTCCAGTAGCTCAGTGAAAAAAGGGGAAACCTTGGAAGGTTTGTTTTGTTTTGTTTATATTATTGAACATTTTGTCTAGCGTATATTTACTTATTTTAAATTTGTCCACATACGATATTTATAGAACAAGATAATAATTATAGACTTAAGAATAATAATAATTTTAGATAAAACTCTTTTCCTTTTACTTTGGTTGTTGTGTTCTAATTCATCAGTGACTATAATTTTTGGAGTTTGCTTTGTTTGAGATTGTTAAAGCATCTAATTGTTAGTATTATCATAGAGGTTCTATGTTCAAAGATTTAATCAAATCAATTGAACAAGTTTTGTAAAATTGTCTGACTGAGTAAAATTATTCTGTATTAATCCATATTTGTTTAATGGTCATAATTGATCATATTAATTATTCTTTTCATCTAAAGTTTTTGGTTGAGATGAAAAATGAGTGTCACCAGCAGGATTCAAACCCATCTCAACCAAAAATCTCAGATGAAAAGAAGAATAATTAATATGGACAATTATGACCACAAAACAATTTGTATTAATTTAATAATTAAAAGAAGTAATTATTTCACTAACACCTCCCCGTGGCCACTTCATAAGTCGCTGTGAATCGAATCTTGATTACACGACATTTGAAAATATGGCAAAAAGAGGGGTTGTAGGTTGAGATGGGAAGTTGGTGTCCAAGGGGATCGAAGACACGATGGCTCAAGTGGTTAGAGCAGCAGTGTATTGAACTGAAGGTCGTGGGTTCGAATCCTGCTTGTGTCACTATTTTTCATCTCAACCAAAAACCCTAGATGAAAAGAATAATTAATTGGATTATTCTGTATCTCGTCCTATAACAGGAATTATTCTACTATAACCATTTTAACTTAATAATTTTATAAACGTTTTAGATACTGTTATTGTAATGGCAAGTTATTCTGATGTTGTTGTTTTACGTCATCCTGAACCCGGTGCTGCATCTGTAAGATTAAACATTGTAATCATAATTTTGACTGTGCTTATAATATATCATTGTCAATAGCGAGCTGCTCATCACTGTAGAAAGCCGGTAATAAATGCCGGAGATGGGACAGGTGAGCATCCGACACAAGCACTCCTGGATGTTTTTACAATCAGGGAGGAGATCGGCACTGTGAATGGCCTCACGATAACAATGGTTGGTGATCTCAAGAATGGAAGAACTGTTCATTCACTTGCAAGGTTAAATTCTTTTTTTTACAGTAGTTTAATTTTTAAAAGCTGCTACGAGTGATTTTACTTATGACTGCTTGATTTGCACAACCTAGCTAGTTGATAAAGAATGCAAAAATGGTGTTTACTATTTAACTTTATTAATGGTATATATAATCTCTTAGCTTTCTTTTATTTTTAGACTGTTGACCCTTTACAACGTCCAACTTTGTTATGTATCTCCTCCTTCTCTTGAAATGCCAGATTCAGTCTTTCAATTTGTCAGGGACAAGGGAATAACGCAGAAACAAATGGCATCTCTGGAGGAAGCTTTGCCTGAATCAGATGTCGTCTACATGACACGAATTCAAAGGGAGAGATTTCCATCACAAGAGGAATATGACAGGGTATGCATCAAAATATTTATATTAGATCAGTTTCTTCAGGGTTCATATAGCCTCGCAGTTGAAATACCGTCATAAAAAAATATATTTTTTTAATATTGCTATTATTATGTAATTGTAATACAGAAAACCAACAATCTCTGTCCTGATTGTCTTATGTGACAAAATGATACTTTCATCAAATATGATTTTATTTTTTATTTTATTTATTGTTATTTTTAATCAAAATCAATAGTTACTATGTAATAGTTTATATGCAATTTTTTCGAAATTAAAAATTTGTCAGGTGGGTTCGAATCCCACCTGTGACACAAATTTTTAATTTTGAAAAAATTGTGTATTGATTGTATAATTAAGCATAAGTTGATAAAAATAATTAAAAAATTAAATCAATGGTCCAAGTACATACAAAAAAATGTGTAATATTTAGTGACAGTTAAATAAAATACAGAGTTTTACGTTAGTGCTTGTATAGAAATATTTCACATTTAACATTTTAGCACAGTATTCACTAGAGGAGAAATTTTTACATAATAAATATCATTTTAATTTAAAATAAATTATTATCGCACTATATCATAAATGTTTTTACACTATTTGCACATGTCTTGTAGCTTACATGGCTTCAGACCTAATGCCTTTTTTCCTCCTACTTTGAAGTGGACAGCACCTTGACTTTCCTAAGTTGAAATGGAACTTGTTGAATTGCTAGTGAATTTTCTTTTGTAAAATAAGGAGTTCTAGTTTTTCCTCACATACCATTCAGCATTTATTGTCATTTGTGCTGTTTTATTATAGTTGCAGGCGCTTTATTTTGGATGAAGACTAAGTTTTATTAAATTACCAAAAGGCATAATCCACATTTGATAGTAGTTTGTATGTTATTGTATAATAGTTTATATATAATAGTTGTAGTTAGTTGTATAATATTGTGATATGATAATCCCCACATTCTTAGGCAAGAACTTTTCTGAAATAATTTGTTGACCGGTTTAAAGGTCATTTGGTTACAAATTTTTGCATGAAATTTTAAAGTATGCAATTTTACTTGGGCTTTAGTACTTCACCTGCATCCTGACCTTGCCCCTTCAGACTACTACCTTTTCTGAAAAATAGTATTAGTAGTAGTGAATGGTCTGACAGGAATGAATAGATAATGATCAAACTACAAGTACAATTAGAACAGTTACAATGTTATCTAATGTAATATATTGTTGAAAAGCATGTAGCAAAAAAAATAAAAAACCAAAACATTATAGAATTAAGTTAAATGTCTTTTTTCAGGTTTGTGGTCTTTTTGTTTTGACACCAGAACTGATGACCAAGGCAAAACGGAAGATGATCGTAATGCATCCGCTCCCGAGGGTCTTTGAGATAAGCCCTGAACTTGATTCGGACCCAAGAGCTGCTTATTTCAGGCAAGCCGAAGGTGGAATGTATGTTAGAATGGCGATCCTCACCATGGTTTTAGGCAAATTCTGAGTTTGGCAATTAAGCTTATCAGAAGAAGACTATTTTACGTACCTACACTATACAACTGGATATATTTTTAATTATACATACTAAGATTTTTTTTATTACTATTTTTTTAATTTTACTATGTATAGTGTACTATTATGTTCTTCCTTTGGAAAAAATAAAAAATAAATAAATAAAATAAAAATAAATCAATGCTGTGATAAAGTTGATATTTTTTCATTGCATTTCTTGCCAAATCACACATATTAAAAAAAAAAGATGTTTTAACAATAAATACTTTTCAATCAAAATTGTTTATTTATTATAAATTTCCAATTTGTATTAAAATAAAATATATAAAAAATTGCAAAAGAAATAATTTAATTTAATATTTGTAGAATAGAGTTTAGAAGTTTTCTTCTTTCATTTCATCTTCTTCTGGAATGATATTTATTATGAAATAATTGTTTGACTGTCTCGACTTGGCTTTCCAGAGGTCAGAGATGCTCACGATCTTTGAAGTCCTCAGGATGTTTCTCTCAGTGTTGTTACACTTTGTGAGTCTCATTTTGCTTACATTTTTTCCACTTTCGCAATGAATACGTTTTTGGAAGAAACCGGGATCAGTAATCTTGGGTAAGATCAAGTGGGTCGATCCGTAAGTGACATAGCAGGATTTCAATTGTAAATTACAGTTCTTCACTGCTGGCTTTCTGTAAAGATCAAATGGAGTAATTTTTTTTTAAAAATTTTAAAGTTAGGTATCACACTTTTTGTCCTTTCTGCCAAGTAGTGAGATAATGAACGCAAGCAGCCCAATGAGAATGAACAGCGACGCCACATAAAGTGAGGTGTCCCTTTTTGGCAAATAATTATGTGTTCTATTTACAAAATGATAATTCTTTTCCTTGTTCAGTTCTATGTCTGGGCCTGGAATGGAATCTAGATCACTATTTGCTCCATTTAAACGACAAGATCCTTTAATTAAAAACTAATAACAGTTGAGAAGAAATACAAATATTTAAATTATGAAAATAAAATTCTTAAGTCTAACGAACAATAAAGAGAAAAAAAATTGGAGATGCAATCTCTACCAAAATATTTATCAATTAACAATATTCAATTGTAATTGGGTTTAAAAATAAAATGCTTTATTACCCGTTGTAGAAGTAAAGGTCGTGTCAGAAAGCATTTCGAAGGTTTCACTCGTGGCGTTGGCTTTTAAGAGTGATCTCTCCTAATCTTCTATGGAAATTTTTGGGCCTGAAGATAATTCGTTGATACCTTTTATGGTTATCACGGCTAGGAGTATTTTTATCTTCAGTGAAACTCGTGATTTTTATGAAAGAAAATTGATTATTTTTTCATATTGTCTATAAATTGATATTACTGTTTTAAAATTATTATAAGAAGAAATCACATTGTTCAGATAGTTATTTATTTACTTATCTAAAATAATGGATAGTTTAATGGAAATTAATGGTAACTTATTAAATCTAAAAGTAATAATTTTCTTCTTTCTATTAAACATAATGTACAACTAATTAAAAAATTAATTATTAAAAAGTGTGCTGGTAAATAAAAGTGAAAGTGATTCTTTTTTGTCATAAGGTTTTGCAAATATTTAAAAAATTTGATATTTATTATTATTATGTTATTGATGATATTTTGGTCATTTAGAGGGTCAATGAAATTTACTGGGAAAACATCACAGAGAACAGCATTTTTTCTTCTAATCGTTTTAAAAATATTTTATAGTTTAGAAAAAAAGTATTTTATTAGATAAAAAAAAGATAAGATGACCTTTTAATTTGCCTAAGAGCAATCACCATTCATCCCGGATGAATCAATTATTAGTTTTAATTTAAACAATTTAACATTTAAAATTGTATAGAAATGTTTACAAATTGGGGTGATGTGGATAAATTTTGAAAACTCGGATGTACAAGTAAACCTATCAGCATATAAAGTTTAAAATATAAATTAAAAGGGTAAAATAAAAAATACCAATTATAAATATCAAAACTATATTTCAACTGAATCAACACGATTATTTCTTAGCTAGAATAATATTAAATATTCATAATGTTATACAAAGTAAAATACAAACAATATTTACAAATTTTTACAAAATATAAAAAATAATGTTTTGCTTTTCAACCTGAGATCTCAGTTTGTAGATAGATTTAAACTCAGTCGTTTAAAATAGGCTCAATGACTCTCCTATTTTAATTCCTAATAACTCAATAAACTAGTTTATACAAGTCATTTAAACCTTTTTGTTTTGTCTTTGTCTTCCTTGGCAGTGTCAATTAAATAATGCATCCAAAGTTAAAAGGTGTACTGAAACTGTTTCAGTGAAGAACTGCTGAATATGATTGACTTAATCCATTCAATGTTTGGAATCGTCTGGTCGTAGAGACGCGGCCTTCGGTCGCCAACTTTGGAGCATGCTATCCTCCAGTTAGAAACGCCCGCTAACACCCACCTGTATCCATCAGGGTGGAGGCACGACATCGGACTTCCAGCTAATTCTTCTTCCTGGAAGTGAATTTCATTTCAGGATTATAAGTCTTCTTTTAAAAAAGGAAAACAAAAGTTTAACTCAAAAGTAGTGAGTATGCATCTATGTTAAAGTGCATGCAACAAAAAGAGCGAGCACACACACATCGTCCACCGAAAATTGCAAAATCCCATTATTTCAAAATTTTAAATTAAATGCAATTAAAAAAAGTCAAAATCTGTTATGAAAAGAAAAAATGAAACTTACATTACAGTCTTCGGTACTGTAATATGAATCAGTGCATACACTGTTTACAGTTGTTATGCTTATATTGGCGCATTGGTCCATATTGCTCAACTTCAATCCTACTCGTTGCAGCATTGTCCCTTTAAATATTAAAAATATGCCATCAGTAAATTTTTGAGTATTATTTCAACTGAGCAGATATTACTTTCTTTTGCCCATCCAAGAGTATTGCAGTGCTGAAGGTCTTGTATAGCCCTACCGTTCGGCGGTAGGCAGATAGGTCGGACGAAGTCGGACGGGACAAGTTTTCTATCCAGTTTTAACAATACAATTGTACTGCCTTCAACTGGCGATTTTATCATCCCTATGACATGCCTCTCTTGCTGCCAAGGGCTCGTGGATGAAAGTCTCGTACTTCCTGCCCTTGCAATCCATTCAGCTTTTTCTTGTCTATAAGGTACAAATTTGGAATAATAATATAAAAACAGGAAAACAGTGTTTAATGCTTACCCTTGGAAGCAGGAAGCAGTAGTAATAACCCATGTCATTTCTATCAAAGTTCCATCGCATATATGAATTCCAGCTTTGAAGAGGGCAATATGCCATGGCCAATCTCCAATTGCAGCCATTTTCCCCAAGCCGTCAATACCTTTTTTATCCCTTAGCGGTGATAGACCACATTCTATTTAAAAAAAGTTGTAGTTCTTGTAGTTCCATCGTTCTAATGTACGGTGTGTAAATTATAGAATGCTTACCCAACTGGGAACATTGTACACTTAATATTTCTTTGCTAGCACAATGTGTCGGTATGAATTGGATCTCTGAAGCTGTTGGGTTCTCCATTTTGACATACTGAGCACCTTCTTCATGATCGATTTCTATTTTGACTTCTGCTACATTTCTGCAAGAATTTTTAAAAAGGTAGTATTACTCTCTTTATATTTACCCGATTTTTGTCATACCTATAAGTCAGACTTTTGCAGAGTGATGAAGCTATGGTGTCGAGGGTTGAATTTAACTCCGTAACTGGCACTGAACTGTTAAGATTATGCACACAGACTTTTCCATGCTGTCCCTTCTCGGTGAAAACCACATTACCACTTGTGTGATAATGTTTAGCTTGTACACTATTCAGCTTACCAAATGACTTAAGAGTCGGGGCTAAAGTTACTGAAAAATAAATACATTAATGATAAAAAAAAATAAATAAATTGTAAACGAAGGCAAAATTTTATTGTCCGAATGCTTACGACAAAACCGTTCATCAGAACCATCAGGGCAGTCTTTTTTTCCATTGCATAATAAATATGAATGAATACACGCTTTAGATGTGGAACAGTGCAATGAGCCGGCCTCGCAATGGGAACACGAAGTCTCGTCACTAAGATCAGGACAATCGGGCACACCGTCGCATAACCTTGAGCTCATTCCTTTATATTCCAAATCGTTTACACATCCTGTAAAATTATTAAATTACTATACTGTTAATGTGAAGATATAACAAACAAGGATAATGACCTGGTTTGGAAAGACATGCAGTACGTTCGGCACTGTATTCTGGGAAATTAGAACAGTTGAGTAATTTTTGGAGCTCGGGTGATAACCTTGCTCCACAGCCGGACCAAAATTCTTTACAAAACCTTCTGCAAGGCAGCACCAATTCTTGAGAACAAGGTGGTTGAAGTAGATGACAGATGAACTGCTGTGCTAGTCTGTAGCATTCTGAATCAACTAATTCTCTGGAATTGATGATATTTACATTTAACCATTATAGAAAATGATGAATTATTACATTATACCTAAATTTAATAACATCAGCTATCACTTCTTGTAAATTTTGATGTCCGACAAGGTTTGGATATGAAGTCTCGTTTCCTACAAACAATTGGCAATATGACAGTTCTGTAGGTGAACACTGACGAGATGGAACTATAACTGGCCGAGTTGTGACTAGTTCTGCTTGGCTTATAGCAGTCGAATGGGTCTGTTCGGCTTCCAGCTGGAACTAAATTATTAACGCATATAATTTCCTGCATTTGTTCATCCTTTATTAATAAAGTTTACTTTTTGAATTTTTACGCTTGAATGGTCAATGGTTCGATTGCCAAAGAAGACCATTTCATTTTTAAGTATTTGCAGGATGCTTTCTGGTGCCACGTCAATTTTCCTCGTATTAAAATGTAATGTAAAGTGAATAATCAAATCTTCATTTTCTCTTCTGGAATAAATAAAAATGAAAAAAATATTTCAAAAATAATAATATCAAAAGGCAGCACATAAAACTTTACCCATCAAATGCAAGTACGTCTGAGTACAAGAATGCAGGACGCAGCACACTTCTTCTAAAGCAAAGGTTGATCAGCTCCCTATATTCTCTTGAAGTCAGCCTGAAAAGTTCACTATGAGGGTCTGCCAAAGCACTGTTGAATGATTCGCCCTTAGACACTCTAAAGACTCCAAGATAAACACGTTCGGATCCTTTAGTTTCAGAGAGATATGTGTCTGAAAAAAGTGTACATTAAAAAAAAGTGTTAAAAAAAGTAAATAAAAAATATACATATCTAGTAAAGTTAGGGAAATATATGCAGTTAATGTTATGTATGCAGATATAATATTGGAAATAAAAGCAGAACTAACACCATAAATAGGATGATCTCTGACAGAGTTTTAAAAATGATATTGTTTATGTTGTAAATACCTAAATAAAAGCTGGTTTACATATATAATATGTACTATTAATAAGATGATTAAGAAATAATAATGGTTTTCCTTATCAAATGTTAAGAATTCCTGGCTTCATTGTTTATTTATTTACTATTTATCATGTTCTCATTAATTATGATTATTTATAAACAATTTTGTTGTATTGTTAATTGGTTTCAATTATTTATGTATTTTTTTGTTATTGTAAAATTGTATCATTGAGTGTCTCAATAACAGTGAGATATTTATATTTTTAAGCTTTAATTAAAGCTACTGAGATGATACAAATTTTTTTTTAAATGTCAAAAATGACTGTAGAGTTTCACACTAATAAATACATTCAAACGGTATTTACAAATTCCACTCATACATTAAACTATCCAAAATTGTTTGATGGGCCTGTGGAGTACTCGATATTCCTCGACAGCCACATCCTTTCAAGCATCACTACTCACGCTAATAAATACATTCATTCTGGACAGGACACTTCGGAAGTGTAGTACTAACGAAATGCCAATGACCCGTCCCTCACATCATACTACAAATATGTATACGTACCTATACTAATTTTCCAGATGGTATTATATTATGTTAATATTACAATGTACTGTATTAATTCAGCATATATTAAGGAAGAAAATACATTCGTACAAAACTCATAACTGATTGGATTAGAATCAAGCTTAACAATAAAATAAATAAAAGTGAAGATTTTGAGATCAAGCAGACCGGCCAAGTGGTTTTAGAAAGTTTGCAGGAGGTATTTTACCGCCTGGTTTGGGAAAAACGTTAGTTTGGTTGAAATAAAATTTTAAATTGTTTAAACGACTCAATATTAATAATTTAATAAGCATAAACAGGAGGATTTGGGGCAAAAATAGCCGTTTTTATAAGAACGCGTGATAAAAAAACCGTCGGGTTTATTTTTATTAAGAGAACGTTGAAAATCAGTAGGGTGAAGTATTTTAATTTCTCCATTGTCACCGTTTTGATATTCTTAAGGGAAAATGTCGTGTGTCCGCGATACGAATATATTTCCGTTTGAGCCTTGGTCTCGCTTCTTGGGACTCGGTCATGGGGTTCTTTAACTTGCTTGAGGACGGTGCTTTCGTTTTCTCCCAAGGGCAACTTTCTGGGTCGCACCGTTAGCTCCTTACGCCTACAAATCTTCCCGGTACGTTAAAACCGGCTGCCCTTTTGTCAATCTCTTCTTCATCCTTACGCTTCATCGATCCCGTGTATAAATTCCCTCGAGCATATTAGATTTAATTATGTATAAAATTTTATAACATATGTCATGTTGGAACTCGATTTCTTCAGTTACGACAATTTTCAGCGTTATACTGATTTTCAAACAGTTAGACCGACCCTTGCCATCCTGGTCCGCTTGTTTATTTAAAAGGACGGTTTAGATCTGTCTAAACCACCTACAGACAATGTAAAACTTGCTGATCGTCCATAATCATTTCGGTTTGAGAATGATAATTTGGACTTTAAAGTTATGGAATTTAGAACTAACCGCACTATGATTCAAGAAATTTTATGAGACGCTTTAGAAAACTTACTAGACATTTTGTAGTGAATGCGATGATAGGCGTGAAGAAATGGCAATAAATAGAAAAAGCTAAAAAAATGAGAGAGAGAGAGAGAGAGAGAGAGAGAGAGAGAGAGAGAGAGAGTGAGAAAGGGAGAGAGAGTGAGTAGTAAGAGAGATAGGGAATGAGAAAAGGAGAGAAAGAAAGAGAGAGGGAGAGAGAAAAAGAGAGAGGAGAGATAGGGGGTGAGAGAGAAAGAGAGAGAGAGAGTGGGAGAGAGAGAGGGAAAGAGAGAAAGAAAGAGAGTGAGATATTGAGGGAGAGAGAGAAAGAAAGAGAGAGTGATTGATGGAGAACGGGTGGGAGGAAGGGAGGGAGAGGGAGAGAGAAAGAGAATACTGACTAGGAGATTGACTAATACATTCACAATAATTAAACTTACAGATCAATTTGTTAATAATAAAGAGTTATTTTAGAAATTAAAACCCCTATTTTAATCTAAACAAAAGCGACACGATCGTAACCCTAAAAATCCATCCGTGTCAGTACAATATAAAGGAATTACATATTTTCTGGTCAACCCAATATCTATAAACAACAGAACCAGGTCGACCAAAGTGTACCGTACAACATCGAACGACGCCCTCCAAAGCTCCTCCCATCGAACTGCATCTTGTAATGGTACTGACCCTGGAAGAAAAAAGGAGCCAGTTGTGGGAAATACAGGGATGTGACCAAGAAACGTTAAAATTCACTGGGCCTAGTCGACGACCAAAATCATTATTAAAATTGGATCCTCGATATGTGACAGAATCGATGATCCCATAGCCCCAAGTCATAGGACAAAGGACTGAACTAATTAGGTACTTTTGCGTACTTCTCAGCAATACTTCGATTGTTGGTGGTCTATATGTAGCACAAACTTTTATACCACTTACAAAATGACTTACTCAGGTATTCAGTGTCACGGATCGTACAGTCAGTACATGCACGGTTTTCACGGACCAGTCCCATTTACTTCAGGGATAATGTAACTTTGGGACCATCAATTGACTCCCTTCACTAAAGCCATTTGAGCCCATCAGAAGCCGTTTGACACAAAAAGTGCTGCTTAATGGGGGATTCCATGCCAGTCGACAGTAAATTGTTCCTACAAATGTATTTTGAAGAATTGTGAATAATATTGCATAAATATTGTTATTTTGTGTAAAAATCTCCTTCTCTTGTGTGTTGCTTTTTGACTATATTTGTTTGCGAATTTTGTTTAATTTATTTTGTCTCATTTAGGTTTTTACTTTTTGTATCTCTTAATAATTTTTTAAATGAGGTATGTATCATTTACATTGGTTTTATTATAATTTATAATAGCACTTAATTCTAATTCCTTGTATTAGACTGTTTGACATACTGAAACAATTTTTTAAGACAGGTTAAAATAAAATATCTGTGGAGAGGTCTGACCTGGATATTCATATATGGAGGACTTAGGGAGTCGAAATAAGTATAATGAATGTCATTCTTTCATTTGAGCTAGAAACGGTTTGTAAGGTGATTCACTGTAAATTTTTAAACCATCTGCTGTCAGAATTCGGTGTTTCGTCTGCAATTTTGGTTGTTCCAGAGCGACCAAGTGGAATTCGAGTCCCGATACTCCCGATGGCTTTTTACTTCAGAGAGGGATTGTTATGTACCAGGTGCTAGTTCTCACAATTCACGCCCCGTCAGCATAATTGCAGTGCGCGTACGTTACCGGTCGCATGGCTGTTAACTAGCCACTTTCCACATGTCTGCGGAGAAAGTCGAAGGGTTGACTCGCTTTTCAAACAGTGCTCGCTTTACAAAACGGGGGCGGGGAAATTCGTCTTGGATACCCTTTGAAAAAGTGGGTACACGAAGGATCTAAAGGGAAAATTTAATAACGCAACGTAGAATTTTTCTTTTTTGTTACTTTTTTCCTTACACGATGCTTTTGTCGTATTCTAAGCCAAAAGAAAAATACAAAACTCAGTACAACAAAGAACTGAAACCCTTACAGTCTGGGTGTTATTGTTAAAAATAATTCTATTAAAAATTGGTTTTGTAATTAACAAACCATAGGACCTCTTGTTGATAATTAGTGTCGAACAGTTCAACATGAGTTCATCTAGCTACAGACAAATGAGAACCATTAAAATTACGGAAAGAATATTTTTTTAAACTGTAGTAACTTTCAATTTAGAATATAAATAAGTATGCCTAGATATGGAAGGGTTTATTTAGTTTATACTATACATACTTGTAAAAAAAATTACGTTTTCGACAGATTGACCTCGACTATGTCAAAATGCAAACGAAATTAAGATATTTCGTTTTGCATTCCGTGCCATAACTTTGTTATTTTTTGACCAGTTTAAAACCGTTTTCGGAATAAACAACCCTTTAAACTAGTGGGTAAAAAAGTAGACTTTCAAATTTCAAATTTCAAACTTGTACTGGCACTGAAGTATACTGACAACAAATATTTTTAAAAAGCAGTAAAAAATTAAAACTAGAATAAAAATATTAAACATTTATTTTTTTGTTTTTCGATAACCTTATTAATTCAATTCTTCTAAAAAGTGTATACTGTATAATACTTAATTATACACCATCTAAGAGTACATCTGTTATAATTTATTTTTTCAAAACATGGATTATTTAAATTTATAAATTTAAATAAAGAAATGGTGAGAGTGATGGAGGGAGGGGGTGAGTGTGAGAGAGAGAGAGAGAGAGAGAGAGAGAGAGAGAGAGAGAGAGAGAGAGAGAGAGAGNGAGAGTGAGGAGAGAGAGACGAGGGTTGTTTTGGATTTGCCATGATGAGCGTGTTAAATAAATAATTACAGTGGTAGCGGTATCTCGAAAAATTAAAGACCGTGGGAAGACAAAAAACGTCTAGGAGGACCTACATTTCGGAAACGATTTTTACAAAAAGACGAAGAGTTTTTGAGGGAACTTTACTACGTTAATACGTGTAGGACATTTTCGGAGAAACAAACATTGAGGATTGCTTAGGGTTTTGACTAAATTGTTTAAAAGAATTACAAAAATTTCATTCTTAAAGAAAAAAAAATAGTTGGACCGTTGGACTTACATGTAAGGTAAAGCGAGAGGCAGAGCAATAGTAGGAAAACGATGAAACCGGTGATGATGTAGCATGAGCATCTATACGGACGTCCCAGTTTCCTGGTGAACCTGATGTCGCTGTCGGAGGAAAGGATGGAACTGGGCGTGTCTGACCTCAAATAAGGCTTCGACTTCACCGAACTCACAGAAATCTGAAACCAAAACAATTTATGAAAAATCAGAATAATAAAAACATTACGCAAAATGGCCATATACTCAATGAAACACAACGGAATAGATTTATTGAAAGATACCGGTAATGGAAGCAAATGAGTATTGAGAAATTCTCAAAAGCCAACAAGAATGGCGTCAGATCGAAAATAATTTATAAATACGTGCAATGGTTATTAGTCAACATCCGTTTTCTAGAACCCGTTTTCAAGTGAAAGGAAGAAAGTGGTTGCTGGTTTAAACGTTAACACTTTCCAATGATTAAGTGTCATGTGTAGTTTTCCGTTTAAGGAAATCATTTTTGTATTGTTTTCTTCGTTTATTATTATAACCAAAGTAGATTGAGCCCTTTGGAATAGACTCAGCAATCGGAAAATTCTCTCTTTAGTCTTCAGCACTCATGTCAAACCATTTTTATCTAAATGGTTAATGACCATGCTTTTGGTTGTCCGTTTTCACTCAAACTATTTTTAATACTTGAACCTAATCAACATCTCATTGACATCCCCCTCCATTAAGTACATACATATTTTCATATGTCCTTATTGTTCCTGTTGAAAGTTTCAAAGCTAATTTTATCTCAAAAGACACTACTTAGCTCCTCCACTTGCTCTGCCGTATTAAGAGATTTTTTAAATGATATAGCAAGTAAGTAAAATAAAACAACAGTTATTAATATCAGAAACGAATATTTCTAACAATATAAGTAAAACTTGAAATAGCTATCACATTTTTCTTAGCTCGTACATTGATGTAGCTTAACACCGAAAGATGGTTCTCTTCACGCATTTGAATGAACATGCAATGAACCGTCATTGGGTCAATTCATTCGTTGGGCTATGTTCTGTTTCCTCGATAAAAATTAGATCTTCGGGTGCTACTCGCTGGTTTATGTCTTTGTGCTACCTGTTAGGCTTTCCGTTTTTTTCTTCTAAGCACTCTTTCTCATCCACGCATTGATTGCCTTGATTGTTGATTTCGTATAGGATTTACCTAGAATCAATTTATTTTTCTGCATTTCGTTCTTGGGAGAGGAGGGTATGAGCTTATCATCTTCATCCCATTCTCCCATTCAATAGTTTTATGTTACACTTGTAGCGTCATTTTGAAGTTCTTTTAAGATGTTTTTATTGGTATTTTGGATTGTTTTCAATACCATATTCTTTTTCTTGCGCCAGTGTTTTTTTAACTATTCCACTGGTCACTGCTTAACGACTACTGAGCATAAATACGTTTCTTCCGGTTTTGTTTAAAAAGGAAATCTTAAGCCAGTTATTTTGCTCATTCCAGAAGGTACAAACACTACGACAAATGATTCAGTTGGATGACCGTCCAGCGCATAATTACAGTCCAGTTAAAATGCAATCGCGTTTTTCCGGCGAATTGGATCGGAAATCGTGGCCCTGATTTCTGGTTTGTTAGATTTCCCTAATGACTTTTTCCCCAAGAAGGTATTAGAAGAAAATAGTCGTTTATGCACTGAAAACACCTTAAGGGAAAAGCTTCGTCATATTCAAAGCGAGGAAAGTAAACATAAGTAGAACATAAAATCAATTTTTATGCCTCCGTGACAGTAAGGATCTTATGATAAAGTAGTAGGCGTAACGCGGAATGTTGCGAACTTTTTAATAATTTACACAGGTCTTTCAATATTTTGACTGGTGACGAATGTATATATGATTATAACACCAATACTCATTTCATGTTGAAGGATGCTCGATTTTGCCCTGAAGGTTGTGGCTTTATTTTGCACGTAATATTTCTGTTTTTTAAGGATTATAATAAGCATGCTTATCAAGGATTCATTCAATTGTAAATGAGTTTTTCCTTATCTCGGTAAGTAAATTTTATTTTTCATTGCTCTTAAAAAAAATCTTAAGGTTTATCGACAGTTAATTCAAATTTATCGCTGGGAGGGGCTTGGAAGGAAGCCTTATATATAAGTAAAATAAAGTAAATCCTGTTTTACGCTTAACGTTTTAAACTACCCGTTGGTTGTCTTGGACAGGGTGCAGTACTTTTTCCAAATTAATGTCAAATAAAATTCTAAGGGCTGCGCCGAGATCCGAACTCGGAAAACTCAGGAAACTTAATGCGTCAGACTAAAATTTCTTTTCATTGTAACTTGTTTATCAAACAAGGCTTAAAGTTAACCCAATAAACAACAAACACGTTTTACTTTTTGACCCACTAGAGATGCACCTTTAGATGATTAAGCGTAATACAATGTCTGCTTTATTACTTTTTTCAGTCTTTAAATCTTGGATCACACTAAGCTTTCTTCAAAACTTTAGACGTCATTTCCTCTAAGTCCGAGAAATAAATAAGGCTCGTTCCACTCTTTGCGCATTTTCAGACTTTAATGTGTACAAATTGGGCGAAAGGGAAAAGCACGTGGACCAAGCGCTTTTGGTTTCGCTAAACGTGACTTACGAGACGCAGACATGACTGATTGGTTTGAAGCAATCCTAAGAATCGAAGGGAGCTTTGGGTCTCTCCTAATGAAGGAAGGGAGATTTGCTTCCGGATTTAAAACAAAAAGAATTTTTAGAGATTTTCGTATCGAAAGTGGACAAGGGAGCAGTAGAGTTAATAAATTTATCTTATCTAATCTTTTCACCTTGTAAAATTGATTTAGGGCTTTGTCTTATTGACTATTAACATAATGTTTTGGAACTTAGGATATGAACAAAAAAATTAAGTGCTAGTATTTGTTTTTATGATTTATGACCATGTAGGCTTTTTGTTTTAGGTGAAGAGATTTTGTATTGTTAGAAATGACTGTTTTTATTGTTCGCATATGAAGGTGCATCGTTCTGTAATGTATGTTTAAATGCAAATACTAGATAATTTTTAAAATGAAAAAAAAAAGAGAAGTTTTTCTTACAAATTAATAGTGTTTTCTTTTTAGAAATGTCTCAGCTGTAAACGTTTATTTTTATGTTTGATTTAGGTTGTATTGTTTATGGTTTTTTACGATTCTTAAGTTTTGTGTTTTACGATTTTTGTTGTTCCATAAATGTATGGAAGATCTTTCACTATAAGAATTTTCTGGTTAATTTATTATTATTATATTATGCCTAGGAGCATATTTTTACTGTTCTCATATGTCAAAATCTTGGTTTTACAAAACAGATTTAAGAGAAAGTTTTTTTTTGCAAAGTGTTGGGATTTTGGGTTTTCGATTGAGTGTTGATATTTTTTATGGGTATATTATACTCAGATGTTGTGTATGAATTGGTTTTGATTATATTGATAATATATAATTAAATAATAATAATAAATAATTATAAAATATAGTTAATTATAATATTATATTATAATTTACAATAATTACAATATAGGGGCGTCGGTGGCCGCAACGGTTTAGGCATTGACACGGCGCTTACATTGACTGTAAGGTAAAGATCCCGGGTTCGAATGCAGGGCCGCTGCATTCGAACCCGACATACTTACAAATGGGCTTTTTTTAAAAAAAACAACGGCACCCTGAGGGTTTATATGACCTCTGCTGTTGCGAAAAAAAGGAAAAATATTATAATATAATAATTGTTTTTGTAAGGGTGGAGGTTAAAGTTGGTTGTCGTTCCTCGCTGAAGATGGCTGGAAGACCAAACGCGTTTGACAGATACGTTAGCAAGTGTCGATCTGTTCAACAATTGTAGAAGTTTTGATGGTGTAGGATTTGGGGCTTTACGATTATTTTTAAATCTAGATTTATGTTCTTATTAATGTGATAGTTTATGTAAGATGTTGATTAGGATGTGTAATATACTGCGCCCTTTAAGAGCTGTTGTATCCGATTTTCTATGCTCACAGCACACCGTTGAGTCCTGGTTCATCAAGAAATTTGAGTAGTAGGCTAAAAACTATTAAAAATTTTTTGACAAAATTACAACAGCAAAGATGAGCTAAACATAAAAAAATCTGTAGTATTTAAAAACCAAAAATAAGAAAAGGAAAAGCGTCTTAACAACAGGAACAACAATGCTTTAAATGGCTTGTTTACAAATTAATCTATAACAACTTTCCTAGGTATCTAATAAAAATAGTTAGCTCTTATCTATTGGATCGACGTTTTAGAGTCTTCTAAAACAACATTAGACCATTAGGCGAGCCAATTCTGAAGAATTTAAGGTAGTAGGTGGTGTTCCTCATGGTTCAATGCTGGGTCCAACATTATTTCTTGATTGCTTGTGCGATATGCTAAAGTTCCAATATTTCCAATTAACCCTATTTTCGGACGACACTGCCCTCTTTTCGACTTCGTGGCGCATTTGCACTATCACTAAGAGACTGAACGTTTCTTTCGATGATGACTTGGTGATAAATGGCATTATGATACCGTGGTCCCGGTTAAATACTCGCCAGGCTTGACAGCAAACTAAAGTTTACGACACACGTAAATGTTAAAATATCTGTCAAACTCATGTTTCCACTACTCTGTTGGAAGTCGGGTTTGAATCTGAGTAATAAGTTGCTTACGTACAAAATTGTAGTAAGACAAATTCTTTTTCATTTCTGGGCTGCCTGACAGCCAGCGTGGGAAAGTAAATAGGAAACTATAGATTGCTCAGAATAAATTTCATCTGTGCAATAACTCCCTTCGTTCCACGAGCATTGAGCTTTTGCACGAGATGAGCAGGTTAGTCATAGTCAAAAGTTTTAATGAAAAATGCACCAAAAACGTTAAGAAGGCCTGTGTGAATAGTAATTTGGTTGCTGGTATTGGAATCCTTGTTACTAAAAAGATAAGACATACATTTCTATGGTAGTCGTAATTCTTGTCAAATTAAGATCAACTGATTGAGACCAATCAATTAAGATGAAGATTGATACTTTCCAGTTAAAAAAATATCCTCTTATTAAATAGTTTTGTGTGCGTGTAAAGTTATTCATAATTATTTATTTATCTGTTTATGTAAATAGAGTTTTTGTATTTGAACTGGTTTTCTTCAACGTTCTCTATGCATGAACAGTT